GTGCCATAAAAGTTAAAGAAATATTTATACTTTGTTTATAACAATTTTTTTACTTAAACAAAAACTTAAAAATCCAAGTAATGTTGTTAAAAAATTTTTTTTTTCTAAATCATCAAATTATCGTTTTTATATTAATACAAGATATTTATTGATTTGCAAAAAAAATTTCCGCCATTTGTTAATAATTTTTTTTAAACAAATTGATTAAATCAATTGTTTTAAAAAAAAAAATTTCACAACTTTATTACATTACAAATATTATGATTGTTTAAAAAAAAAAATTTCCTTAATAACATATTTTAATTGTTTATAATCGTTTTTTTTATATTTCTTTTGTTTAAATAATTAGTTAAGAAATTTTTTTTTTTTTAAAAATCATAATTCACAATCCTCTATAAAGTAACAGAAAAATTTTTTTTAATCAACAATTCTATTGTTTATTAACTTACCAATTTGTTATAAACAAATGTTCAACTTTTTTATATTTTTTTTCTAAAACTTCTAAAATTAACAAAAACAACCATATATAACAAAATATAGAAAAACATTTTTTTAAATTTTTTGATTATCATGAATATTACTTTTATTAAAAAAATTTTTTTTTTTTTTTATAGACTTTGTTATATATGTTTGTTTTTGTTAATTTTAGAAGTTTTAGAAAAAAAATAAAAAGTTGAACATTTGTTTATAACAAATTGGTAAGTTAATAAACAATAGAATTGTTGATTAAAAAAAATTTTTTTCTGTTACTTTATAGAGGATTGTGAATTATGATTTTTAAAAAAAAAAATTTCTTAACTAATTATTTAAACAAAAGAAATATAAAAAAACGATTATAAACAATTAAAATATGTTATTAAGGAAATTTTTTTTTTAAACAATCATAATATTTGTAATGTAATAAAGTTAGGAAATTTTTTTTAAAACAATTGATTTAATCAATTTGTTTAAAAAAAATTATTAACAAATGGCGGAAATTTTTTTTTGCAAATCAATAAATATCTTGTATTAATATAAAACGATAATTTGATGATTTAGAAAAAAAATTTTTTTAACAACATTACTTGGATTTTTAAGTTTTTGTTTAAGTAAAAAATTGTTATAAACAAAGTATAAATATTTCTTTAACTTTTATGGCACGATCTTGTTAAGTATGTATGTAAGAAAGGCTCTACGAAGCGAAATATTTTTACGACCATTATTAAAACATTTTTTTCACTTACAATTAAGACGGTCGTTCGAGAAAATTTCGTTAGTTAACAATTATTTAACTTGTTGAAAAATTAACTTTAAGTAAAATTTCCAACGGGAATAAATTAATTATAGTGTTCAGAACACACCATAATTTTTTCAAATTTAAAAAAAATATTCAATACCTTAAATAAATTAATTAATGTGCCGTAGTCGCTTTTGACGCCACGCGCGAATCCTAAAAATGTCACGCACAGACCTATTTTCAGCGTTAAATTAAAGTTATAAATAATGGAGATAGAGTTCCGGGAGCTGAGAGTTTTTTATTGGAAATTTCCTCCTCTTTCAGAATCTTTATTTGAAATTTCTTAAATATTAATAGTTTATTAAATATTGGCAAAAAACTAAATTCCATTTTTTTTCATCTTTAATGGTCTATAACTTTTGCAATTTTTTATGTGCTAATACACGCTTTTAGCACATTTTTCTAGGCGTCATTCCGGTTCGAATGAGCTATCGCACATAATTTTAAGAGCAGTATCTCTATTTTGTTCCATTTTCAACTTGTCGACTAGACTATGAGCGGTACATGTGAGTACGTGAGTGAATGGAATTTCTCAGGTACAAATGAGGAATTTCGACTAATTATTAATGTACGGCTTTGTTATAGTGTATAGATGATTAAAAATAAATGTTGAAAAACCTAGTGCTGTACTAAAGTTATGGTGCCGGAAGTCGATGCAAATTTTTAATTCGACGATAGTTGCAGAAGCAATATAGGTTTTTCGACATTTATTTTTAATCATCTATACACTATAACAAAGCCGTACATTAATAATTAGTCGAAATTCCTCATTTGTACCTGAGAAATTCTATTCACTCACGTACTCACATGTACCGCTCAGAAATGACGGCATAGTGCACAGAGTTATTTTCTGATATAGTAACAGCCCTCTAAGCGTTATTCACGTTGGTTCATTTCACAGGTATTTTTTGTTCATGGGCTTGTGGTCTATTAGGTTCGTTTGTGAACTGGCATCAAACGCAAATGCAGTTTCAAGTCAACTTCTTAACAATTATTCTTATTTTTAACTTTTAATTTACTATACACCTTTACACAAGACTTCATTACTTACACTGCTAACTTTTACTAATATTTATGATTATTATTATTTTTTCCTAAGTATTACATTCCTTTTCTGTCTTTTTTTGCGACTGAGGCGCAAACTAGCTGCTGTGGTCTCTGGCAGAATGACCCGCGCTGTGGAATAGTCTGCTCCTCGTCCTCAGCATAATGCTGAGCCAGGGCCAATTACAGCCACAACACACACACATTACACACTTGAAACGAACCGAAAGAGAAAAACATTTTTTTGATATCTCTCATTACATTTTTTTTCTTTGATTATTATTGTTAATATGTGTGTTTATGTGTGTGTGCTTTTGTTAGTAATAAATGTTATGTCTACGTCTAAGACTTTTAATTTATTTTCCTCTCGGGGTAAAATTCAGAGTCAACAGTTCAAACATGACCTTCAGTTTCATGGTAGTTAGGCTGGTCACTGTCAACGAAACCAAACACTATTTGTTTACATAAAATGAGAGTTGAATTGTAATATGGTGCTAATGACAAGAATATACACGTATTAACATCACTGCGACACGACTTACAAAACAACCTATGTACATAAGTTACAAATACGGAAAGGTCACCAAGTATATAATATGTGATTGTGTTCTCTTCACCAACCTAATATTAAGGCACTATTTGTATTAATCTGTGTATAAAAGATTTTTTACGACAAGACACACAAAGCAATATGAGATCCTAAAATTTGACAAAAATCATCAGATTAAAATCTATTTGTGATAATAATGACTTCAATCCTCTTTCGATCAGAATAGTGACAAAGAAATAACGCGTTTTTTGGATTAAACCTGTTCTAGTATAAACCTAAAAAATAAAAAATTTGGACAACGCTGTTTTATATTGTTTTACGTTCCGTATTATTTAAATCATTTGTTTTAATACATTAGAGATAATTGGAGGAGGTCTATACTTTCCTTTGAAAAAAAATAAATATTATGTATAATAACAATTTGTTTAAAATTATTTATGTAAAGACGGATGTATGTTTTAAAGAATAAATGAGGCTTTATTTTATTATCATATTTAAGTATTTCATGGTGATCAGTTTACGTACTTTTTTATAGTCGCACTGCTGCCCCCGCGAACTTTCGCCTTAATCATGTTTTACTAAGCCTATATAATACCAGAAATAAAACTATTTTTTTAGTTTTGTTTATATTTTTAAATTTTACCCTCCATAAAAACCATCAAGTTATAGTTTCAAGGTTCATAGTCGTACGCCTAACCACTGGGCCAACAATGCCCTAAATCCCTTTATGCGAATTATCACCATAGACTACGCGCATACTCTTCAAAAACAAGTTAGTTTTCGGTGAAGAGAAAAAAGTATGTTGATATACCTAATCGAATTAATGGGCTCTAACATTTAATGAGATTTAAAGAGACATAGCTGGACCTTTGTACTTCTTCTTCTAATATGTATTTGGACTTCAAAGGGGCACACAGATAGTACACACAGAGTACAGATACACCAGGCACTCATAGTAGCTATATTTTTGTAGTTGAAGGGTAAAGATTTCGAATACCAAGGGCAAGCGGATAGTGAGTAACATGATGATGTAAACAGTATACATTTGTATCGAAATGGCGGCTAAACATTCGCACAAATAACAATATTCGCAATTTCCGGTTCAATTGCTTTGTTAGGAAATTTCGTCCTTTACCTAGTTACTTAACTAAATGATGATTAAGTTATTTTTTATTGTTAATATTTATCATTAATTAATACGACAAAAATATAATTATGAAATAGATTTTGACTTATTTTTATGCGTCATACAGCTTAATTTTATTTATGACTAGCTGGCCTGGCGAACATCGTACCGCCTAACAGTCGATTCTATATTTTTTTTAATACTTATTCTGCTATTCGGGACACCGGTCTAGCTAGTACGATAAAAAAAAGAAAAATGATAATACAACAAATACATTATGTCAAAAAATAAAAATTTACCTTCCCGGAACCCCTCCACTAACACTTGAACTTTATAATATGGTATTAAAGTTCAAATTGCCTTTAAATATTATTACGAATATTTTGTATGGAAATATAGAAAAGTGTTGTTTTTAGACTTTTTCACTCAATTTTTTTAATTTTTCTCTCCGTAACAACCATCTTCGTACTTCAAGGAATATTATAAAAAAAGAATCAGACAAATCGGTCAAGCCGTTTTCATGTTATGTCGTGACAACGGAAAACGGGTTTCATTTTTATATATATAGATAGGTACCTACTTATGTGTGATGAACATTAATTTGTGTAATTGTTAAATATATCATATATTGATATTAATATGTCATATATCGATTGATTGCAAAACAACGTAGTCTATTTCTAGATTTTCGTCAAATATTTATAATAACGAATTGCTGTGTATAATGTCTTGAGGTATTAAAATATTTTATATGGACAACATTAAACTTATAATATACTGTTTATTATAATATATTAATTAATTTAACCATAGAAATATTGATTTCTATATAAAAATTAAAATGGTAATAATCTAATTAATGAATTATTTTAGTTTTGATATTAGTAAATTTCTCAAAATTTCTTAACTTTAATCATAATAATATATATATATCATAAATCCAAGGAATTATTAGATGTTTAATTGAGACTTTTTGTATTTTTACAGTAGGAGAGGATAGCACGATGGGCACACTCATCAATAATGTCACACAGTACTACACTTACGTGAACGATGAACTGGCAGGTATACTATATAGCTTCATTAATATTAAACTCTATTAATATTGTAAATAAAACGGATACATGTCAAAGGACAAAAGGTGAATGAACTGAATTTATGTTCTTTTAGTCGGCATGTTTGTTAGAGATGAGTTTACTCAAATGCTAGTTGCTTGCTTGCGACTTCGACTGGACATGTTCTATAAATTTACAAAAATTTATCAATAATACGCAAAACAGTATTGCCCCCTTTAATAATATTTCAAACATTGACACACAATACAGCAAGTACTGTGTGTCAATATACAGCACCCATGTATGTTATCATTAAAAGCTAACATCAATATAAATAATTTGTATCCTCTAATAAATGTATTATTTAAAAATAAAAATAAAACAAAATTATTGCTTCCATTGAAAACTAGCAACAGACCTACTGGTGAGCATTTAGCAGGCATGTAAAGTCAAGTAAAGTCGCTTTTTCGATCTGTGCCGTTTGCGTCGTTTGCCATCCAAAAGTGTTATGTGCTCACCTAGAATGAATATTTGAGCAAGAGTACAAACGCAGTACCAATAAGATCGAACTCTTAGCGAAAAACTTATAACTGCTCCATCCATTTTAGGTTACTAGATAAAGTGTTCTTTAACAAGTAATTTATATCGTTATATTAATAGTTCTAGGAAATACCCATTGCTTACGTTAGAAATTCTCATCATCGGGTTTTTTTGTGCACGAATGCGTTTGCATACTATTAAAGCGAAGATTAGCAAATACGAGGCCCAGACATGTTGATGTACAACAATAATTGTCCTATTATATCAACATTTTTTTTATCTGCGGTTAACACAACTTACACAGTACGATTTCTTATCTTCTCGCAACTGTAACCACAGCGCGACCACAGTAGTAGGTACAACTAACGGCAAGAATAAAAAAATTGAATAGGTGGCCTAAATGTAGTAATGTAGCGGCTTTCCCAATTACCATTGGAAAACTTTTCCTTTCAGATCCACGTACAAATCAATTCTGGTTGGTTAGAAACCCAATACCAATCATGACGATAATGTTCCTGTACCATAGGTTCGTCAAAGTATGGGGACCAGCGTATATGGCTAAACGAGAGCCATATAACTTAAAATGGCTTATTGTAGCGTATAATATTGTACAGATCGGTTTGTGTGCACATATGGCTTTTCAGGTAAGATAAATTCGCTACAACGACCATCTTATGTTATAGTATAGAATTAAAACAAGATCTCTGTTGAACCGGGTGCGAGGCTGTCGGAACAGCATCTTGAAGACTGTGGCAGATGACCTGTATTCGCCTATCATGAGGCATTTTGTGCGTACACTTGTCGGTTCAAATCGACGAGTGTATGCATATACTGTTTCATGAGTTTTATGTTTGGCTTTTTAATAAATATATACTAACACTAGTATAATTTTAATTAGTGTAAGTTTATACTAACATAATGATGGATTATTTTATCTGAACAAATAATTAAATAATATTAATAACGGGACATACATATAATAATAATCGAGTGCGCTACAACCCCATAATTATATTGCATTTGTTTCTTTGATCCTTTTCTTTTTATGAACACAATTAGGTGAGCATACCTTCATATCCCGGCAGTGCGCTTTCTATGTGAACAATAAACAAATGCTTGTACAATGGAGGGAACATCGTGAGGGCATGTCTTAGACCCAAAAATACTACAGACATTTAGTCTATATGTAAATAATAACGATAAAAAAACAGATACAACGTCTACCCAAGGCCCTTATCTACCGCCACTGGCTTATATTTATAACGAATGCCTTTTCACAAATTTAAATAAAAGATTACATCTTCGTAAATGAACTTATTCGTCGAAATCATAACCCTACTTGTTATAAGAAGATTAGTAGAAGTATAATTTGATTTTAGTGTATAACATGGTTATACTTACCGGGATACTACAGCCTTTGGTGCCAAAAGATCAATTACCATGACAACGAAGTTGAGAGACTCATCATCAGCCGAGTGTGGCTATATTACTTTATCAAAATTGTTGATTTACTTGACACTGTAAGTATATTGAATATCCTGATATGATTATTTTAAGGTTGACAGTTATTGATAACATAATAACAAATAAGCCTTATTTAATTCTTGAATAGCAATACAACATACACACACATACAAAACTAACTTTTCAAGGACCTCATTAAGACTTCATCCTCCTCCGATCGGCTCAATCTCTCTCTCTATGTTGAGCATTTTACTTACTAATAATGTAATGGATACGGGAATAACTTCCTTATCTATTAACTGTTGTCCACTTGTAACGATCAATTAGGTAATATGCAAAGAAAAGTATATTAGATTTAAATGCCAGAGAACAAAGTAGGTAAAGATATGTCACTTGTAGTTAAGTATCTACGAAAAAGAACCGTTTCCTGGATGAGATAATTTTTAGCGTTGTCCATTGGCCTTGAAGTTTAAATTATAAACTGTAGTAATAATGTATACTTTTACAGGTATTTTTCATTCTACGTAAGAAATTCTCTCAAGTGTCATTCTTACATGTCTACCACCATCTTGGAATGTGCTTCCTTGGATATATTGGCACGAAATATGTACCAGGTGCGTTGTTACTTATTTGTAATTTAAGATTTTAAGCTTCCATCAAATAGATACTAAAATCGGGGTAAATGTAAAGCTTGTGAAGTTGATGTTGTTGGAGCCGGATTTGTAAAGTACGTCGGAGAAAAAACGGTCGAACGATTTTTCGAACGACGAGCGTTTCTTACGAACGCTAGGTTAACGATGAGAGATATATGATTGAGTTCTAAAGAAAAGTTGTAGAACTTGATAATGCCTATAAAAAATTAAGCTTGTTGCTGTAAATAATAATATAATAATAATAATTTCATAAGTATCCTTGGTGAAAGTCATAGACATTGTTTCATTGCCTGCAATGTCTAAGGTTCTAAAATTTAACTAAAAACGCACGACAATCTTCAAAACACATTATTTGGCTAATTAGAAAAAATCCCAAATTCAAAAAGATTTTATTCTTTCAATTTACTAACGTAGATTATAAACTTAGATTACATATGGAAGTATAAGATCATAAATAAATGTTTTATTATTCTTTATAGCAAGTAGGATCACGGTGTGACATGGGACACGGGTTTGATACCGACAAATAAATCATAGTTATGGTTAGTATTTACAATACTCGCGAAATTTTAAGAAAACAATGTGTGTTGGTATTTTCAGGTGGTCACGGGATAATGCTAGGATTCATTAACTCGGCCGTCCACGCCGTGATGTACACGTACTACCTCATCTCGATCACCAAGCCCCAGTGGGTGCAAGGATGGTGGAAGAAGTATATTACTCAACTGCAAATCGTAAGTATTTTGTATATATGACCAAACAAGAGAATACGTTTATAAAATGTCTATTAAAACCTTGAATACAGCTGTTTTGATTGTCGTCGAGTATTAAGACTGAAGTATAATTTAAACTCTCGAATACTTAACTAATACTATATGGTTTATGCCCCATGTAAGGGGCAAGGGGGAATTTCTCGTATAAAGTAAGTAGGTAGTAATGAATCGGTGGCGTTTAAACATGCCTTTTACTACTTACTTAGATAGACGTGACTTTATTTACTAACAAAATATTTATTAATTACTTAATTTCACTAGTTAATACTGTATTTGTCTATGGTCATCAGAACCCGAAGGTAGTGAAATAAAATATAATTTTACTTCGTTCGATTAATCTTACCGCACATTTGAATCTCATTACTTAGTCGCCATAGACTAATTACAATATTACGTGAATTGCATTATAAGCACAGTAACCATAAGAAGACTCCTAGACGCGTATTGGACTACCTGATGTTTACTACATTTATGTATGAATGGTGATACTATGAATAATTTATTTTAAAACATAACCATTATGTCATTACAAACATTATATTAGCCTTAAACTGACAATGTGTGTGATCATCAATTATAAGCTCAATTATTATCAATCATAAATTATCAGCTTTATACTAGTAGTATTTAGTTGTTGATCCACCGGTACGGGGGTCAACCAACTAGCTGGTGCCTTCCAGCCAATTTGCATATATTGTTAGGCTTCCTTCACTGCCCGATCTTAGCCCTAGTCAACATAGACCGTAGACTTCATACCTCTTTGTAGGCCCTTAGGATTTTCCGAAAATCTTTAACTTAATAATATATCCATATTAGTAATAGTGGATTGGTCACATATGACAGGCGTTTAAAAACAAGAATTATTGCAGTTTGAATCGTAAGAAGTTCTTAATTCATTAAATTCATGTTTTCATTCATTTGGTACGTGAAATACCTATGATTAGGTGCTAAAGTATATTTTACATTTAATTGAAGTCCGTTATTAATATTATCAACCTTTTCAGTTGCAGTTCCTTCTACTGATCCTGCATTTCGGCCACATTATTTTCGAGCCGTCGTGCGGCTATCCCAAATGGGTTGCGTTCGTCTTTTTGCCTCACAACGTGTTCATATTGTTCCTCTTTTCGGATTTCTATATCAAGGAGTACATATTGAAAAAGAAAAAGGACAATAAGTAGTTATAAGTGTTATTTAAAATATTATACTCATAGCTTTAATAAACTGGATTATTTATTAATCGTTTTTTTAATTGGTTCGTCTTTAACATTTATATAACCTAGTTTTGCGTTCCAACCCCAGAAGTGCACAATGGATTGCCTATTTACTTGCTCAATGAATACTTCCTCTTACGTTAGAGGACGTAAGGAGAACAGGACGTTATAAACGCAAAAATTAAAAACCAAAGAAACAGAAGGTTGATCAACTAATTGTCTATAACAAAAAAAAATGTGGCACTCGGGGACTGCCGCATTTTTATCAACTTATGCAATTATAATTATTTATTTATGCAGTATTTTTTTTATTTGGTTTTAATTCAATCTACCACTCTACCAGACTCAGACTAACACGCCTATATAGTCGGTCTCAGTCTAACGCGTACCGGCTGCACCGGCCGCGCTGACGCTACGTCACCGATCTCGTCAGAGAGATGTGAATACGCAGTATGCGTTCTGTCCCACTCTAACGCACCTGCGCTACGTCACCGATCATTCCAGACCGATGTGAGTCGCAGTATTCGTTGCCCGCACCTATATTACGTCATCGTGTGTTTGGTTTTTATTTTCGTTACGGAATTTCTTGATTCGGTTGCCGCGTACAAAGCCCGCGATAAAATCTATGCAATAGCTTAAAAATGTCATAGAAATATAGGTGAAAGAGCGTGCAAAGTGCAAAGTGATGGGCGTCTATGCGCGGAAACTAAGTCCACACTACATATATACCAAGGTCTATTTCGATAATTAAAAACTGTTATTGTCTAGTAGAGCTCCATCCGCCAACTACCCATAATTTTACTACACAGATACAGTTCTTGCTCAATGAATATATGAAACTTATGAATTGTTCTTTTAGAATAGTAGACGTAATTTAAATTTTGTGTACTTAAAGGTACCTTTTTGTATTCCGAATACTATTAGACTTATATGATGATGATATTAATTTATGCCTAATGGGAAAGGCAAAGGACTTTAGTCCATACAGCCAGGTCTTGTTCTTGGTAATAATTGGAGAATTTTGGTTTGTTTTAAATTCCGAAGCCACGTCTTACGTAGTTAGGACTCCTAGACTTATTTGATTAGATGAATACTGAATAGTACTTTTCAATCAGAAATCTAATGATTGTACTCGTTTGCACAGACTAAGGTGATAAGATCTGTGCATAAGGCTATGCATTTTGCAAAATCGAATTGACCTGAGGTATAGTATTGTCGTAAAACTTTTCCTAACCGAAAGGCAAATCTCATGGGTAAATCTGGACCAACGAATTATGGATAAACATAGAAATCTAGTACTTCAGACTGGTAAATTTGTTATCTGTGCGTACATATTGGGAATTTAAACACATCCAAGTGTCAGCTGTTAATTGTCAATAATTGAGAAAAAATAAAAACATTGCACATGATTTAACAGCAAATTAATTAATATTCGATACAAACGCGTTTAACAATTTGACTGTAATTTACTATGGTAATGAGACACAATTTTTATAATTAGTTTCGAAAATGAGTGTAAATCAGTCACCGTCTCGTCCTGGAGAAGCTGCTTTACAAAATATGCAAATCCTCAAAAGTGAGAGTTCTGTTTTCAAAGTCCCTAAAGTACCAATAATAAAGAAAAATGCAAGAAAAGCTCAAGTTTTAGATGAAGAAGAATATGTTGAGGTATGTAATTAATTTAGGAAATAATTACGAAAATATAATGTGAGACAAAAAAGCATGTGTAAATTCTAAAGAACTTGTACCTTATAAATTATTTGTAGGGATAACTTTTGAACAAAATATACATGTAAAGTTTGGAAGCAGTTCATATTTACAGCCTACACTTTATAGAGGGAATGAGATAACATCAAACTTTACTTTACTTGATGCCAAACATAAAGTGTAACTATATAGTGCATACATGCTAGTATTACTGACCTTTTTCCTTAAACCTTAAAACACTTAGGTGATCATCCTTTTGCACTTCACTACTTGGATACTTAGGTAACTTTATTTGTTATTCTAATAGATTGTGTTAGTGACTATAAATATGAATATTTTTTAGGATCCATTACAGACTTACAAATTCTCTGTAATGCCAATAATTTATATTTATGTACATCTGTTTTATCTGATTTCAGGGTATATCAAAAATAATTCAAAGAGACTTCTTTCCTGACTTAGAAAAGTTGAAGGCACAAAATGATTACTTAGAGGCCACTGAAAACAAAGACTTTGCAAGACTTCGTGAAATTGCAAGAAAATATAGTGGCAGTAGACCACCCACTGAACCTTGTAAGTACTTTTATTTTTGGAACCTTGTATATTAATGAAAAAGTGTAAAAAAAAGAATAAATATAGTATAAAATACTAGTCTATGCTATAAAACTAGGTTTAACGAAGGTCCCTTATAGACTAGACTTCAACACATTAAATATGATATATGGAATAGATGATAGAATATGTTTTAGCATTTTAATAGGTAAAAAACATAATTACTTCTGATTATAGAAAAAAGAATTATGCATAATTTATTCTTTAATTTGTTTTAGATAATTCACCAGCGACATTTGACACACCTGGAGTGGACCGGCCTCAATCACCATCAGAAAGGGACTTGAGACCCCCTGATACAAGCTCTGACAACAAATCAACAGATATAACAGATAATCATACCCTAGGTAATTTTTATCAGCTTTTTTAATTTGTACAGTTGCATTTATAAACAACTAGCAGACTCGGCCAAGCGTTGCTGTGGCTAAAGTTTCTGTTATATTACATAGTAGTAAACTATTCAAGGGAAACGGTAGGAGAGCACCAGTCATGGGGACCACCATGCTTTGTTGGTGGTTATGCCATTAAATTGTAGCTTATGTGAAACGTTGGTACTTTCAACACAGCGCCATCTATTAGAATTGTGTCAAATTATAAAAAAATAATTTGCAATAACATAATATTGCGGGTATAAATTAAGATGTAAGCTAGCCTATCTTTCAAGTTAGATCAAACTGCACACGGTGTGCAAATTTGATTGAAATCGGTTCGGTAGTTTAGGAGTCCATAGCGTACAAACAACGTGACACGTAATTTATATATATGTATTAAGATATATTAGACAGTGTAACATCCCTCGATTAACGACATACCCCCTAAAGCGTCGCAATCACTCGGCTTTGGTTGGTTTAGCTTGTCCACCATACAATGATACACTCTACATAGCGTTACAGCAACTCTCAATAACGTCATCAATGAAATACTAAAAAGTACTTTTTAAGTTGCCGAAATTAGTTGAAACTGCGGAGCTGTGCACGTTGTTTTGTCGCTTTATTGTCCTAGTTACTTTTCAGATTCATTCCTTGCAAGTCATACAAGTGAGGACAATGCTAGTTATGATCGTGTGATAGCATTAGAGAACAAAAAAAAAGCAACTAAATTGGCCTCACAGTTTGAAGCGGAGATTTTATCGAAAGCACTTGTTGACTCAGCGCTAGCACTACCCTCAATTGAACAACAGGCTGACCAGATGGAAAGACCATATGAGGTTTGTACATATACACTACATTTACCCCTACACTAGCTTGTGCTACAGAAAGTAAATGACGAATGAATGTAGTATTGCGTTTGCGAGTGCAAGTTCCACATACTATTTAAATTAAACTATTGATTTTTTTCTAATTACTTAGAACACTCTGACCATAAGAAATTCCCGTTAACATCTGTTAAAAACTTTAAAGGAATTATTTTCTAATACTCCTTTGATACGATAAAGTGATATTTCTTTACACCTCCTACATGCATACTGTCCTAAATTCTACATAAGGGATAAGATGGATTACGAAAATGAATTATGAAAATGAATTATTATTAAAAATATTGATTTTGATGTTTGTTAGAAAGATAAACCAAGATGTGTTTGTCTTAGTTTGATTCCCGGTTCCGGTAGCCTGTTCAAATTTAAATGCAGTTTATTAGAAATTACTATCTACAGTTCGTCTTCATGTATTATTTAACTATTAGCTATCTTAATCTACCTATAAATATTAATTGTTTGAACTTCTTCATTAAAATATATTGTGAATGAATCAGAAGAAAATGTTTAATAATAAGATAGCTAAGTTAACTGTGACCTACGTGTAATTATGTTCATTACCTTCTTTACAATAATTATAATTAATATCACATTATTATTCTTGAAACTTGAGCTCCGTGCAACGTTTACGTAAGTCGACCTCACGAAGGGTAACGAGTACTTTAATTATGATATTTTTTACCTATTATGTCCATCTTTAATATTTTTAAAACCAAACCTTTTTATATCAAACCTTCTTCCTATTTATAAAAAAAACCTTTTTGAAATGTTATTTACTTATTATTTCGTACGTGATATCTTTATTTACTTAATAAGAACATATATTAGTTATTGTGTATTAAATTAAGGATTTAATTTTGAATTTTAATTTACAAGATATTTTCTTACAGCTAGATACGTGGCGGTATCGGGCTAAAAACTACATAATGTATGTCCCAGATGGGGCTGAGTCACAAAAGCCTAGCGCAAAGCCAGAATTACAGTATCATAATACTAAACTACAAACTCAGCCATTTGATTATGTTAAAAATCAGGAAGCAATAAGTGCTATAGCAAGAACACAGGTGTGTACTATTATTATTACTCTTAAGACGAAGGTTATTACGCGATTTGACCCACGTTGATTTGAGACCTATGTACATTGCACATAATACTATTTGACCAATCTTACGGAGTTATCTTTAAACTAATATCTCCCTAATATCCCAAGGATTTTATTGAAATTAAAACATTATGTTTTTATATGCACTTTTCAAAATTAAATACTAGTGATAAAGTATTCATTTGGGTAAGAATAAATAATATATTTAAACCCCAAAAAATAATGCTTTGTTTTGAAATTTTTTTTACATAAAAATAGAAATACAAAATGTCGTTAACATTATTTTGTTAGGTTAAATAGTAATGATTCATCATTAATAAGCCAGAATTTTTAGTTTAATTTCCGAAACGTTACGACTTAGGGGCTTTCATAAGAAAAGAGCGTACCACTTAAAGGCCGACAACGCACTTGCAAACCTCCTAGTGTTGCAGGTGTCCATAGCCGGTAAACACGACATCTTTTTTGAAATTTTACGGTTTTATTTAAACCTTTTATTCTTTTTTTTATGGGAGGTTTCAAGAACCTAATCTGTTATAATAAATTTGTCTTAGGGCTCCAACGATAAAGGCAAAATAGGTGTAGACGGTGTAAGTATATCGGGGGATAAACCTCCGACAGCCTACGAATTGTTAGCAACGCCTTCCCCGAGACCTGGTGTAGGACCAGACCAATCACCGCTCATGACCTGGGGAGAGATCGAGGGTACACCTTTCAGACTCGATGGAGGGGACACCCCGTTACCTGCGTGAGTTTATTTAATGTTAAGAATTAAATTTATTATTAAAAAGAAAATATAATATTATGACTTATGTCAATGTCTTGAAGTGACAGCTTCACCCGGTTTTAGAAATATGTATATATCTAAACTTTATTTTGGTCGTAATTAATTCGAATTATTTTGTCTTTGTTACTGGAGAAAAGTGTATAATATAGTAATGATGATAAAAATTATTACAAGGATGTATGTATAGTTACTATTTTTATGTTAAGTATTTTTTTTTAATCACAGAAAATTAGCGATAAATTAGATAACCACGATCGATCTTTTCATATTATTTTATAAATCTAAAATATAATAGACCATGTACAGATTATCAAAGATAACATAACCATCACAATTTTTAACGATTTCAATAAACCCGACGTTTTCTAGAACGTCATGGAAGAAATAAGAATTAATATATTTTACTTTTAAACATTTGTATAAGGTCAAGGAGCTTTATAAAGCAAATTAATTAAGAGAGAAGAGATAATTTAAATAATAAAGTCCACAAACGTAGAGTAGAAAATACGTCGAAAAATGTTAATAATACTTATAGTGTTGGGGCGGGTGCAGCATACCGGATCCTCGAAGGTGGCGCTCGGGAGAGAATAGCGATGCAGCTTGCTGAACAAGTGGCTAAACGCAGGAGACCAACCACACCCCGACGAACGCCAACACCACAGAGGTAAGTGACTTAGACTCGATTCTGAATCTTACCTTTTTCAATCATCAATGTTATAAATTTAAAATGCATAAATAGTTTTTTTTTTAAAAGTTAAGTATATAGTGTTTGGCAGTAACGTGGTAATTTAGGGTTTTTTTTAAATTACTTTTTAATGTATAATATTCTACGGTTTCCATATTTGTAAATGTGTAAGGAACTTGTATACTCACTTTTTTTAGTATAGTAGTTTTATTGTAGGAGTACATTGTCTTCACTTATAAATATAATTATTTAACTAATTACTAATGTATACAAAATATTGTAAACCTATTTTAAAAGTGTAAGTGTGGAGTTTCTTTCCCATTCTTCTCCACACGAAACTTTTGGAAGGGGCAACAATAATCATCTTTATATTTTATTTGACGTTCAAACGTGCCATTCTAATTGAAATAAATGATTTGACTTGACTTGACAATTTTTTAACTGAAAAGTATGTTTGCTCATAAAATTAGTATGTTTTACTAAAGGCAGATTTGTGTAAATTACTACTATTGTAATTGTGTATGAAATGAGCTATTCTGAACGGGTGCTTTTGCGCATCATTATCATCTAATCGTTTTCCTAAATTCCCTTCTCTATGGTCTTCGCGTTATCAATGGAAATCATATCCGATAAAGTATCAAATGACAGTTTTTTAGTTTCAGAACGAACACGGAGCGTTTAGCGAGTATGTCACCGGCTGCAAGAAAACTCGCGGCTAAACATTTACTTTCACCCAGATTGAAACTCACCCCCAATGATATGGGTATCTCGCACCCGTCAAAAACACCGACGCCCAGACGACCCCTTGTGGCAACACCGGTTCAAGACTCAGGCAACTCTGATAACATCACAGATAATCTATTGCAAATAAATGTCTCCAAACGGAGCCGGTTAAAGGCTCAAGATTTCTTCATTTAACTGTGTATTAATATATTTATCTTTTAAATAACGTGTTTTATTTGAATTTTTATTAAAGAGTAAAATACATAGGGTTTGTAGTTGTACTGATTTACTATTTTATTTTCGATAATATATAATTAAACTAAACTATTAACGTGTTAAACGGTATTTAATAAAAATTTAGATTCCTATATAAGGAGACTCGCAACGAACAGTTTATTTGAGTATCCGCGGAATACGTAACGGAATATTCCGCGAACTAATTAGCCAAATAGCTATATGTAATAAGCATAAACATATCACTTTTTTATATTTAATCAAACGTTTATATATATATACGAGATATATATTGAGAATTTGTTTTTTTTAAGACTTTCAAAGTGAAATTGGATAAAATAAAGATAAAATTTAACTATGTCTACTTAACGATAGCAAAAAATTATTGATCTACAGAAATATCATATTAATAGTAAAACATCAGTGTTAGGCGATTATAAATGTAGCTGACAGTAGCACCATTTGATTATTATCTATAGTTCTTTACTGTTACCGTCATTATATATTGCTTCACCGTTGGAGCAAGATTTAATTATGCAGATAGAAAAATGCATTACTAACGAAGCCTTGAAATCACGGTTGAGAGCGCTTAAACTATTATTAGGTATGAATATTCGGCTTCTTTGACCTCAGTCGCCGTATATAAGAAGTCTACAAGATTCGTTTCATTGTGAAGCTACGAAACGTTATGATATCAAAAGAAAGTTCGTGAGGGTAGTCTATTTAAGGTAAGTCATAAGATGTTTTAGTTACTAGTAGGTATGTTACATATTTAGGCAGGCAGCCCTGCCTTGCGATTCTGTAACTCACTTTTCGAACTCACACGGCGGTCTGTGACCGCTGTGTGAGTTCGAAAAGTGAGTTACAGAATCGCAAGACTGATCGAAAATCGTAGCAGCCCTGATCGAGTTTTGAGGCAGCCCTATACATATTATTATTAGAATCTTTTGTGCCGTGGAACAATGGTCATAGATTGTGGTTTTTATATTTGTTTTATTCAAAGAGATAATTCAGCCTCGTACCAACAATAATTAATTTTAATTGAATGATTTAAGTAACGAATGTATACAATCATGAGTTATAAATGAAAATAATAAAAAGTACTTACATTTGCATCGCTTTTCATTTACAATTTGTCTATATTCACAAGTGGATAGTGGCTGATTCACATCGTCGATTTTCGGGCTTAAAATATGCCGGTTTGCTTACGTTTCCTTCAGCTTTCAGGCAAGTGTTCAGCCGTGACGAACTATGGACTTTTAGATTGAGATTTACACATTTGATTACTAGTAGACTTTGGGGTAAATTAAACATGAGATTTTAAAAACTTTTATTATATTATTGGGACTTAAAAATCTTCCATGATCCTGATTAGACCAGGCTAGTCAAAAACACCATAGTCTTCACTTTTTTAATGTAAATTCATTGCTAATTATAATAATAATTGTAATGCACATAGTCGCGAGTAATACGTGATTAAAATCAATCAAATCTCTTCGAGGTATATATGGTGGTATTAAAATGAATAATACTAATTCGAAACCACAATATACCGTATTTACTTAAATACTCTATTGTAAATATTATTATTTCTAATATATTGTCACAGGTATTGTCATTCTTATGTTTATATCCTTACGATCTTTATCGCATTCGTTATAGCGTTATATAAAATATAAAACTAAATGCAAAAATACTGCACTATTGTACCTGATACAAATTACATAACTGGTTTGAAAAATTACAATGTGAGAAGTTTTTACCTTATCGCATTGTTTATAATACTGCTCTAGTCCTCTAACCACAAAATAAGAAAGGAATAACTTAAATATTTTGACCTTACATGCAAGCCTTGTTTTCCCGAACAATTTTTTAACGAAAATCTAAGTAGTTTTTATATACGCCACAACCTGTTTTTAACAAGTTTTTGCTTTGAGCAACTATATTTTAAAAACGATTAGAACGGTAGATATGCTTTATACCATGGTTCTTTAGGTTTTGGTTTATAATATTCCGAGTTTGGTTTGACCACGGTATCATCAGTCGGGTCTTCTTCAAAAACATTAACAAATGAAGCAAAATACCCGAATCGCGGGAACGCCAAAAAGGGAAAATATTTTAGGAGAAATATAGTGACTTTAAAGTTTATGTTTAAATATAACCTTCCCCAGTAAGTCGTATAGAATGCAGAAAATAGGGTGATTATAGCTAATCTATATTTGCCAGCGAAAGGCAGACTTTGATATTCGGGGATAGTTTCGATACTATCATAGTGGCGTAGGTATAGAAGCCTAGACGTTGGTTTAGGACATCCCTCTATGGCCGGTTCTAATATGAATCTGTTGACATCGACTCCTGAAATAAAAAACCTTCTTTAAGTATGTTACTGATACTGAGTCTCTGAATATGTTCTTAATACAAACTTAGGCAAGTGATCGCCTTTTGTGTATATTGATAATTTACTTCAAAAAATAAACCAGTAAATGTCATCAACCTCTGCGCCGCGCCCGATAATAGGGATTGCTATTTGTAGTTCAGAGTACCTTTAATGTTGAGTTTTATACCGCTCAATACTAACCAAGGCTAAGTCAGCGCTACGGATTGAAAGAACTAAGTATATAGAAATGTAATTTTTTTTTTTATGTAATAGGAGGCAAACGGGCAGGAGGCTCACCTGATGTTAAGTGATACTGCCGCCCATGGACACTCACATTGCCAGAAGGCTCGCAAGTGCGTTGCTGGCCTTTTAAGAATTGGTACGCTCTTTTCTTGAAGGACCCTAAGTCGAATTGGTTCGGAAATACTTCAGGGCAGCTAGTTCCACATAGTGGTGGTGCGCGGCAAAAACTGCCTTAGAAAACGCTCAGTTGTGGAACGACGGACGTCGAGGTGATACGGATGGTATTTTGTATATAAAATCGTCGGAATCGCTATGGCTTTTGAAAGTAACAAAGAGCCAAAGTATAATAAAGGCTTCTAGATATACTAAAAAAACATATTAATAGACCATAAGAAATTTCAATATGTGGGTAATAAAACTTACCTATATCTTCAGACTGTCCGCCAAGCATATCTTTTATTTTGTCTTGTAAGTTGGCCCTTTCTGTTTCCGTATAAATGTAGCCAGGCACATCCATAAGGTGCTTCGTCAAATACAGCAATCCATCAATGTTAATCGTGGGATTAACACACCACATAGCATCAAGCAAGCAACGCGAAAGGTGCTCAAAATATTCTGGTACATTTGTTAAACACGGTTTGAATACACGATCTTTGAGAATATGACAAACTTCTTGGGTCTCTTTGAAAGTAGCTCGACAAATGTTGTACCTGAAATTTACTTGAATAGTTTTGCTTCAGAAATTCTGGATGTCTAAAGAGTATATTTGAATTAAGACAAAGGAATTTTATTGGTACCGTTGGCAAGATTAATTAAGTACATCTAAAATTCTCGTGTCACAATGTTCGTTCCCATACTCCTCCGAAACGGCTCGATTCTTTTGAATTTTTTTATGCATATTCAGTAAATCTGAGAATACTACTATCTATCATTCAAACCCGTAAGTGATAAGGTGATCCACACCAAAAAAAAAATATTTTTTGGATAACATTTTTTGTGTTATTTTATTATGTGACATTAAAAATACATGTAACAACCCTTAATTTTCACCCCTCTACGATCAACCTCTATTTTTTATTAAAGTAGATAGTTATTTTTTTAACTTAAAAATGTTTCCTAGAAATAATATACATGGCAAAACAACTTTGCCGGGTCAGCTAGTATATAAGTATATATATTATTAATCACAAGTCACTAATCAAATTTTGAATTAAGTACAGTTTTTTTACATAAAATTAATAGGTAACTTTGCATATTAAAAATGATAATATATACGTCCTTGATGTTTTAGGAATTTGTTTTTATTACCTTATCACATTGATTAATTTAATTACCTATCTTCTAAGCCGATAGCGTAGCCGATCGTTCTCCAAAAATGGTTATAGGCCTCCCAATCACCTGGTTGTAGTTGCTGAATGCCGAACTTATCTGGCTTTAATAATGATATACCGATGAATCCAAATTGAGTTATGGCCAAATCCCTTTGAGAGATTATTCCTACTCCCTTAATTTTGGATGCTAAACTCGCTTTTACGTGTCGAGTGCGGACTGCCATTAATGATTTCCAAGATCTGAAATTGTTGTTTTTCTGAAAAACTTTTCGGAAAGAAACAAAATACCAGATTCTCACAATGTCGTATCAAACACATTAATGTTTGAAGCGTGAATATGTGTATATTATTACGGTATATTGAAGAGAGAAGTAAAGTGTTATTAGAAGACGAAGTTAAATATATAAACATACATCTATCCAAATAAAAACAGACCAATGAATTTTTGTAACAATTATGAACATCTTGTACACGCAAACAATACTTTCAATGAATTGCGATTTTGTAAATCCGTACAAAATATATTTCTCATTAACCTAGTACTTACATACTTCCAGGCTTAAATTCGTGTTCAAACCAAGACACAGTGTGAAGGACCGTAGATAAATATCTTTTATATGATGTGTACACTGAGTTAGACCTTCTAGTACTTATAAGGATTTTGAGTATTGAGGGTACTGCGAATACCGCAACAAGACCCACCAACATTGAATTACTGAATTGAAAACAATGGTCCCAATAAAATCGTCGAGCTCTGAAAATAATAATAACGTAATTTCAAACTGAAACTCTTTACTCTATCAGTGGGGAGAAAGGCGAAGGGCTAACGACACGCCGTACGGCTGCCTCGTGGTGGAAGGTTATGTGGGACTCGATTTGTAAAGTTGGGTGAGGACGCGTTCAATGCTTGGACAGAGTTGGTGCCTCCTCACGCCCGACTTCCTTGTGTAAATATCTGCCGAAACAGCCCTGTCCGGATAGTATCTGTACAAGTCAGTAGCTGAGACCCACCGCCTCCTGGCACATTATTCGACTTGTGGTCTGAACGCGTTGATGATGTAAAACCCAGCGCTTGCGCCAGCCAGTTCCTCCACCCAGTGTCTTATTGCTTGGTTGTGTGTTGCCGACCAGGATGGATACTCCATCGACAATGAGGGGTGGGTGACTATTGGAGTGGCGCCCAGCGATGACCTTGGAAACATATCGCCTCCGATTTGGCGAGGGCGACTGTGAGCCCGAGCCTTCTAATTTCAGACACTATTCTGGCTACTCCGGCAGATGCACGTAGGCGCACTTCCTTGTAATCCTGCCCACAAGCAACCACGACCACGAGTGTGTCGTCGCCGTAAAAGATAATTGTCACTTTTGGATGTACTCCGGCTTGGAGCTGAGCGATAGCTTCTATCGTGATCGCTTGTTTCCAAACCTTAAATTGCGCCTCGTGTGTGTTAGGCCCTACAGTCTCTTGATGCTTTAAATACGACCAGCAATAATCCGCTCGAACTGCTTGGCGGCTTCACCTATTGGGCGTTATGCTGAGGGTTACTCGGGAGGCTTTCCACCCTTTTTTAATAGCACCAGCCGTCCAGTCTTTCACGCGATGGGAAGTGGCCTTTTCCCAAGCATTCTGTGAGGAGACATTGAAATCGCACGCCAAGACCAGGACTAGCAGTAAGGGCCAGAATTTTCCCGAGCACGCCGTTAGGCCTCGGCGCAGTTTTTTTTGTGGAAATCCACTCTATTGCTGTCTCTAATTTCGGAAACGATACCTCAGGGTTAGTTTAGCTTATTACTAACACAAAATTAGGTTTGGTAGGGTTCCGACGCTAACAAAAAACTAAATTTGGCTTATTTAAGGGTTCTTAAATCTGTGACACTTTAATATAAGTGTAGTCGACCTTTTGGACTTAATCGGAAACAAGAATGTTATAATACAATTTATGAGTGTGGGAAAAACGAAAAGGCTCATTTTGGCTTCAAATGTGCGATAATTGCTAACAATTGGTTACGCTTCTAATTATTAGCTAAAATGTAACTTAACTTATGTTAGGTTACATAACTTTTGTGAATTTGATATAAACTCCCTAGGTTAGGTTATTTAAACTGGTAACTTACGTACTGGTTAAATTTTTTTTCATCGTACCATTCCGGTATCCTCATCTCCAACTCTTCAGGTTTTTTTGTGTCTGATGGTTTTTCCGTCGACTCTTTCGAAAAGAGGACATCGATGTACTCCTCGACTACAAAAAATCTTATTTTTAGAATAATTAAACGATAAGACATTAAGTAAAAATAAATGGGAAAAGAGATTCGTAAATCACGAATGTTCAAAAAAATCTGTTTTACAAAATGAACAACAAAGTTTTCAGTTTAGAAAATAAAATTATTCATCATAAACCATGGCGTTTATTAACATTATCATAATATATACAATTTAAATGTTTATACAGTTATGGTAGGTACTGCAATAATAATAAAATTAAACTATGCTTCGTGTGTATAAATTATAGAATATAATAAAAAATACAGTAAAAAAGTTTGTTTCGCTTCTATTGCTGGAGAAATCATAATCAGAATAATTAATTCTAGTCCATAATTGATATTAATATTGTGTTGCAATCTGTTGTAGTCAGAGATTTTAAAATTTAACTAACTACGACTTAGGGACTAGAAGAGAATACTCCTCAAAAACCTCCTTCCTCATTGACAAGTCTTAAAAATTTGACAGACAATAAAAGAGGTGTCAGACCGATCGCAGAAGACAAAGATAGGATTCAGAACATCATTCCGAAAGATTGTTAGGTTAATAAACACCAATGATGTATGCGACAGTGAGTATATTGCAATTGCATCCCGGAGAATGTGTCGTTGAAAAATGTATTCCGTTTTTTTCATAATCAGTTGATTATGAAATTTGACGACATTAGGTCAAACTTCTTAATATGTCGATAGCGCAATAAGGCATAACATTTTAATCAGTTGTATAAAACCACTATTCTCCGTGGTATGTACCGTTATGTTAGTGCGTTTGTCCATTGTCGACATTATTGAATCAACAGCCAACACGTGATATCTGGGTTTATCTGGGTTAAATGACGTGACGGTTGTGCTTATTGCACAGCGGTCTCGTTTTTATGTGGCTGGTGCTTCAGACTTAAATGCCATTCTGTCACAGTCTATACATGATTATTTTAATTTTCAATGAAAATGTGCATAAAATTTTATTACGGTACCTATAATGATTTATTAGTTACTTATATTCATGATATATGTAACGAGCATACATAACACAAATATCATTCTTATTTAATAAGAGTAGAACTCACTTGGCATTCATCCAATATTCGAGATGTGTAATGACATACAATGAAATCTCAGCCGATGTACGTATACCATATACACCTAGTTCAAATCTCAGCCAAGTTCATTGATGTAAATGTACGTTCGCGTTCGCGATGGTAGATAACAAATAACAACGGACAAACGCGCTCTATATTGCGATTTGCGACTTCCTTTTAAACAAGCGTTATAAAATAAATTACTTCTATTATACCTACCGCTTAAATCCATTTTGTTATCGTACAGGCACTATAATATTTATGTCAGGTAGATGCCACAGATAATACAACATTCGACGCGTCTTTCCGCGTCGACGGTCAACTAGAAATACGTAAAATATTTGCTGGTGGTGGGGCAGCCCGTTGACCGTTTTCTACTACCAGACTGTGTAATACGTCATGATTACGTACAGATTATTCGCATTATGAATGATACATTGCGGAGTTTCTAGATGACATGCTGTCACTGAATATAGTTTTACAATAACGTATGTCAATTGTTTAGATAAACACGTTGTTATTCTTTGTTTAAATTCGAAAATGTCATTTTCAGAACATTGATTTATTGGCGTCAATAAATTTGTTCGTTATGAAATCCTGTTCCACATGTCAACCGTCCTTCGTCCCATCATCATCCATGATCATTCACCTTTTGCATTCTGAAAACTGATGACATTGATAAAAACACATTGAAAAAGATGTCATTTTGAAATAAATTGAAACAAATAGGTAATAGATTTTATTGCGTAATGTTTTGTTTAGCTTAGCGTTTTTCCACTTTTTGGATGGATTGAGCGGCAATAAACTGATACGGGACCTTATTTATACCCGCATAACTGTTTAAGAGTTCTACGAGTATTTTGTACGTATTTATTATTTTGCTTGTACATTTATGTAAATCAACCGTGGCTCAGTTGAAAATGTATAAGGTCTGGATGAAAAAAATTTAGGGTAGGTATTTCACATTTTTTACAACAAAACAGTGTTGGCTTAGTAATTAGTGGCTTCAGTGTGCGACTCTCATACCTGAGGTCGTAGGTTGTCGCTCGAACGGTGAAGGATAACATCGTGAGAAAACCTACATGTCTTAGACCCAAAAAGTCGAAGGCGTGTGTCAGGCACTGGAGGCTGATCACCTACTTGACTATTCGATTTAAAAATGATCATGAAACAGATTCAGAAATCTGAGGCCAAGACTTAAAGAGGTTGTAGCGCCACTGATTTATTTTATTTATTTCACATTATTAAGGTGTCATTAACGTTGAATAAAATAATTATGCGAATATTCTACTACCGTTTTCATTTGCGTGTTCGTCGTTATCTCGTACATTCACAACAACCTTTTAGGTCATGGCCTCAGATTTGTGTATCTGTGTCGTGATCATTTGTTTATCTAATGAACAAGTAGGTGATCAGCCTTCCTACCTAACACGCCGTCGACTTTTTGGGTCTAAGATTTCCTCACAATGTTTTCCTTCACCGTAAAAGCGAATGTTAAATGCGCCCATAGACAGAAAGTGCATTTACTATAGTATATTTTACTATACTTATTATACTATACTTAAGTATTAGTACTTATAAGAATTAATCACTTAAGTAAGAGTTATTAAACAGATATAATCACAAAGTTAATACATTATTTACACAGCTCGATGGTACATAAGGTAAATATAGACTCACTTAGTGAATTATATTGAGCAACTACTACTAATATAAATATTCGTTACGTTATAGATATAACTTGACGTTTAGAGTGCTATTTACCAATCGTAGTCGGCAAAAAACTGCCACATCAATTCAGCAGATAATTTGATATTATTATAAGAACTACTCGGGAAGTTGATATAAGAAATATTACACTTGATTAATATATAGTGTCGTCTTGCATTGATTTGTTTGCTAGTCTGTTGCAAACGCTAGACCTGGCGGCGGCGAAAGCGTTTAATTGGCTGGCATCAGTTCTGCATGTGTCTGGCACGTACGGACATGGTTATGTGCCCGTTAAAATGCAGACAAAAACTGGCAACGCCTAGGTCACTGGCGAGTGGCCCAACTGACGGAGTCCTTAAAAAAAGCCCTTTCGTGCAATGAAAAACAAACATCATGATAAAAAAAAATATGATTCAAAATTAGTAGGTACACATATAAGATAAGCTAGGTGAAAATACATTCGGTCACACTCTGATATTGATTAGATTATATGTCTTTGCGTCATAATAAAAATTGAAAATAATTATTGATAATCCACCTGTTAATTGTTTGTTTTTAAATATAAAATATTTAAACGCAGAAAATTTCACAAATATACATAATAAATATGTTTTCAACCGAGAGATCTATAACATTTAAATTCAGTTGTATGTGTAATCCCCAAATGAGACAATACTTTTCGACATTATTTGTTAAATAAATTTTCGAAGTAGACATTTCGGGTAGTGGTAGGGGAGCCCACGATGCTAAATGGGGATTTACTCGAGCGTCGTAGAGACCTATTGGGATACAAAGCTTAGATAAAAAGAAGAAAAAAATGTTATATGATAAATTCCTTTTCATCGGTGGGGGAAGCGGCTATAGATAGTTAAATATGTAAAAAAAACTGTTGCATGGACATCCTCGAGCGCGTCAGATATTGATAGCATCTATGCCCTACGTATTTTTAATAATGTACGTATGTTAATCTGATCGTTTGCATGATGCGGGTGGTTGTATTTAAGGGTTGAAAATTAAAAAAAAAAAATTTATCGAGCGCGTCAGATTTTCTAAGGGAGTGTTAAGTGCACCAAAAAAAATCTCTCATTCACTAATCTGACGATTTCGATGGGACGCAAACCCACAGCCATTTTCTTAATTTGCAAAAAAAATCGCAATTTTGAAATACTCAAGCGCGTCAGATTAAGATATATGTGGTTCATCTTTATGTTCTAAACGTACTGTCTCATAATCTGACGATTATCTAGAGGGATTCGCCTGATCTGACAAAAAAAATAGAAAAACGGTTCACCTAAAGGGCCATCCCTGCAACTTCCCGCTAATTCCATTCCTGGGCGCTTAAAATTGATATTTTGAGCTCGCTGAGTTCAAAGAAATAACATTTCTATGCATTTGAGCTCTCCCAGCTCGAAAGTCTGATAGAAGTTTCATAGAACACTATTTTTGGAATTTTCAAACCGCAATAACTTTTGAATGGATCAAGCAATTTTCACGCGGTTGGCGGCATTCGACGCAGTTTTATCATTCTCATAAGTAATTTTGCAATTTTAATTGATCGAACCACAAATTTCGGAGTAATCCCGAAAAACACTTTTTCGGGTTTCTTTCATGTACGATATCTCTCGAACGAATCAACCGCTTTTGACCAGCTTGGTGGCGATCGACGTGGTTTTTCAAGCTCAAAGGCGGATTAGTTTTTGAAGTTGATCGATAAAGAAACCACTTAAAAAAAAATATTTCTTATTTTTTTAAGATTTTTCAAAATTTCTCAAAATCTATCGGTCCGAATCGGTTCAAATTCACAGGAAATGTAATTTTGAGGGAAATATTTTGAACGCCGTTTAGTAGATTCCGATCGGTTTAAGGAAATGTAGGCATCACGCAGCTGCACGCATTTAACTTTATCGACGAATTTTTGTTATTTCGGCTTGCGGAAATCGTCAGATTATATATTTTTCATTATTCTGGAATTATTTCCTTCAAAATAAAAGAAAAATTAGCTACGCTCGAGAATGTCGAGATGACGTTTTTTTTACAACTTTGTTGCCCTCCCCTTTTTTTCCGTCACTCTCAAATTGTCAGATTAGTGGAATATACACTTTTTAGGATGTAATTAACTCACCCTACCTTAATCTGACGCGCTCGGGAATTTCTGATGGTCAATTTTTTTTTACTAATCTGATCCTGTCTCCTTCACGCGCGGCCTTATATATGGGCCTCATATTTTGTGGAGGTACTTAACCGGGTACAAGGTATCCCCCTATATAGTAATCTGCCGCGCTTTAGTAAATCCCGAAATCCCCTCTTGGGCTCCCCTACCATAGAGAAGGATGATCTGCCACGTGATCAGCAGCGAAACTCCTCACTATAGACAAAGTACCTGCGACATGCCTGTTAATTTCTGTTGGAAATGGTTATGTGAGTTGTGACGTACCTACCTAAATAATCTATAATTTATTGAAACACTAATTAAGTTCTGTGGCGGTTTTTGTATGGATATATTCAATTCAACTTAAATAACTTACGTTGTGAAAAATTAAGTTACGTTAACGTTTCTAGATATACAAAAATAATTCCTAATAATCTCCAAAATCTTATCTTTTTGCCATTACAAGTAACTTGACTTGATCTTATTTTGAAGCAACAATTGTTACATTAAAATCCGACCTTAGAAATAAAAGTTATCATAATAAATAAATAAAAAAGCCTTTTATTTAAAGCAATATATCTCAATATGATTTGCAGTTTTCTTTTCTATTTAGTTCTTGTTTCACGACAGAAACAATCAATTCAACGTTTCTAAACAATAAATGTAAATGGGTAAATTATAGTTTTTGTTACGAATATAGTCCAAATTCTCATTTATTCTTATAATTATTTGTATGTTAACGTGATTTCAGTCTTTATATGTATGATTGCTTTGCACAAACCCGTCATTGGAAGGGAAGGCCTTCTCCGGCCGATTCCATTCCTCTTTATTCTGTTTTTAACATATTTTTGCTTCCAATTGTTTTAATGTCGTTTCAGCAGTCTATCTCGTCTTCTTTTCCTGTTCCATGTTTTATTTTAAGATAACTTTAGAAAAAATAGGAGCCTGACAACCCAATAATTTCTTTCACTACTGTAAGATTTAATCTATTACTGATTAGTACTTTATCTACAAAGTACGTAATTATAGATTTACGAATTATTCGAGATAGAAAGACCATGATTTAGTTACGTGAATAAACAATTGAAAAACAAAAATTTTAAAATCTTGAAAGAATCTTTGAGATTTTTAGATTCTAAGCCGATTAGTATCATTTAAGACCGAAGGGGATGTGAGAGTGGCAGTATATTAGGCCGATATTACTTAAAAATTGGTGATTGTCTTCTAATATGAAGCCCCGGGTTATTACCTTATTTCTTCGTCTGTTGTTTGAAAACTTATCATTCTAACAAGTAGGTGTTCGTTGTATATTTTTTAGACAACGTCATCTAAGTGTTTTCCATACATACAAATGTAATGTAAGTATGTAATGTGACTTCAGTTTCCGCACTTAGACACCCATTTGGTCCGTTGTGCGTTAAGTCCTCCGAGAATTTCTGTTCGTTGGGAAGCCACAGCCATGCATTCTACTGGGTGACGGATTCCTCTTCGCTGAAACAACATTCACACTATCTGGAGACAGGACATTGTCTGTCGCCCTAAGGAAAAAGAGTATTTTTTAGGAGACAGTGGCCCGTAATTGTCCCTATCATTATTTTGAGACATCTATGTGTTAATTACCCACAAAGTCATACTACTCTCAGTCTATGAATTATGTGTTGGGACAGGTCTTACTTCCTTCATCTCTTTTTACGAACTACTTTACAAGTAAACTTCCGCGAAACGAAAATTAACATTGGACGTTGATCGGATGTTCATAAGAATTCCCTAAAACTTTCCATAGCTACTTATGCTACCCCTAAACTCCAAAGTCTATCTGTGTTTATGTAAGATCTATGTTCTAGGGCGCAAAGATATGTGGCTTAGAAACCGATGCTTATTAATTATTTAGCCCCAGCCGTAGGTACTGCTAATAATTGCATGTACCTAGGAGATATATTTTATAATGTATTTGTTCAATTTATTTACCTAGGGCGGTAAATTCACGACAACCGAGTCGCAACTCGAGGGCTTTCGCTAGTCTTTAAATGAGAACAATGCAGATGCGGAGTCACATAGTCGATTTATACTTTTTCTTATGCTAAAACAATAGTACAATTCAATACCCTTATCAGTTGTCTAACGAAGAAACACTTGTTTTAACCGCTGAAGATTTATTCCAATTCAGAAATGATTTTATTATTATTAATATTAATAATTCAACAAAGCTGTTGTGATTGGGTAAGTAATATAATTATTCTTATAAACAATGCATCGTAAAAGTGTATAATTCAAATATTTTTATTAAACTGGGTAATTAATAGTAAATTAATCGTAATAAAAAAGTAAATACCTATTACCTTATTGTTTATAACTTACTACGCAGATACTTTTTATATAAAAACGCAGGCGGCCCGCGGGGTGGTGGTGTAAGGAGCCAAAGAAATAGATAATTTCGCAATGGAAATATGGACTTATGAAAAGTTGATTTCGTATACATAATTGCTAGTTACCTTTTTATTTAAATTAAACTGTATTTCTAGCAACGAAGTGTAGATAAATAAATATTCAAGCGATTTTTGCTCACAGCGAATAACTTATGTCGAAGTTGCACAGTGAGCTGCTCATTGGGAGACTTAGGCTGCTGCCTCGAATTTTGCGGGCAGCGGGGCGGCGGCGGCGGCGGCGCGGGAGCGGCAGGATCTTATGCGTAAAATCAAATGGACCGGTTCTCGAAAACAGCGGCGTGGCAGCGGCGCCAGGGCGGATAACGAGTGGTGCAATCGCCCGCTCCCGCGCCGCAGCCGCCGCCGCCGCCGCCCCGCTGCCCGCAAAATTCGAGGCAGCAGCCTTAAGGGTTTGGGTTTTAGTAATTCGTCCAAAGGAAGGGATGCTAACGCAAGCATTGTACCCTAGCAAGCATTGTACCCTACCTCCCCCAGCTTTACAAATCAGGGCGAAATGGCCGATGTGAATGGCCCTTGCTGTGCCAAGATCCATTCCACATCATTCATGGCCATAGAGGGCCCGTAATTTCAATGGTTGATGGCGTGGCGGGATGCGAAACAGGCTACCCTGTTACCGTGTCCTGTCTCAGGCGATGGCCGGTTTCGCCGTGGGGTTTTAGTGGGTTTGCACAGCTGCGAGTCCATCATAACCCTTCACCATGAGGCAGCCGAGCCGCGGCAGGGTATGCATAACGCATTTACTCACGAAAAAAAGAGGGGCTTAAGGGTGTATATCAGGAATTTAGAAAATGAACTAAGTACTACTAAAGACCGAAATCCATAATTGCGATACCTGTGAAAGGTCAATTCTCAGTCGGATGCTTAGTGACAGCTAAAGCCTTATGTGGAGACGATATGTGCGTTGGAATGCACGCGTCCCGCGATTTGGAGGATTGGAGGCAGTAAAACTAACATTAATAACAGGTGGAAGTTGAAAAACAATATTTGTTGCAAAGAAAATGTATGGAAGATTTTTTTTTAATTTTGTTTTATCCCTAGCAAATTTTACTGCCGAAAATGGGTAAATATAACTCATTCCACATCTCTTCTGTCAATTCCACACAATTTCAAATCGGACGTTCCGTGGAATAGCGATTTTAGCCAAGTATGGCGGCCATCTTGTTTTTGGGCTTTTTAGACTAAAACTTCTACTCCATCAAATTGCCACATTTACTTTCCTAATGCGTATCAAAAATTCAAGTTATTGTTTTGTTACAGGTTTCAGAATGGCTGACGCCTTTAGAGATGCAGTAGTGAGTAAAAATAATAGTTTTTCAAAATTTAGACTAAAGGATTATCCTATAACCCATGTCCGTGGTCATGAACAACCTGGAGGAAAGCACGAAAACCTTAAATGAATTAAGCCTTTATCCAGTGAAAATAATAAATAATTATTATAAATATTATTTAGTTTATAAATCTACTAAAAGAATTGGAAATGAAAAACTTTTATCTATATTTTATTAAAAATTGTCTTCATATGTCTCCAAATTATTTTTTATTTAGTTTAGCGTGTTGTCTTGCAGTAAGGAACCCTCAGAAAAACAATTGCTTGACCAATATAAGTGGACCCCGCAAAACGTAGAACTTTCGAGAGCAAAAGACTCTCAGGATGTTACGGATGACCTCCTAGCGGTGAAATTAAAACTCGTATCAACACTTAAAAGTGCCAAAGAACTAGCAGGCACATTGAAAAAACAGATCGGCGATATAGAAATTAAAGAGCGCTATCTAAAGGAAGCTATTGCCTATGGAAAGTATGATTGCAAATAATGTTTTTACGCGAGTCTAATAATAATTCCAGCTATTGTACAAGTGAACTTTCCGAAATCCACATCCATTACCCCCCAAAAAAAACAGTTATATTAAACTAAGCACAGATTACATGCAAATTTCTGCATTCAACAAAAGACAAAAAGCAACTCCTGTGCGCACTAGGCTTAGGCCCGTGAGCAACATTGCACCATTTTCTAAAACTAAACTTAAAAAGGAAACTATTGTACTCTTAATAATATATAGGCGTTTAAACTATAGGAATTCTTGGTTCAGATTGCATTGTTTTTATATAATTTTTATTGAGTGGGTGATCAGCGTTCTATCCTTGACACATTTCGTCGATTCCCTTAGCGCTAAGTGTGACTACCGTATGTCAAAAATGTATTAACTTTCACATTCGGGGTTTACGCACATAGGAAGAAAAATCTAATTAACCTTTGTATAGGAGCGGAGTCACAACACTGAATGTATTTACGACTAGTAGAGATCCCCGAACCTACATTATTCGAGATGGTTTTTGGTATATTTGCGATGGACTTGTGCAGAACTCAATAGCATCTAGGAATATCTTTAGTGACATTTCAGTTCCTAAATGTATAGGACAAGAGGCAAGTATGAGTTTCTTTCTTTAGCGGAAATAAGGTATTATGTACGTACTTATTACATTTATAAAGGATTAGTGTAATTATATGAAATAGTAATGGTAGAGAAAACGCCAGCACGTTAACTTGTAGCAATAATATAGAACGCGGGCTAATGTACAAGTTTTACCATCAAATAGTCGGACCTAAAGACAAAGAGTCGCCTTGATACTTTGATTATTATTTCTAATTTGAAATATTTACTACCTACTGTTAGTTTATTTTAATAATTATATTCACTCTTCGTAGTCTGCACAATATAATTTTAAGAAATCAAACCCATGTGATCCTGAAGTTAGGTTTTAAGTTTAAATCTATCTATCGAAAGAGTCGAGGAGGCCAATAAAGTTCTTACGCTTCCAAATTAAATTACCGAATACATAGAAATTGTACCCATTACAACGAATTATTGCAAAAAATTTAATTGTCTAACGCCAACTCAACGCAAAGCTTTAATTGCACTACCTTCAGAAAAATTTGCAGTCTTTGGTCTAATAAACCTTCATGTTCCAGCCAGTTCTTCACTCTTGCAATGCATTTGATTTACCCCTTACACGTACTAATATTGGGTTTCGTGCCCTCGATTCATAGAATGTGTAATTCTTACTGCTTTAAAATCATAGTTGTAATTGTTTTGTCTTTAATGCTCTAAATTCCTTTGTTAATATTTTACATATTATTAGTATATTTCGGTATTTTTTAGTTGTATTCCATTATTTTCTTATCTGTTAAGCAATTCTAGGACAATTCTATAATTATAATTTGTATTTTTTTATATACCTTGTAATTGTGTCTATCACGTTACCTCATCGAATAATTAGATAACTTAAAAAATAAATTAAATGAAGTATTAAAGATAATAAGTATTAAGATATAATGTAAAATACATTTACAATTTCTTTCCAGATTCCAAGCATACGTGATCCCTGCGTTTTTAACTCCATTATTAAATACGAGACAATTCCAACTGTGAGACGAGCAATATACGAGGAAGACAACTTTTTATGTCTCAAACCTAACTTTAATTTAACCTTGGAACAATATCAATCTGTGCCAAAACAAGTTGTTAATGATACATGCAAAAAAGGTACCGTAAAAAGTTGTACACCCATACACGCAATATTTATATACATTCGTCAATTAATTCAATAGGTTGCAACTGTTTAACGCAATGCTGTTTCTCTCAGCTCCAACGAATAGATTTTTCATACAAATGCTATTCGATCAATGCTTGACGTATGCTATGACGAAGGACCAAATATTATTAATATAACCCTGCTCAAAACATTTGAAGAAAACATTAATGACTGCTATATAACAGTTGGTTTTAATTATTTAATAATAAATTAAAGAAGCTCTGGCTGACAAGATCAACTGATCGGCAACAGAAAGAAGTTAAACAAATTGTCGACATGTCGGTCTCCAAAAAGGGAAAATTAATATTATAAGGCCTGGATTCACTTTGATTAGTGATTAGTCCAGGTGATCAGTGATTAGGAGAAAACAAGTGTGGACAGCGACTGATTAGTGCAGGTGATTAGTTGTCGGCGTAGTAACGTGATTTGAAGCGTGTTCTATTTTTTGCGAGTGAACTGCGAGTAGCCACAACCCGTGTGCTACTCGCAGTTCACTCCCCCTCACTCGCAGCGTGCCTGCCAAAACACGTCTGGACAGGCAGCAGGATTCTTCGGTCAACCTGAGAGCAAAGTAATATTCCGTAAAGTAATAGCAATTAGCAGCCAATTCCTTAAAGAGTTGGTAGCACCTTGAATGGATTAATAAAAGACCCATCTTCTATTAATCCATTTATGAACCCATACTTTTCTTGGTCTTGCAAGTTTAGGTTCCAAAACTTCTTCGGTTTCAGCACCGCATTTAATACTTCTTTCAGTACTTCTTCCAATTGCAAGCGCGCTTCTCGATGTTCGTCCAAACTTGCTGATCGACAGCTATCGGCAACTGAATTTACTTAACAGAGCCACTAAACAAGAATTGGACACTACTTGCACTAATCATCCTCAATTACTAATCACTTGCACTCGCACTAATCAAAGTGAATAAAGACCTGTAGGGATGTTTGTATGGTTATTTATTTTCAGACTCCGTATTTATTTATCACAAGAGGAGTTTGTTTATGGTAAATTTTAAGTAATATATATTTTTTTTTAGGCACTATAAAAAGCCTATCTGATAATTTGATGGGCTGTGGCGCACGCATTTTGGCGGAATACAGCTATTACCCCAACAGAAATATATTACCTGCAGACTTACAAGAATATTGTGCAGAAATCGATGGTTCCTGCAAGTTGATCGTTGCGTGGCATCTATCGAATTCTTCAATCGAAAATCATGAAACTCTAAGCAATGATAAAAATTTCAAAAGAACTTTTCTGAAAATGGGTTTGTTTAAACAAATAAAAGTGTAAATTATCTGAAGTATTTTTTATTTTGTGTGTATTTTTGTTATTCTGAATTACTTATATTATTTCAATTTTATTCGTTCTAACTTTTTGTCATGTCTAAGAATAATATAAAAAACAAGGGACGATGACGTAATATTAGTTTTTTTTCGTGGTCGGCAACACACCACCTGCAGGTGTCCATAGACGGTGTTCAGCACTTTATCCAGTTTTCGCCTGATCGATTGCCTCCTGTTCGATATTTTTTTTTAACCTTTAGCCAGGCCTAGATGCCCGGTCTTGCAATAAGAAGGTACAGCTCTAATGGCGCGTCTAAACGGGCCATGTTTTGCTGCAATTGATGGCTGCAACACTGTGGCCGGCAACATTGCAAACAATAGCAGCCACACTATGCAATATTGCAGTAATGTCCCGGCCATATAGCCAAACATGTTTTGTATAGCCACATATGGCCGATGTTGCCCCGATAGGTGGCCGGACGATCGCTAGGCTATCGAATTCAACTGCAATATTGCACGGCCAGTTCTCTTGTTGTTTCAGTCACTCTCTTTGTTATGGCATAGTGTATCCTTTTCTACGCGACATGACGTTTGCTTTGAGTGAAGTGTGCCTGTTGCTTTATTCTGTGTTTTGCGATCAGCTGTATTTGACGTTAGATTACTACGTAAAATGACTACTTTTGACATTCTAGTTCTTGAATAATTTATTATCAAGACTTATTTCTAGACTCAAATTGTCTACAGTTTCACGCCTATTTAAGTAAGGTCGAATCCACAATCTCTTCTTTTTCTGTTTCTTTTTTAAAACAATATAAGCTGCTGCGACAAGTGTGATTTCGTCAGCCATTGTTGCCGGTTTGTGTAGCCCGTTTAGGAGTCTGCATCATGGGTCATACTATTGCAACACATTTCCCAGCCATAGATTGTTCGGCCATCAGCTGCATTAAAATATTTTTGTAATGGCCGGGCAATTAGTGGCCAACAGTGCAGCCATCAATTGCAGCAAAACATGGCCCGTTTAGACGCGCCATAACACACATTTGTCAAAATATAATCGATAAAAGACAACTCGTTTTTTGTAATATTGAGAATATGGCAGGAGCTGTCAATCACATAGTGGAGCATTTGTGGACAGTGATATAGACCACGTTCACATAATAAATATTCAATGCCCGATAATCGAAGTTTTGAAAATACTGATCATGAACTTACTAAAAAGAAAATGATGAGTGAAAAAGCAGCATCTTCTTCACTAATAAACTATATAGGCCCAAGATGGTACCTACCTATAAGTACAATACAATAAATAAAAATTAACTTACTTGTCCGCGTGTAGGAAGTACGAACTACGAAGTTACATACCAAAATTTGACAATTACCAATGGTTCGAGCACTGGTTAACGTAAGCGTAACTTTTTAACGAACGTAAGCGTTCATAGATGGTGAATCAACACTTTTTTTGTCTAACGTTCGTTAGCGCCATATTTAACGGTTACGTGTCCGTCAAAATTTGTTGATGCAACCCACCCTTAAGTCTTCACTTTTAACACTTCAGTCTGCATGTACTAAACAAGTTCGCACGTTATTTAATTAATGTAGTAATGTGTTTTAAATCGATCTACAAAGAAGGAGTTGATTAAGAAAAACATTTTGCAGTAATCATTTATTTTCTGCTATGTGTTAGAGCCCCTCTTGAAAGGGTCATTAGTCATATTTCAGCTTGCTCTAAACGTCTCTAACTTGTAGAAAAATCTCGATACATTACACTCGGGTTGAGTCTGAATCTTCGTTACAATATTTACAATTACTGGTTTAATTGCAGTAAAAAGTTTTACAAACATAACTATTTTATATACGTAGACTAGAAAGAATAAATAATCTTACACAGTATTAATAATAATGTTAAAACAAACTAACAAAGAAATTAATTCACCATTATTACCATGTTATATTGATAAAATACTTCATGATTAGGTTATAAATAAATATTTTTATATTATTACAAGTCACTATATTTTAGTAAATAATAGTAAAATAGTTTTAAAGTTATTCCATCAAACTGATTATTACCAAAAACAGTCCCATATTTCCTTAAACCACGACTTAGGCTCTCGATTATAATATTTAGAATTAGGAAGAGGTACAACATTGTCAGTTGGACCCATTTTAAATATACTTACATAAGCTTGCCTTATACCGAACCTCCACATAGCAACATATGGCAAATAGGTACCTATGAAAACAGTCCAGTAAAATTGCAAATTAAGAATAACTCGACCGATATTAGTTATATATAAACTTAAAATCAGGTCGTGAGCTGCAATTTTTAATTTTGAAGACAAAGAAAGACGCTTGTACTGTGGTGAGTCGTCCAATGTTTTGTAGTCTTTCGCATAAAGGATTATTGGTGAAGAGTTTGGTAAGAAATCTATGGGGCACTTTTCTATTAAGTTGGTCGCATTCACGCCTGAAATATAACATAATATTAAGATTAGCATTGACTTTCAGTAGACAATTTTGTAAATTTTTAATGTATATACACTTACGCAGTGAAATTTCTAATTAAACCTTGTCTTACAAGCCTGCACATATGTTTTTGTTACAACATTATTAGTTTCTATTGGTTTTAAACTATTTATTTGATCGATAACCCCTACGAATCAACCACAAACCGTGATCTGTGGCGTCAGAGTACGAATTTAATTATTATATATAATTAACTTATTAACAGTGCTCGTAATATACAACAACCAAATTACAGAATATAAAAGTAATATTAGGTATTACGAGTACAACCTTAAAAATTATAAAATAAAAACTAATTCTTATATTGTCAATAGGAAAAAAGTTTTTGCGCATATTCTTCCTATGCTACTAGCCATAACTTTTATAATTCGTAATGTTGTTTTTCTTGTGCCGAGACAGATAAAGCGATACTTATATTATGTATGTGTGCCTTGTGAATCACATACTTTATGACTTACCCGCGTCATTGTTTAATCCGTTAAGTTGTTTTTGTAACTTTGTTTCCAGAGACAGTCTATCTTCCTCGGTATAAACGTAGCCTGGTACGTTCGATAAGTTCTTGGTAAGATAGACCAAAGCGTCGTGATCTATAGCTGGGTGAATGGTGTTCAAGCCTGATGCCATTACGTGAGCAGCGTGCTCAAAATAGTCTGGTGGACTTGTTAGACATGGCGTGAACACTTTGTCCTGTAGGATCCGGCAGATTTCTTTGGTTTCATCGTATTTTTTGCGGCAAATATTGTACCTAATAAATAATTAAATTTTCATGCGTTTTTTAATTGAAAACAGTGATTTGTGTTTGACTATAACGTTGTATAACTTTTATGTGTGCATTACGAAATGGCGGACAGAAGACAAATTTAGAGGGTAAAAAAAATGTTTATTATGGAACATTAGATAAAGATATCACTTATTCCACGTCATTAAATTTGAATATGTAGGTATTAGGGATATCTATCGGCAAAGAAGACAGAGGGTGTAGGCCGAGAGAAAAAGCCGGCCTAAAAAACTCTCTACTCTTTTAAAATAGCAAATCATCATACAACACTTATTTTGAAACAAATTATTTAGAAGTAGCCTGTCTAGCACTAGTCCCAGGCGTTTTTATCAACTAGATAATCGTTAACTTAGGGAGAACTAGTGATAGGAAGCCCAAATAAGTGCAGTCACATATTCTAATAGTCTCGTTCACAGCTCCGTAATAATTCATGTCGTCAATATTATTTAATGAACGATGTATTTTTATGTCCATACCAATACGGAATTTAAAAAGTAATAATGATATACCTGTCCTCCAAGCCAAGTGCGTGACCTATTACACCCCAGAAATGATTGAATGCCTCCCAATCGCCGGGCTGCAAAGCTCGTATACCCAGTCTATTCGGCTTTAAAAGCGTAAAACCTATAAAGCCAAACAGTGTGAAGGCCATATCACGCTGAGAGACAGTTCCATGGCCTTTAATCTTAGAAGCGCGGCTAGCTACTAGATGGTGGGACCGTATGGTTTGGAGAGACCGCCACGATCTTAAACATATAAAAATAAATAAATCAGTGGCGCTACAGCCTCAGATTTCTGAATCTGTTTCATGATCATTTTTCAATCTAATAGCCAAGTAGGTGATCAGCCTTCTATGCCTGACACACGTCGACTGTTTGGTTTAAGACATGTCGGTTTCCTAACGATGTAATCCTTCACCGTTCGAGTGAAATCCGCACATAGAAAGAAAGTCCATTGGTGCACAGCCGGGGATCGAACATACGAACTCAAGGATGCGAAGCCTCTAGGCCAACACTGCTCTAATAAATATACATACATATTTACAAATTGAATCTGTAGCTTTACATTTTACGTAGAATGTATTTTTCAACCTATTCATTCGGTTTATATTTTGAAGGCAAGTGTAAAAACTAAGAAGCGTGCTACTTACAGGCTACCTGGTTTCAGATCATGGTCAAACCAAGAATTAACGTGTGAATACGTTGACCAATATCGTTTGAAGGCTGTGTACTGTGAGTTCGAGCGTCGGGTTCCAACCAGAACACTTAGGATGGTGGGGATAGCCAGTACGGCGATCAAACCCAAAATCATCGATATTGACTGCATGAAGAAAAAGTCCTTTTGAAAGCGACGACCCCTATTATAAGAAATTATACAATATATTGGATTCAAAAAAAAATCATAATCATTTATACATATATCTAGGTAACACAATGTACACTTATGAACGTCGAAAAAGAAATATATATATATTAAATGCCTCTAATTTTAAATTTACTGACAGATCTCAAATCAAGGGCGTAGAACGGAAGAGAAGAACTGGCAATAACTCTCCGCCATTATTTTTAATCGCCAAGTTTTTTGTTTTACACAATATTTGTAAGGAGCTACAACCATTACACCACGTTCCACATGACATCTTAAGTAATAAATAATAATAAAATAAATTAAAAACAAAGATTTGTCCTTTATAAGCAGGAGTCATGGTGAAATAGGAGCACGCACTTACATTCTCGTGGGAACAACACGCAAACACATAGGTAGTCGAAATAACTAACATCACCGCATATACGAATTCAAGTCCGACCAGTCACCAGTAGCAACCGCTCACGATTCGCATGGTACATAACATATAATTTATAGTTCATATTAAAGCCCGATTAAATTTACTTCAAGCTGTGGAGTAGGTACTTAAAGAAAGGTCTACTCTGGTCTGCCATGCGATTCTGTAACTCACTTTTCGAACTCTCACAGCGGTTTTCGCAGCGGCGGTCGAGTCGTGAAGCAGTCACTTTACGATTTGGCATTCTGATAAGGAATGTAGTTTATTGTTTATCAGAATGCCAAATCGTAAAATGACTGCATAATGCCCGCCTTCCACTGCGAGCGGAACGGACCCATTACGGACTCCGCTATACTCGTAACGATGATTTTTATACATGTGCTTCCAAAGCGGAGACGAGCGCAACGGAGAGGGCGAGTTGACTGAGTTTCCCACGGAAATGAAAATGTATGAAAATCATCGTTACGAGTATAGCGGAGTCCGTAATGGGTCCGTTACGCTCGCAGTGGAAGGCGGGCTATACGACTGATTTGAGCGCGACCGCCGCTGTGAAAACCGCTGTGAGAGTTCGAAAAGTGAGTTACAGTATACTGGATAATATTCTTGTATGGTTCTTGACGAGATTTTATCGTCATCCTTTGATCCATTTAGGTAAATCCTTATTCAAAATTATAGGGATACATTACATGTCTTCAACAATAATACTTACTGATTATATTTTTTTTCGTCAAACCATTCTGGTAGTTCAATTTCCAAGTCCTCGACATTATCTGTATCACATGGTTGCTCATAAGCATCTTTGCTGAAAAGGCCATCTATCACTTCTTCGACTGAAACAAAACTTTTGTTTTTAATATTTGGCCGCAGTTCATGATTGGGAAAATAGCGTTAGACGAAGAAACTCCATTTTTGTAGCTTACACGTAGCAAATTTCATAATTTTTAGTAAGAAATAAGTTTTTTAATTACTTTCATTTAAATTACAAAATAAAGTAATAATAAAAAATATGCTGCTAATAAAGTAGGTGCGGCAAAAATATTATATAGGCAGCAATTTATTAATTTACTGTAAAAGAGATTTATAAGGAATGTAAAATTTTGGCTGAAGAAAAATTTGTTCTCATAGGAAAACTGTCAAATAATTGTAATTGTAACAAGTTGACTTTGGAGAACTGTATCGACATGACCCAATTACCTCAGGCAGCCTATATATCTCTCCTGTTATCTTTGTCATCTTTACGAAGTATCAAAGACAATAGTTTAAGATTCACAAACGAGTGTTTGTGCTAAAATTAAAAAAAAATTGGATTTTAACATATGTCATAGTACGCGCTAAGCCTTGTTTCTGACACACACCCTTAGAATAAAAGTATCAAACTCGATCCAATTACACCTTTTTAACAAATGCATTATTCTGTGTCAACCTCTAAAAACTTGATTCTCTTTTCAGGGGACCTTCATACGATTCGACATAAAGATACAAACTGCACTGAATTAACTAAAGTAGTTGAAAACCCGAAATATTTTATGACTTCTATTTGATTTATTTTCAAATAATTATTTTAAAACAACGTTCCAATGGTTTATTATTATGGACTTTTACGTTAATATCACATTAAATTTACTTTAGGAGCTCCGGACGTATGCCGAAAAGGTACTTATATTATAAATGTACCTAATGCATTTTTATGTAATTTAGTGCTTGGAAAATAACAACGTGACAACATAAATAATAATTAATGATTACAGGTGTCTTTAAAAAAACCAAAAATTAATACGACTGAGGTGTTTTTCATATTTTATTGTTACAAACTAGTACGTTTATTAGCAAGTAATTTGGCCTCTTATTTCGATTGACCAAATTCAAGAATAAATGTCGAGGTACAATAAATTTAAGCCAACTCCGATAAGTTGGTAAAATTGGTTGAGTAAAAAAACGTTAAATTGTGGGAGGCATGCGAAGATTGTTTGCAATTTTGTTTAGGTAAAATAAATTTATACGCTGGCATTGAGAAATATGTGTTAAATAAAATAAATGTAAAGTTAAATCCTAATGAGCACTACACAAAAACATACAATAACAAGAATCACGTTAGATCCTTGAACTAACATGCTCATTAATATTTGAATACTAGCTTATCGTATCTCGCTGACCACTATTGCCCAAAACCATTAAAAAGTCGAGTTATTATTCGACTTAGGGTCCTTCAAAGAAGAGCGTACCAATTCTTGAAAGGCCAACGCAGTTGCGAGCCTTCTGGCGATGTGAGCGTCCATGGGCGGCGGTGTCACTTAACATCAGATGAGCCTCCTGCCCGTTTGCCTCCTATTACATAAAAAATGAAAACTATTTAATAATGCATTTATATGAGTGAAAGAAGTTGTAATAAATCGTATTAATTAAATTTGATATATAAAAATTTATATATAGATATTTAAAAAGAATGCGGTAATAGTTATATAAATGTGTTTAAATGTATCTGAATTAAAGCCAATTATCATTACACCGAATTCAGTTATCTTTCCAACTCAAGCATTAAAAAATAAATCCCAGATAAGAGGTCTGATTAATAAAAATAAATCACAAAAACAAGACATAGAAACATTAATTCATACACTCATACTTTTTGTTAAGCAGGAAGAAAATTTAATTAGGTAAAATTATTTGTGTGTAGTTATTTAAATAACAGGTTTCGAGGTGGTTTTTAAAATTGCATGCTTGTCATTTTTGTCATGCTGGTTAATGGTATATAAACGTTTGTTGGTTATAGGTACATTATCATAATGTAGAGTTATCTACAGATTTCCGCAACAGGCAACTTAAGCCGGGTCCAGACGAGTGTAACGTGTAATGTAAGATTACGTGTAATTTAGCATCAACAGTGTGGACGGCACACGAACTCAAAGCGAATTGTGAACGCGAAAATATTTCAAAAGCTGTTTCCACTCAGTTGCTACGAACATGCCGAATAGGAAGGTGATAGCTGGTGCGGCTTTTATTTTCATGTATTTACTAACTGAAGACCGCAAAAGTCGGAAGCGTCGATGGTGGAAAACTAATTTGTATAAAAGAAGATCTTCTTTACTTGTGGAACTAAAATCTCAACATATAAGCGGTCAATATAAAAACTTTACCCGAATGTCGCCTACTGACTTCGAATATTTGTTAACAATCATTGCGCCTAAAATATCAAGACAAGACACTATAATGAGATCTGCAATTTCGCCGCAAGATAGACTGGCTCTAACACTAAGATTTTTGGCAACAGGAGATTCATTTACAAGCCTTCAATACACCTTCAGAATTTCAAAACAGTCAATGTCTTGCATTGTACCAGAAGTTTGTGAAGCGATTATAAAATCATTGAAAGAAAACATTAAGGTGAGTTTTACATATTTTTATTTATTTATTAAAATAACAAATTAAGCTATTGTATTAAGTAGGGTAAGCAAAATTAAAATTATTCCAAAATTAAAATTAGAAAGTTAAATCAAATTGTATCTTCAAATCATGTAGTACAAAATTTATTCTTTTCAAATCAGGTCATTCACAAAATCTACATCTTCATATGAAGTTTGAGATAGTTCTGAGGGAACAGGTGAAGCATATGGAGCAGTAGGGCAACTTGTCTGTTTCTGACCTGTTGAATACCCACTGTAATTGAATGCCGATGGATAATAATGTTGAGAAAAGTTAGTGCATCCTTCATCGGCTTTGAATATTACGTCCATTATTGCTCGCTGCACGGCGTTTTTAGTACTTCTGTTATATTGTTGCATCTTGCTGCATATAAAATTTGAAAAGAAAAGGGTTTCACTGTTAAAATTGTTTGGATAATTGTTTCGGGGTTCAGGAGTAGGACTAGAAGCAGCACTCTTAAGCAGGCCAAGAGCCTCCGAAAGCATACCCATTTTTTTATTTTCGTCTGATTTCTTTTTTTTGGGGGGCCTGACCAGTTGGTGATATAAATTATGAACTGGTATCATTTTCTACACTTGTAGATGCACTCTGTTCCGGTTCATTTGTAATCTGTAATTAAAAAGAAATTCATTGTTTCAGCTGCCAAAAACAGAGTCAGAATGGATCCAGATCTCAAACAGATTTGATGAATTGTGGAATTTTCCCCATTGTGCCGGAGCCATGGACGGTAAACATGTCATTCTCGAGGCTCCGGTACATAGTAGCACAGAATATCGTAACTACAAATCGAATTTCAGTATAGCGATGTTTGCTTTAGTAGACGCGGAATATAATTATAAATTTCTGGATGTCGGATGTCAAGGCCGCATTTCAGATGGTGGAATTTTTAAAGAAACTGAATTATATAAAAAAACTAGAAAATAATTCGTTAAGATTGCCTGCACCTGAAGCACTGCAAGGTAGAAACAAAGTAGTACCATATGTTTTTGTAGGAGACTCTGCCTTCCCTTTACAAAACAATATAATGAAACCCTATCCAGGAGAATACCCCAAGGGATCGCCGCGAAGAATTTTTAATTACCGGCTAAGCAGAGCTCGCAGGATTGTAGAAAATGTATTTGGTATCACAGCATCTGTGTTCAGAGTTCTACGAAAACCTATGCTCCTTCAGCCCAAAACCGTGGAGACTATAGTCATGGCTATTGCACACTTGCATAATTTTTTGAGAAACACGGATTCATCTAAAAACTTGTATGCACCCTCTGGCTCACTTGACAGCGACCAAAACGGAAGATTATGTGAAGGTAGTTGGTGGAGAGGTTGTGAAATGTCATCTTTACTTCCATTGAATAATGTACCTAGAAGAGCTGCCTCAACGGCAAAACAAATTAGGGATGAGTTTAATGACTATTTTATGAACGAGGGTACAGTTTCTTGGCAGAATACATATTGTTAAGTTTTTTTTATCAAGTCGAAGAAAACTAGTTCAATGCAGTTACCTCTGTGTTGCGTCGTTTCCTTGGATTATTTCGATCTCCTAAAAATCCCAGCGCCTCGTAAGCAAACCATGTACTTTTGTACGTTTCATCCCCACCTGTAAAATAAATTACAATAAATAAACAATACAATAGAATATAGTACATATATGTATAGTAAAATATAGTAGAATATAGTAATATAGTGGGTATACAATAGAAGTAATAATTGTACTAAAAGCAAGTAAGTGATAATACCTAAGTAAAAACTAAATTAATAAATAAAAGTGTGTAATATGTAAAGCAACAGGAATTTATAATAAAACATACCTTTTCCGGAACTATGGCTCTTCTTTACTTTTCCTTTTTCTCTTCGATGTGAAGCAAGCAAACTAATCATTTTGTTTTTGCATTCTTCTACATCTCTTTCCAATGAATGAGCAATATCACTCCAAGCATCGTGTGTCAGATTTTTTTTTATAGTATTGCGGGTTTTTTGGATCCCAAATAACAGGTTTTTCTTGATACAAACTAATAAGTTCAAGCGATTGTTCGTCACTCCACATCATGAACGTACATACGACACAACCGTCACGAACGCCGTCCAAACGAGCACTGCGAGCGTCTTTGTGTTCGCGCGAAAAACCGACAGCCGATGGATCAACCCCGAGCGCCGCGCGAGCGTATGTAATGCTCGTAGTGCCGTCCACACGTAGAATTCGTGTTACATTACACGGTGGATTACATTACACGTTACACTCGTCTGGACCCGGCTTTAGATAATATGTAGGTGCAATCAGTGGCGTAACAATAGGGTGGCAGGGCTGGCAAAATGCCACGGGCCCCCGACCCAAGAGGGCCCCTGCCCAAGAGATATTATGGATATTCAACGACTGATCACATACACGGTAGATTTGGTAGTAAAAAAATGAATTTGGAATTCTCCGCATTCATCGACTTTACTAAAGCATTCGACTGCATCTCACATGGAAGTATATATGTGGCGAGCACTTTCGCTTAGCTATATTTTTTTGTCTTAAAAACAATTATACTAAAGAATATAATTATATTGTTGTTATATATAATTAAAGTTATTTATATAAAAGTAAAGCACGAAAGTAAAAAAAATATATAAAAATACAACACGATAAAAAATGGTTAAAACCTATTAGATGTTTAAATAAATTAAATATACCTATATATATTTTATTTTAATTTTTTTTTACATATCTACCTTCTAAATCCATTCTTCAACTGCGGGACAGTTTCACAAATTTGTATTTCAATTTTATAATTAACTTAAAATTTTGTTAAGGCTTTGCGCGCGGACTTCTGTAAATACCTAACTGGTTTCTGCCTGTATTGATATTAAGTGTAATTTATATATGATTATTATATGTCGGGGCAACGGCGGTATTGTAAGCTGCCAGTGTCATTATAAATATGTCAGTTATAGCAGAGCTCATACATTTGTTAATTTATGACGTGACATCAAAGTGTAATCAGTTTATAAGCGATAATACTTGTGGTTTATTCCATTTGCCAATATTGCTAGATCTACAAATTGAAAACTATTTGAAAATCTCTAGTTATAGTGATTCCATAGTCATTATTATTATTAAAAGTAATTTATTATGTCGAACCGATGGCGTTACAATGCTCAAATTAGTTCAAAATCGTTAATACTAGTGGTTTATTAGATTTGCCAGCGTTGCTAGATGTATAAATTAACGACTATTAAATGGTCGATAATAATAGTGATTTGAAGTGATGGAAATCCCTACCGCTGCCTGGATGTACTCATCCGGCGCTTGATCGCGCACCGCACCATACCAGCCTGCAACCACCAGCAGTTCCACACGCTGGGCGTGTATTTAGCTATCGCCGGATGAACCACCCGCATCATGGCCATTTACATGCTAGGCATAGAAATAGCATTCGACTGTATCTGGCATGCCAACCTGGTGCTCAAGCTCGCATAATCTCCCACGTTCCTCAACTAAGACCTGTCAGGCTTGGCAGAGCACGGTCACCTATCTGGGAGTACAGGTGGACCGGAGTAAATTGGTGCAGGAAAAATCGACTGCAGCTTAACTCTGCGAAATGGGCTGTTATTTCTTTTTCCAGAGCACGGACACCGATATTCTATAATTATTACATCGAGGAACAGCCAATTCCAAAAGTAGCAGAAGTAGAATTGAATTTTCGGGATAACATAAAAATAATTTGTGAAAAAGCTTATAAGAATTTAGGATTTATTTTGTGTATGGCCAAAGAATTCCTAAATATAAAAGCGATAATGGCATTGTATAATGCACTTGTTTATTAGGGGCCACTTGGAATGTAACTCTTTGATGTGGGGCCTACAAGAAATAAATTGACGATACATTTACATAAGGTTGTATGGAGTATACCCATTTTACCCAGTATAATGTGGAAATGTTGTAGAGACTGGGGCTGCGTGTGCCAAATAATCATACTCGGCGTGGTAAGCGGTAGTGCACCTAAAGAGTGCCCAAGCGGGGAAACAGGGGTCCATGCGTTCTAAAGAAGGGATGGTGATCCATCCCTGCAAGCACAGGACCCGATCTCCCCTAGCTATTCCTAAAAGCGTATGGCCCGTCGCCCGATCTGTGAAGGATACTTGCTGTGTCAAGTATCTTCACAAATCAACAATGGGCGGGGAGAGGCGGACACAACCGCCGCATCGCATGTTGGGAAGCGGATAAGGCTCTGCTGTTCCGTACTACCGCATCCCGCCTAAGGCGATTGTTGGGGTTTTAGTGGGGTAAGCGGTCGCAATTGCTTGCAGTGCCTCGAGCGCGCGCGTACAAATTTACTCAGAGAAGCGCCGTTTACACGTGTCTTGGGCACCCTGAATATTATTGCATGTGAGACGGTTATAATTTGTTGCACACTGGCTGAATTCACAGGAATTGCATTATTTATAATAATTAGTTATAAAAAGGTAAGGTTTTATGTTTTTTTTGTTTTGTTTATTTTATGTTTTTAGTTTAATTGTTATATTAATAAGTTTTCTATTATATTATTAAGTATTAAGTTACTGTAAAAATAGGAAATAAATAAATAAAGAAAAATCGCGTTAAAATTCAAGACGTGCTTTCTAGTCGATGTCAATATTCTAATCGTTAATTGTCACATCCTTTGTTACACTCGCTTCACTTATTACCATCCTTTCTCCACGAGTAATCCTGGACCTTCCGTCACTATTATGGAGGTGCTGCCCTTGTTACTCGTTCCTGTGGCTCATCGACTTTAATCTATTCCTCTACTAACTCCATCTTATATTATCACATAACTATGATTCTTTCCAATTATTGGCAAATCGAATAAACCATGGGGATTAGTCAAGATGCCTTAAACATTCATTCAAACGAATCATTCGCAACGCACGCCTGGCGATGTCTGTACGCGCCTTAACAGTAGTGTTTGTAGAAAGTCGATAACTAAATTTGTATGAAAATTTGTCGACACGAACTGTCATAAGTATTAACGGTTCTAAACTGTGACATATAAATACAATGGCAGCTGAGGCTGACAATAGTGCTATTGCTCCGAGATACTATTGACAGCACATTCTTGAAGGAATTCAACATTCAACGGCAAAATATATTCTAGATAGATTTGAAAATCTTTGCTTAAGGGTCTTTCAGGATAGTTTTATATTTTTCCCCTAGAGTTTGCTCCAAATTTAACTTCAGTACTGAAATTAATGTATCATAAAGTGGCTGTTAAGTACTACAGAGCCTAAACGCAAATGTGCTCTCGAAACGAAAGGTTCTTAATAAGCAGGTTTTAGGACCTTGTGGTTGTGTTTGCTTATATGAAGTTTACGAAATAGATTGTCTACCGAATTAATTGTTGTGATTTAAAAATAACTGCACAAATGACAATCATAGTATATAAAAAATAAATCAAATTTATAGTATTTTCTTAATCTAGTTCATTATTTATTCTTGAGTCCAAATCACGTTGAAGATCAAATCATATCACGGATTTTGCATTTTTTTTTACTTTCGAGTTCGAGATGAATCACCCATGGAGTCAATCATGTATCAACGCGTAAGCTGTGGTGAGTGGTGACTGGTGACAAACTGACAACTGACAACTAACAATAAGGTGTTGAAAAAGAATTGTTTGTTTTGAGATGAATTTATTACTATTTTAGCGAAAAAATTGGAATAGTTTAAAAGAAAAAACGAAGGGTTTGAAAAAACCCTCTTAATGAATAAACTGTTAACTTACTAAAAGAGTAAAAATGAAATGTCACATTCCAGGGCCTAATGTTAAAGGTTTAAAAATACATTAAAATAAAACTCAAATTAATAGATATGACTTAGATATATAAACGTGTGATTTTAGTTTTAGGTAGAACTATTCATGCTTTAGCGAGATTCGGAGATGAATTATATTTAGAATCGTCGCCAGATGCAATTCTTTTAAGGACACTAAATGCAACTGAATCAGCTTATGCCATGATTAAGTTTAACAAGGTTTTCTTCTCATATTTTAATTATAACTTCTATTCAACTGATGATAAAGAGGGATTAAAATGTAAAATATCTATGAAGAGTGCTCTTAATGCTTTTAAATCCCCTACACATATGGACAAACAAGTAGAAAACTTAGAAATAAAACTAGACCCTGAGTCATGTAAACTAATATTTATTGTAAAATGCAAGCATGGTATTGTTAAGACACATTTTGTTTCTATATTAGACTGTAAAGCAATGCAAGCAGTTTACTCTAAGGACTTAGTGCACAACAGGTACTTAACATTTTGATAATGACTTATTATTATTTAAATTTAAACTTTTTAGACTCTGCAATGATACTTTAACTATTTATTTTACAGGATAACATGTTCACAAAAAATATTTACAGAAGCTTTAGGAAATTTTCAAAGTTCAGATGATCAAGTAACAATTGAAGCAAATTCAAACTCTTTCATCATGCGTAACTATGTTGATTGCAACATTGATTTAACAAAAGTAATTAGAACTCAGATTAACATTAAACCAACAGAGTTTGACAGTTATGTAATTGGAACAGAAACAATAATTACTTTTACTTTAAAAGAATTTAAAGCTTTATTAGCATTTGCTGAAGCATTAAGTTTGCCTCTACAGCTACAATTTGAAATAACAGGGAAACCAGTTGTGTTTATAGTTCACAATGGTACCACATTTGAAGCACATTTTGTATTAGCTACCTCTAAACCTGATACAAACACTCAAGCCTCATCAACACATAACAGTTCATCTGTTGAAAGAAAAAGAAAGGAGGTGCATAGTAAATCAAATAGCCCTATAAAGAAAAAACTTCATTTAGATGTAGATTTATCCAAATGTCTGGATGAAGATTCTCATCTTTTTAATTATATAGACATACCAATTGAAAAAGATTTAAATAACATTGACAAGTCAGTACATAATAAAACAACTGGTAGCCAAAGTATACTACATGATAATATGGAATGTGATAATATTATACCAGGATCCCCAACCTCTAAAATAAAGATCAAAGCTATATTTAAAAGGTGCTTTGAAAGCACATTTGATCCTAGAAGTATTCAAGGTTTAGTTTTAGCAGAAAACTCTGATAGTGAATAAAATAATGTAGTATCTAGTAGTTTACTTTTTGATTAATAAATCACAATAAATTTAGTTTTAAATGCTAACATAAGGTACATTTTTTTTAATAACATTTTGGAAAGTACTGGAATTTGAAAAATAAAATATCATTACACTGCATTATGATTTTATATTAAAAAATATACATACAGAGCAAATATTGTACACACCTTACAAATCAATATTTTAAGGGTGTTGTCATGCAGTTTAATTACATAACAAAATTTATTTTTTATGTATTGCTATATTTTGATCATTGTCACAGGAACCATTTCTATTTAAAATATCATGTATATTAAACATTTACCACAGAAAATTAAATACAAAATAATTATTTCACCCTAAAAATGGTGATAGATTAAACATTATTCTTATAAAGCCCAATTTAAAAATTGTTACATTTCTTGCATTAACTCTGTCCTTAATTTAGAGAAGCAATTGTTATAAGTGTAGTACATTCTTAATTTAATCTTTTAAAGCATCTATTAGATTTTTGATAAACTAGATGAATTCCCTTGTTCTATGAACATGTGCAATATATTATTGGGGCAAGGTGCAAATAATGTTTTACAAAAATCAAAATAGCAACAATTCACTAAAAATTAATTCTAAGAAATAAACTAAACTCAATCAATTGTTTAATCAGTAATGACAACTGGTCACTTTAGGTAACTCAAATTTACAGACAATATGTGTAAAAATAGTTTTAGATAGCAATTACATTTTTATCTTTTGGTTTTATCTACAAAGAGATCTCACTTGAATTTTAAGAGTGCCTTTTGAATAAAATATTTGTTTTAATTGCTTTCTATAAAAAAGTTATGGTACACGTTTTATTCATATAACATAGCTACCTATACTGTCTTAAAAAAGATGAAAAAGATCTTGATTTCTACTTTTAATTTAATCTTTAGAATACGGCAGCAATACCTTTTTATTATAATAAGTATTTCATTTAAATTCAATATTGTCTCTGGCCCAGTTGGGAGGGCATTTTAAATTGTATAACCATGAGTCACAACAATGCTTGGATGCATCACAAATCACTCACTATCCAAACTAATCAATGAAAAAGGGCACTATTTAGGAACAATCCTCTTGACTTTTTCTCACACATTGTGCTACTTTTCTTTTAAACTCCAAATATGACTCTCGCCATTCTTTCTGTAAAAAACAATTACAATAAGCACACATCAACAACCTACTTTAGTTTATGGGTGTGCCATTTGGAGTGTGTGACCTAGTGATATTATGCTGATTCATTAAATTGTTGTCATGTGTCCCTTTTTCTGCACTCGCTATCTTGTTTTCTCCTAAAAGCAATCTTCTTGACTTTTCCTAACACATCTGGCAACTTTCTTTTTGAAATCCGAATATCTTTCTCTCCATTCTTTCTGTGGATGTAACATGAAAATGTATATAATTAGGTAATGTTAATAATGTGTAAAATTTGCGATATATGTATTTCCTCAAAGCAATTAAGCTTTACATGCAAGAAACAAAATAGCTACAAGCATTTGCTTTAGTTTTTATATAAAAGTTTACTCTATTTTATTATGCAATGAATTATACTACAGATGGATCTTACCGCTGCATCTACATTAGCAGGACTTTCATCATTAGGGTCAGCCAACATTGAAATAACACTAATTAAGATTGTTTCAACAGTGTGTACTGGAAGCCACCGCTCTGATGCTTTTTCATAGCCCCATTTATCATCTCCAGGCTCATGCAATATTGAAATGCAGACGTCACCATTCTTTTCAACTAAAAATGTGAAAGTGCAGAATGAAAACAATGGTTTAATTACCCTAATATACTTTATTTTTTGTTTAATTTCTGGTGAAAGTCATTATTTGTGTTGGAAGATAGATCACTAACGCTGCATATAAAGACATAATAAAAAAACAGTAAGACAGATATGTTTGAATAGTTTTAAAAACAAGGAAAAAATTACTTACTATTTGGATGCCAAATTTCAGTTACAAATTTCATTCGCGGGGGTCTCAAAGGGTATTCTTTAGGAAAATATAAGTGTGCTTTGAAGAATCCACCCTCACTGTAATTAAAAAAAGTTGATTGTTAATGCTCTAAAAATAATAATGAAACAAGTCATAGTCAAAGAAATAGACTAAAAATGTCTCAATTTATTAATAGTTTATTTCATATCCTACTCACTACAATGTGTCTGGTGGGCCAATAATGAGGACTTCCCATCTATATATGTCATTGTCATCTATCAAACCAGCAGAAAATCCTTCCACTGGATTTTTGTTTAGTTCTGAAAATCATAAACCCGATATAAAAATCATTGAACATGATTATTTATTATGCTACAAGATTTTGCCAAAAGAACACGAGTATCAACTCTCCTTTTTGTCTCGCGACTACCGACTGTCAGCAGATGAATATTGATTTTATTTAAAATTTTATTAAAGATTTCACTCATACATAGTCCGATTTTGGATAAAACAATGTAAAGTGACTGTACATATAATTTTATCATGTATTAGAACCTAAAATACCATTCGCTAAGGTCAATGATTGCACGAATTCGGAGTTGCTTCGTGCTTGGGCAGCAACTATTATATCTATAATTATTTATTTATAACACCAATGAGTATTTACCTGCAAGTTGCTTTTTTAACAACAGCGAAGACTGTGGCTCTGACATTAATTACAATTATGAAATTTACCCTGACGACACGAAAAAAATGATTTTTCACAAAAGATGGCTGGCTGAGTTTTGGGATTGTGAAACATATGAGCTGTGCTTGTTTCCGGTGTATCCACAGACATTGCATATTGTACTAGTTTAGAACAGATTATTTATTTTTCAAAGGTACAACTACGCCATCTACTTTTATGTAATATATTTTTACTTACGTTGTTATAAAATGTATAGATGAATCAATGAAGCTATCGAAAATATTAAGTAAACTACAATCTAAATATATGGCACAATAAAAAATCCTTGCTGATCATAAATGCAGGCGTGGTTCTTGACCATTATATTTGAGTTGTCGAGTTATTTTAATACTTTGATATTTTATTGGTATTCATTGAAATCAAATTATGTATTTCAAGGCCAATCAAATACTTGTTTAGGATAATGTATTTATGTGGATAAGGATTAACATAACTATTATAAAAACAGCTTTAGAAATTATTATTTTAGAACTTAAAAATGTTTTGTGAGCATTGTCGGTTTTATAATAACCAAAATTTAATAAGCAAATTTTTTTTGCAAGGAATTTATGTCGAGCGGTGTCGGGACAACGGTAACTGAAAAAGAGACTTACTTGATGTCTCGGACCGGGGTCGATTTAATTTAGTCAAATTTAACCCAAAAAAAACACAAGTGCGTTTTCTGCTAAACAGAATCCCTTAATCATAACACCATTATTCGTGGAAACTAAAAGCCTTATCTAGTATTGGAATACTCAGTGTCGACATATCGAGCGCCGTTCAGTTACAAAGCCATCTTGGTAGAAGTAGATGCTTGGTGTGCTTAATACTCCCGGCCCCACGTGGAGTACTTATACCAACTCTTGGAATGCACCACATCCAACGCGGCTCGAATCGTCGACAAGCTAGTTATTTCTGATCAGCTGAATCTCTTGGTGTTGCGTAGAGATGTAGGCTATCTTTGCATCTTCTATAGCATTTGTTTTAAATATGTAGTTTATTAATTATTATATATATCATGGAGAGCGATCTGAAGAACTTTTCGGATTAATACCTGCGGCTTAATTTCATCATTGACGGTCAAGACAGAATGCGAATTTGCACCCGATTTATGGAAGCAGATGCCATTCCAGGTATATCCGAACCGTTACGAATTCGCAGGTGTGCACTTAACTTTAAGTGACCCGCCTGTTCGTTGGCCTCCTGTCCCACAAAAAAAACGTGTTTTAAAAATCATCGCCCATACGACCTTGCTCGCTATGAATCCGTGTATTAATCGCGTTGGTACGTGGATTACGGGATCGACGATCGGGTGGTGAGTTTATGGATGCTTATAGTGGCGTAACAATAGGGTGGCAGGGCTGGCTAAATCCCACGGGCCCCAAACCATGGGGGCCCCTGCCCAAGAGATATTAATATGTTCGATCATCGATGGATGTGAAGGCGATATTGGGCTAGCGTGCGGACTACAGACATTCCCTCTCACCTAAGAGAGGCCTACGGCCATTAGTGGGACATATACCTAATTGAGTACTCTGAAAATATCAGTGTATTAAAATTAAACTGAGTGACACGACGACGTGACGATTTTTACTGATAGGGCCCCATCAAAAGAATGTGCCACGGGCCCCAAATGGTATAGTTACGGTACTGCTTATAGTTACTAAAATTGTTTAGCGCCTAAAAATATATATATAAAGAAAAATCCCCGGCCTCATATAGTAACATAGTCATTTGCGCGTTAATAAACCCATGGAAAAACAAATAATTTTTGATAGAGATATTTTTAATTGTTTAATTATCACATCATATAATGTGACCATTCTAAAATTTGTATAGATATTATACAAAACTATTCTGATTTTGTAATATAACTAAAGGGGCATTGTAACATACATATTGGTGATGCTTCGTAACAAAATTCTAAACATATTAGTGAAAATAAACCTCTTTTAAACAAAATATTTATTCATATCTCAAAAGGACGAAAAGTCAATTACATATAATTGTTTACGAAAAATAAATTCAATTTGATTTATTTCATTTTCTAATTATATCCCGTTTTTGTCTTCTTTATGTTTGGTGCGTCAGCATCCGATTGCATACTTTTACGTTTTTTCTTATTCTTTTTTGAATTTTTACCATTTTGTTGACTTTTTACTGGACCTTGATTATCCTCGGTAGTTTTTTCTGTTTTCTTTATCTTACTTATATCTTCCAATAAATTTTTGTAGTCCAATTCCGTATCAATGTGGCTACTTTCGTGAAATGATCTTATTATATTAACAAATTTCTTTAACAAAGTTATAAAATTCTTTTTTACTGTATATGAAATGTTATCTTTAGATACTTTCAATTTACTTCTGAAATCCGTTTCTATATCTTTTAAATTGTTTTTAAAATTGTCATCATTGGGTTTATTTCTATTAAGGCCTCTATAAAAACCTATCAATAATTCTAGACCTTCATTACGACGAAACTGACGGATGTTTTCATCGAAAATATTACTTATTATAATAGGCACAAGTTCATATATGCCTTTCCAGTCTAATTGTAGGATACTGTGAAAGAATATTATTGGTAATACACAGCTACGGTTGGTAAAGAAATCTTGAAGTGTGTTTTTAAGTATTTCTTCTATAGGACAAGCATTCTGTGTTTTTGGAGACTTTTTAGTAACGGTTTCTAGTTTTTGTGAACAATGAAGAATGAAACTTGAGAAATTAGTTATGACATCACCAAGAGCTTGATACATAAAATGGGATCTTGATCCTTTTTCAATAATTGATTTTAAATAGTCACTTAGAATATTTAATGTAATACCATCAACGGATGCAAATTTCCTAACTTTAGCTAATGTTTTTATAGTTTTTCTAATTCTGCTTTCTAACTCATTTAATTGATTATCTTGCATACAAAATTCTAGAGCTCTAGTAAGGGGTGCTATCATACTTAAGCATATATCCATTGATGGATCTTTTTCTAGGTAAATATCAACCAAATCTAATGCTCTGATTCTAAAATCTGATAACGTTTTTTTGTTCCTGCGTTCTTTTTTTGACTTTTTATTTTTTCCTTGACTGTGTTGTTTAAAAGCTTCAGCGAGTGCTTCGTCCAGTTTTTTTCCTTCTTCTTCATCTATGTCATCTGCATTTATGCTTTCTGCATCATTATCGATAGCGGCACTTCCTAACGCCTTCTGAACCGCTATTCTAAGCTGTTCAGGATCTTTTAGTTCATCGTCTTCATTTTCATCATCGTCAATCTGATCACTATCTTCGCTACTGTCATCATTCTCACTATTCTCTGCATCGCCATTCTCTTTTATGTCATCAGTTTTCAATTCTTCATCATTATTTTCATCCTCTGAATCACTGTTTTGGGTCAATGGGTTCTCTTCACTATTAGGGTCCAATATAGATATTATTTGTTCAATTGATGATGGTGTAAGATATTCCCACAACAGTCGAAATACACATTGCACAACTGAACGTAGAACACTGGACTCAATGGAGAGTATTGATAACAATATTTCAATCATTACTTCAATCCATTCTGGCTCATCTTCAGTTAACTGGTTTGCTTTTTTAGATTTCTTGTTACTCATTTTGTAGTGATCATAGCAGTCTTTTAGTTCTTTTATTGAACTGCGTGCAACCTTCACATGTGTAGGTTCTGAGAATAAGAACAAACCCAGTTGGTAAAGTAAAATAAGAAACACCATGTCAACCTTAGCTTTTGAACCATTCTGTTCAATTTTGTCACATGTCTCCATCAGCATGTCCCAACAAACAAAGTTTTCTTTTGAAAATTGTTTTTCTAACTTTTCCTTCACTTGTTCTTTTTGCATTACCTTTGATATAAAGTGACATAGGGCTGATAAAACTGTCACAAGATTATCCACATTTGTGAATCTTGAAGTAAAACAACGATAAAAGCATGATTTTATTGATCCTGAAAAGTAAATAATGATTTAATTTTAGACACAGATTTCCTTAGAAATTAAAAAAAAGCATGATAATGAAATTATGAAATGTGAAGTTATACTTCTTTTGGCGCGTTAGACAAAAATGATGAGAGTAAATTTTTACGATGCGCGCGCACACCGTCACAAAAAACCGACACCCTAAATATCTATTCAAACGTCGGTAAAACAGTTAGGGCCACTAGTTGGCGTTTGCTCTGTTTTACCGACAAGTTGTATTGTCTGTCATGGCGTAGTGTTTTTCAGTCGTCTTCATTTAAACCAAAATAATGATTTCTAAACGAGAAAATCCGTTCCAATGTGATTAAAAACAAAGTGTTTATTGTAAAATATCATGATTAGTACATATTATATTGTTTTGATTGGAAGTGACCATTAAAATTGACCAGAAAAATGCATTCGAAGAAGAAAACTTTTATCTAAAGTTCTCGAAGAAAAAGATTTCTTCAAAAAAGTATAACTTCTAACACACACATTTTTTTAATATATATATGTACCTGCTAATTCGCTGCTTACAGCAACGTTGTCTTCACCACTAATTTTAAAGAATCCGAAACACATTAACAGCTGCATATAATTAATTTTGAATTCTGTGTCATCTTTAACTGCTTCATGGCTTACTAGTAAAGATATCAACTCTGCAGCTTTTACTCTTTCGTTATTGAACCAGTGCCGTTCAACATCTTCTTTAACAGTTTTCTTTGAAGTATTAAGAAGAACTTTTTTCAATAGTTTAGCCATCTTTTTAACTCCATCTTTATCTAAATCCATACTTATCAATTTAACAATGTTAGTTCCAGTTAGATCGGTAAAATTTATCTCTCCTGGATTAAACAACAATTTCTTTAAAACGGTCACTCTTAAATGGTTTGTAACTGAATCAGATTTTAAAGCTTTAACAAGTGAATTAAGGATTTCCTTTTCTTTTTTAATCATAATTTTTTGATCATCTTCATTTTCATTACGATTTCTCACTTTGCTAGCTGTCTGAAGGCCTTTGAACCAGTCTAAGAAGAGTTTGAAAAAGTTTTTGCTTAGTAAATCTGGTATGACTTCCACATTTTTGTCTAGATTTAGTAGAATAGCATTTAGAATATTGATGGCCACAAGCTCCCTGTTACGATTGTGCTTTATAAGTTGATCATCAATTTTTGACCAAAATGTCAAAAGTTGGGGCAATTTAGCTATTTGTTTCCCTACTTCTTCATAGATGGGATGATTTACAGATGAAAAGTCAATTCCCTCCTGAAAAAAGCAATATTATAATTTTTTTGTGAACTCAGCAAAATTAAGGAACAAATCTAGTTGAGTTTTTTCTAGATGGCACATCATGATTTGCAATACCATTATGATAAATGCAATATCGATAAAATACTGACAATGTATACTAACAAAACAGCATAATAATGCTTGCTATTAGATGGCTGAGATTCAGAGATGTTATAGTAAGGAGGTTAGTCTGGAGTAAGCCGAGTCGCGGCTAAGCAAAGTTTATTAGTTTCGTTTTTTTAGTTTCTTATCAAACAACGCGATGTCTAGTTTCTGTTGTTTTTTGCATGACTACAGAGAAAACTTTAAAAAAATATATAAAAGTGCGAAATTTTTATTATTATTTATTTAATGTAATATAGGGTCACTTTTCGGTAAAGTAATTTTTTTTCACAGTGGGGTCCGAAATAAACAAAAAGTTTTAATTTGAAAAAAAAATATATCGTATAACTTAATATTATCTTGAATACACTCAATAAACAACTATAAATAGTATGTCTAACGCAAGAACTCATCAGTACCAATCTAGTGGATATTATGAGAAAGATACAGGATTTTTCGAATTTTAAGAAGAATTAGTAAAAAAAAGTCAATTTTCATATAAAAACCAGAATAAATCATAACTCTGCAGGGGTCGACCTTAGAGACCTCCCGTAGAACAATTTTTTGCCGCTGATGACCGCATCTATCCCCTATTTTCGTTTGATCCACGACTTTTTGGCTACCCTGTATAAATGTATTCTTAATTCGAATTTAAATGTATCCTGCAAACCGATGTAACAACAATCAGTAGTATGTAGTTGTCATCATTGTGACGAGATAACAGCTTAGTCTCACGCAAGTTGTCGAACTTGAACTTGACTTTGAACTTTCTGAATACAAATATAAGTTAGTGATGGATTTTGCCATATACTTCATAGTTTGTGCCAAGTCTCGTTCCTGAATCTCAAAGTCTTAATAAGAATTAAAACATACCAAAAGTTTATCACATATATCAGCTATGTGGTCATCATGTAGTATTTCAGGAACCCCACATAATTTTCTCACTTTCACTGTTTTAGGAAATTTTGAACTGACCACCAAAAGAAAATACAGAGAATCAAGTGTGTGCTCCTTTATTTCCTTTTTAAAGTTAGGTTTGATAGTTGGCCACACAATACTTGAAAATTGTTCTTCACTTATCTGAAAGAAACATTAAAAATTTATCACAGAATATTGCTTTGCTATTTTGTGTAAGACAGCATATGTTTTAGATAACTTTTATTTTTACTTGATTCAACTTGACCTATTACTCCATCCCAACACTCAGAACACATTTAAACTATTTTTTTTGTGTGGTAGAGCTATGGTATGAATATTTTATGTTTTAAAAACTTTATTTATATTTTAATTAAGTTTATTAAAAGTGCTAAATGTTTGCACTGCATTAATGGTAATGTTAATTTCCACGACTTAGCGAAAGTGTGCTGCGAGTAGAGGTTCCAGAAAAGGCCCGTTAGGACTGGAGCCAACTCAGGAGCACAATCACATAACACAATTGATCACATCGGAAAATGGTTGCTGGTGCCCTTGGTCCCTTGGTCAACCAAAGTCGAGTTGGACGCGAAGAGACAACCAAAAAGCTCGAATATTCCCTTTCGCAGTATCGGCTAGCGAATAATCTTCCCTGTGCAGGGGTGGAAAGGAGGCCTCCTTTCCACCAGGGAATTTTCCCTCAGACAGCTTGGACGAGAGACCAGAATGCTCGAGTCCCCGAATAGACTACCTCACAATAGTCCAACGAACCCTAGTAAGCATGGTCAGTGTTAAAGTTGCCAAGTATTATGATTAACTAATTACTCAACTTTGGTTGGCCTTAACCATACCAACCATAGATAGTAATGGTTCCTTTCATATAACATCAACTGTATTATGCCAGAAAAATGCAGTCCCTATAGTTTTGTTATATAGAGCCTATACAGAATTGAAACGGAAAGCCATACAACAAGATACTCTGCCATAACCTGCTAATAAAATATAATATTTTTACTGATATGACCTATATAATGTATATAGATTACATCTATGTAAATTTATCTCAGGAAGTTTTAGTAGATAGCAGAACACATTTATCCAGATACTTACTTCTCTTACAAAGTCCAGGAGTATGAGTGTTGCGATGGTGCTCAAATATACTTTTTTAGTACTTGCATTTTGCAATATTTGTATTGTTTGCTTTTGTTCCTCTTCACTACATTTAAGCATTAATTGAGACCTAAATATTGCTCCACAAACAAGTATCTGACCAAGAGACACATCTCCAACTTCCTGAATCAAGATTGAAAACATAAAATAAAGTTGTTTTTATTTATAATACTAATCTACTAGTCATTCCTTACTAGAAGTTTGTTTAGTAAATACTTATGAGATTTTTACTAAATTTAAAACTTACGCTTTTAGATGAGCCATTTGCATGCAACTCTTTCTTTGTTAGTTCCAATAATTGAGTAACTGTAATGTCTGGAAACTTGGATAAAAGGCTGACAAGTGCGGCAAAATAACCTGTTCTTATATCAGGTGTATTTGCTCCCAGACTGCGTATTATCCTTCGTAAAGAGTATTGTATATCCTTTGCATTCTGTAAAATTTTAAGTTCTTGGTATTCTTTTTTAGAATATTAAAGAAAAATAATTTATTTACAAAAAACTAACCTCACTTAATTGTAATTGCAAAATTATTCTGGCTCCAGCAGTTACTTTTTCATCGTGTTTATTGGATTTTAATGAATCGAATGCTTCTAGTATAGATGATGCCACCTCTTTTCTCGGCTTTTCTAACGTTGTTTCGTCTTTCATTTTAACCAATTTATCATATTTTCATTTATCTTGATTTAAAAAATCTGAATTCAGAAATTCTAATGCTAAATGCAGACCACATGGGTGACATGAGAAATGAAATGGCACATGGAATAACTAGGCACTCGGTACGCATTTACCAATCACCACACAGCACCACAGCTATAAGCACAATAGCTTATAGCATAAAAAGTTTTGACACCACTATATATATTCTACATAAATTTTCTCTCTAACATATGAACTACAGATAAACGCTGTGACTTGTATTACAATTAATTATCAAAAAATATTTATTATTACATTATTCTAGAAAAGTTTACATTTTAAATAATATGAAAGTAATATTCTATAGATATATTAATTATCAATATATAAGAGTTTAAAATATTCTTAGATTTATAAATTACACAACGCCCGATTGAGCTTGTAATTCAAGTCCAGCAAAAAGACCACTTCTAGAAAGCAATGCGCGCGCAAAAATTAGTATTCTGTGTTTCTAAACATGGCAGGTCGTAGTGGTTTTGATGATGGAAATCCGAGGTATTTATTATTTCAATGTGTGTTTTGCATGAATTTTACAGAGAGCATTGTTTTAGAATAACTAATAAATTTCTACATAGTAACTTTGTACAACACCCAACATTTTCAGCAGAAAAACACATTTTCTTGACGGTGCGATAACATTGAAAGAAAATGCTTTTTTAACTATGAGTCGTCCTTACACGAATTGATTAAGCTGTAATAATATCCGCATAACAATTATCTTCAATTTAAAGATGTGTTTTGTTCATTGATTTAGTATTATAGGTTATAATATAGCACGGTTGTCGTGATTGTTCAGGGATTACGGTGGCGGGAGAAGGACCGCCGGCGGTCGCCCCTTGCCTACAGAGCCACCTTACAAAGCCTATGTTGGAAATCTACCATCCGGAATTATACAAGGAGATATTAACAGAATCTTTCCCGTAAGTATTATTACCATTCTTAATAATAATAATTTTACATAAGAATAACCGTTTTTTTTTATCTAATGTGAAACTTCAATTCACATTAGATATTAAATAATCTTAATTGGGATAAGAGTTTTATAAAAATATATATCTATATCAATCATGTTTCTTTTTATCATTAAAGATTTAGCAAGCTTCAATGTTTTGGAGTGTGTTAACCATTGTAATTTTCATATATACTTACTCAGCTGCCACAGGAACCCAAAGTGAGCCTTGGCCTCAGAAACTGCTTTTTTATTTTAGTTTACTACACTTACTATGGAATGTATAATGATTTTAGACATGATACTACTTTAAAACACTGGCACTACTTCAATTTCTCATGATATGTCAACAATATTCAAATGTATTGTACCTTAATTACAAAGTGGTAATGTATTTTGGAGTTTATAATGAAATACTAAACAATTATTTCAATCAATTTTTGGACTGCAACCATTAATATATTCAGAATCAGATCCTTCGACTCTATCATGATTATTGTAATTATGTGTACTACTAAAACATAAAACATATTAAGACAGTTGTAAATATGTCTAGCTTAGCAGATGTAATAAATTTGTAAGGCTTCACTTATATTAAGCAAACTGTAAGCTAGCCTTATTTTTCATGCGAGTTGATGTTTCAGTTAATTTATCTCCATAACTAATATAAAAAATTACCTAATACCTTCTATAAGAAAAGTTAAATCCTTTATGTTTTTAAACAGTTTAAACTAATTGTTACATAAAATTCATGCTATTTCTACTTTGATTGATTTTTTGATTGAACTACTTTAAGAAACGTTTTTATGTTTATTTAAAAAAGTGTAACTACATGCATTTGTTACTTGCTTACTATTAAATTTGAATAAAATAAGTATATTGATATTATGTATTAGTTATGTCAATATTCTATTATATATATATATATCTTAAATCATGTCATAAAGGTCTATTATCTATATTTTTTAAAACTTAGTCCAAACCTGGCCTTATGACTAGGCTACAACTGAATTACACAGTTTCTGGGTGTAGTATATTTATCACTATAAATGTCTAATATATTCATATAAAAAATTTCAGGACCTGAAAATTAAAAATGTGAGGTTAGTAATGGATAAGGAAACTGATAAATTCAAAGGCTTCTGCTATGTGGAATTTGAATATTTGGATGATTTGATCAAGGCAATTGAAATGAATGGTGCCCTTAATGTAGATGGAAACTGTGTTAAAATTGATGTAGCCGAAGAAAAAAGAAATGATAGGTGAGTAATTAAATTTACTTGAGTCATTTTACATGTAGTAAAGTAGAAATAGGAGAGTTTGTTTGATATAAATATGACTACTGTAAATTTGAGCAAGGTTAACTACAAGGTTGAATGATTAGCAGGCTAGTTAGATTCTGATGTCATAATACATAGTGTATATTGTTTTACCCACAAAAAGTTTTTTATTTATATTATATTTAATATGTAAGGAAAACAAGTGTAAGTTTAGCCCTGGATAATAAAAGGAAAAGGTGTCTATCATATTTAACTTGCACAGTTTTTTTGGCAATTGGCGAAAGAATTAGTTGTGTTTGTCAATCGTGTTATGTAAATTTCTAGTTCTAAATCAATCACATTTGGTGGTTCAGGTATCCATGCACATCTAATCTTAATCTAATTATTTGACCTATTTTGTAAATATGCCATGATATGCAATTTTTGCAAAATTATGATTTATTCACTTTGAATTAGGAACCTACAGAGACTTAGAGAATTTGATCAAATTAAAATCAAATCAGAAACAAATCTAAGTGTTGTCTACCTAATGATATAAACTATAAGAAAATTTTACAATTGTTTGCCTTATCATTTTTTAAGTTTGATCATGCCTGGCAGCCATACACCAAATTTGCTGGCTGCTGTGAAACCTATTAACTTATTAAGTGATAGGGAGCGTTCAAGTATTACGTAACGAATTTTTGGGGGGTTTATAAAACGATGCGAGGCGGGCATTGAATTACGCGTTATAATATAATTTTTGACTTTCCAGTACTTTACACCACATAATGGTAACTTTTAAGTATAAAGAATCACTAGGTGGTCACGAAAGGTTTTACTATACTTGGGTACAGAAAAACGTTACTTGGGTGTGTGTCAATAATCTCCAAAAATTGCGTGATGTTATACTTGAACGACACCACCACCATTTACATTTGCAGACAACCTATTACATTGAGATAAGTAGGCTCAGCCCACTTAGAAGACATTTAGCATGATAAAACATTGCCACCATAGGTTGTAATAACTCTGTTTGATCATATTTCAGGGGAGGTTTCGACCGGGGTCGGCGAGATGGTGGACGCGATGGTGGTCGTGGGGGATTCAGACGGGATGGAGGCCGTGGTACGTACGACCACTTCGATGCCGTCGGTCGCGGCCCAAGGAACCAGGGTGGAGGGTTCACACATGGTAACATCACTAACATTCATACCACAGAGAATAAACTGAGCAGCCAGATTTGGTACAAGAAGTTCCTACAAGTGTAGGGATGCAGTAGCTAGAAAGTTGTGAGAACTGTATTGTTGCACAAGCTCATAATATAGCCTTATTTTTATGCAATAATTCTTTAAATAATGAGTATTGCTCAGTCAATTTTCTGTCTTTTTGGATAAGGAAGACTTGTCTGGACTTATCTTAAATATCTTAGTATGTTCGGAGTTCTTAACTTTAATTAGCTTTAATTTACTTTTGGTTCATTTTTTTTGGTACATTTAATCTTGGTACAATTTCAAGAAGGAAAAATTTTAAAAATATTTTACAATTGCAGCATAAACAAAATGTGTTTAACAGACAAGTCTTTCTACAATTTCCTTTTTCATTTATGCCAATTGCTTTTTTCATTAACTACTAACTTGTATTAAGTATTTCATTAAGTCATCATATAAACATAACACTTGTATATTGTGTGTTTATCATGAAATGTTATGTGTCGCCTCGCTGCCTCCGCTTTTTGTCGGTTTTTAATGCTATCAACCACACTCGCGCTCGCTCACTTTCTTGTTAATTACTGTAAGGACTCTTGCGTTTATTGTGCGACTGAGTGAAGTAACTAGTTGTATAGATAATTTTATTAAATCAAAAGTGGGATTGGATAAGCAAAAAATTAAATATAACCTAACCTATACAGAAGTTAAAAACTAAAAAATCATACATTGCTACTTTTAGCGGACACTTAAAAATGTATACCGGTATGAATATTATTTATATATATATATATATATATATATATATATATAATATTATGTATATAAATAATATGTAATATTATAATATTGGTAGGCACATAAAGTAAGTCCTGCTCTCTCTCCAATCACTTCCATCTTGTAGTAGTAAATGTAGCTAGCAATTAAATAAATCAAGATAATATTTGTATTTGGATACCATTCATGAAGCCACGACTCGACAATATCTCGCAAGTGTGAGGCCGGCTTATTGTGTATGTTAGTTTAAAACTCTGTAAATGGATCTTCTTTTATAATCCTGCTTGAAAATTAATATGGTGATTTATTGACGTTCGTTGTGTCTTCATTAAAATTAATTGATGAAAACAAGATTCATTAATAGCCTTAATAAATTTGTTATATAAAATATAAATATTTTAATAGTTAAAAATCACGCTCTTAGAAAATTTTCTCAATGTTTTTATATTTCTGAAAAAACATCTAAGATAATTTTTATCTATAGCTTTCAGTTCCGGCTTTGCACGGCTTTATTTTACAAAAATGTACACATAGTATATCTTTATTCTATTGTATATGTATATTGATGTCTTCATTCTCCGCAGCATACACGATGTACGAATTTTTCTTAGTATTTATTTACATCTTGGGTTACACTTGAGGTTTTCATTTGCATCCTGGAACTTCATTAAAATATTCTGTAACCTACGTTCATGTGGGATAATGTTGAAAGTTTATCAAATTGGTCTAGTAGTTTTGGAGACTATTAATGCAAACAAACAATTAAATCCTTCCTCTTTAGTGTAGATTGGTGAAGCATATAAAAATAATTAAAAAAACAAGATAACATTAGGTTAAACAAAAGTAAAATGTCAGACCTGTGATTGATGATTTTTCATAATGAGGTCTGACATTTGAATGTGTTATCACATTCTAAGGTTTGACACTAGACAAAATGATGGTATTGTTAATAGGATAATTCTTCAAACCTTTTTTGAAAAATATTGGAACTTGTTATGGATGTTGTATTTGTATAATAGATAATAACTGTATAACCATTATGTTCGATCTAACATGTTTGAAAAAAAAATTGCGTTGATTATTTGTATTAAGTGCTTCGTGGTTATAATATCTAACCAACAAATCGGTATGGGCTTTATAAATAATTATACCTTCAGACCGCGAGCGAGGAGGAGGTGGAGGCCCTGGTGGTGAAAGATGGACCGAGCGGGGCCCACGTGGGTCCTCAGAGGAACCCCGTCCTGGCGACTGGGGCCGAATGGGGCGCTCGGGGCCTGCCCCGCCCCCTGGTGGAGCTCCACGCCCAAGGAGGAACTTTGACGATATGCCGCCCGCTAGGCCTGGTATGTATCAGTTTGAACCAGTAGGTCTTATAATATTTCATGAAATAATATACTACAGCCTGCCGAAAGTGAACCGTCGTGGAATCTAGGGTCGCAGCGGAATCTTACCTTTTTTGATATGTTGACAACAATTACGTATTTATAGTTGGGCATATATTTTTTGTTAACAACGCAAATAAGTATTATATTATATAATATATATAAGTTGTATATTATATCATGTAACATGCATACGTACTCTACTATGTAACTGGTGTGATTCTAAATGTAAAAAAACACCTATAATCTAATTAAAACAGAAGATGTAAATTAACCTAATACTTGGAACAAAATCAATAGAACCACTCATCTTTGGTCTTGAACCGTTGACCTAATTAGTTAAATAACAATATGATGTTTTATTTGCGGATTCTCTTTACAACATACCATCCGTATCACCTCGACGTCCGTCGTTCCACAACTGAGCGTTTTTATGGCATTTTTGCCGTGCACCACCACTATGTCCTTCAAGAAAAGAGCGGACCAAGTTTTAAAAGGCCGAAACGCACTTGTGAGCCTTCTGGCAATGTGTCCATGGGCGGCGGTATCACTTACAATCAGGTGAGCCTCCTGCCCGTTTGCCTCCTATTACATAAAAAATCAAATTTTAGAACAACTATATCCATTATTTCAATCATAATTTTATTTTCATTATCATTTGATAAAATATTTTCGCAGATACCACTGGTAGGCCAAAACTAAAACTAGAGCCAAGAACAGTTAAGGAGCCAGTAAACTCACTGGCGGCCACAAGTCAGGCCTCTTCCATATTCGGCGGCGCGCGACCGCGGGAGGAACGACTTAAAGAGATGAGGGAGTAGATACAAGCTCTAATAAAAGCCGATAATACCCTCACGTGTATCAACTCTTATAAAATCATATCATATAACCTGGTGAACTGCCATGAAAATAACATGTGCTATGTGTAGAGACACATAACTTTGCTTCGGGAACCTGTAAGGGACGGTTTTTTATAAGTTTTAATTATTTGTCTGTTAAGTGTTTTCTTACGGTTTGATAATTACAAAACACTTTTTTGGTTAAAAATGTAGTAAATGCAAGTAATTTTCTATACCTTGCTTGTCACTTCTCTGTAACAGCTTTTTTTCCATCTGTCTACATTAAAATAGGATTTGGAAATAAAAACTTATTATATATGTATGTATATATATTACTACGATATTTGCTACCTTGGATTAATATTTTATTTCAGACTTATATGACACAGTAAATTTTTTTTTTTTAATATTTTGATATTTCAAATTACAGTGATTTTCTATAAGAATATGTACCTGTTATAAATTACCATACATTATATGAAATTTATTCAATAATCTATGTCATGTAGGTCTAAGTAAAATAATGTAAGATATGAAAAAAATTGTTTTATGTAACTGACAAATATTTTGGGTAGGCATCCAAAATAGTAAGTTTAAAATATATTTTTTTTACAATCGCACGGTTTTTAACTTAAACTTTTAAGGATGACGCATAAGACAAACAATATAATCTATAATATTTTAAATACGAAATTGTGTTACACTTGACTTTTTGACTTGAAATTTTGTGGGCCTAATGTGCTTGAGTTAAATCTATGTATATAAAGAGTTGAATATGTGAGGGGATAAAAAAGGCTTAAGTTAGATAAAGTTTCATTCTGTGTACATGTATCGTCCTATCTCGCCTGCTATTCTATGTATGTTCCATTATTTAAATGAAGTTTCAGAAACAACTTGTAAATGTACTGGAAGTATTTTGTTAGGTTGTGAGGTTGTAAATCATTTTTATGGTATATTTTGTTAGCTTTGTTATATCTATTGATAGAGTACCTTCATTTTGTGTATGGTTGAATATAGTACTCACCATTGCCAGCCTATAAACTTCAATGGATAAGTTATCAATTTGCATAATACCGAGGTTATTGTTGATTTGCTTTACTCATTCTATAAACCCACATTTTCATTTTCTCATAGGATATTTTAGGTGTCTCTACACCATTTTCTTTTGTTTTAAGTTGTTAGGTTTTGAAAATTGTTCTAACAAAGTAAGTAAGTTCGAATCACCAATGATTCATTTATATATAAATTATCTTCCATGTACATGATTTCTACTCTATACTTTAATGTGTGTAATTTCATGAAACGTGGCAGTAAAAAAAATCGCAAAATTGTAACAGGTTATAGAAAAATAATAAAAATAAATTCTTTGTAGATGATGTTTTATTTTTCTCCTTCGTACTTGTGCTACTTATATTATTAAAGGAAAAATTTGGATGCATGTTTATCATTTTAAACATACAAGATCAGCTGGTCAAATATATAAAAATTAGTTCTGAATAATACAATATTAAAAGGGTTATCTGGCTAGTGAAAAATATACTTTAAATGTAATAAGTAAAGAAAGGCCAATATGCACCAATTAAGGCTGAGTCTATTTACTGGCAGTATATAGGTGATAAGTTTAAAGATTCCCTGAAACCAGAATCTTCCCTGCATCCTCTTTCAATTCTCAATACAATCATATCAAGTTTTTATATATCTAGATCATCATCTGGATCTTCATCATCCCAGTCATCAACTGCGTCAGGTTCATAAAACACTCTTCCTTGACCTTCATTTATTTTACTCATATATGGTAACTTCAATTTATTTTTCTCCAACTGTGATATTTGATCGGTCTCTATTTTAAATGTAGTTAAGTTAGCTGGAGCAACCTTCTCTACTTCATCTTTCTTACTTAGTTTGACAATTGGTGTTAGTTTTACACAGCCTATTTTTGAATCATAACAATAAGTTTCATCACTCTTAATAAATTTACCTGCTTTCTTTATTTGTATGCTCAGTTTATTGTTATGTTTTGGATAGAAACTTACTATTGCATGAGTCATATGAATCAAATTAATTTGGAGCTTTGAATTAAGTAATATGCAATCTTTGTGTAATATTAATACCAGTTTAGTTACATTAAGGTTAAGCTGGAAATCTCTTAACTGTTTAAGACATTTATTCCAACCTACTGTAAGAGCCATTTGGTTTACTGAATCAATTATTAAAGTTGTATTTTCCTTTAGAGTTACAAAATTTGTTGGTACTTCTTTATAACAATTAATATGTTTGTTCATAAAAATTCCTTGCCAAGCAGAAACTGGCTGATCAAAGCAAAAGATGTTCACGTTGTTATCATCTTTTACTAGTTCATAAAGGAGGGGTAAGCAGTTTTTATTGTTATCTTCTTCAATAAGTATTGTTGTTGCCGATTTCAGTTTAAATAATGTCATTTTATTATTTTATGGTATGAACACTGATCACGTACCTAACCAATATTTTAGTATTTTTAAAATTCTAGACTTTGATAATTTGCGCCACAGACTAGAAAGCCGTACTACACAGTCTACAATACGTAAAAAAATTCAGAATAAATAGAATTTAGACGCTTTAGAGTTTTAGACTGGCAAGTGGCAACCCAGTCCCAGCCTGTAGTATCATGGCCTAAAGGGGTAGATACCAGGGGCCTTAGTCAAGATGCCTTAACAGTAGTGTATGTAGAACGTCAAAAACTAAATTTGTATGAAATCTTTTCGACACGAACTGTCATTTCCATACAAATTAAGTTTTCGACTTTCTACATACACTACTGTTAAGGCATCTTGACTAAGGCCCCAGGCCATAAACTCCAAAAAAAATTGCTCTGTAGTGAGTAGTCTTGATGTTAAATGTTAATGTGCGTTTTCCAATTACAGCACTAGAGCGCATTTTGCGGCATAATGCTCAACGTTGAGTGTTCCAACTACAGCAACGCTTCGCACAATTAAGCACTCTCAAAACGAATGCTCTCGCAAACAATACCAACACAGTGACAGAAAATTGACCAGTATTTTTCTTTAAGTTGGCATTTATCGAAATTTTCGTTAGTAAATACATTATTGGGGGCCTCATAGCCTAGCGGTCTTATTAAGTGGCAGCTAGGTGAGGGGTACCGGGTTCGATTCCCGGTTCGAGGGCAAGTTTTAATTTAATTCAAATTTGTTCTCGGCCTTTGGGAGGGTTGTGCGGTACCGGGCGAGTGCTTAAACCGTACATAAAGGGCACTGTCGAATTTCTAAAAGACGAGCACGAATTATAAAAAGTCCTATACTTGACGCTGGCTAATGCACAAATCGTGCCAGAGCCATAAAAAAAATACATTATTTATTGTTGAAAAATTTGTAAGGCTTTCGTTTCGTCGTAGATTTTGAAAATAATTAAAGTTATTTCAAACTGCTAAAAAAATAAATATTAGTATGGATGAAGGTATAAATAGTTACTTTTTTTATATTCCACATTTAAAATATGAATACAATTTTATTTTAAAATTCGGATCTGTAAACAAATTTAGTTTACAGGATTATACTTTAGAAAAAATTGCAATGGTTTTGAAAAAGTATATATTTTTTTAGAAATCATTAAAAAATATTACTCAAAACGTAAATGATGTAAACTTCTTACATTAAACTAAATATTTTACTGTTAATTTAGCTTGTTAAAACCTTATATTCTTTAAAGGTTTTCTCTTATTTCAGTAAAAAAAAATTAATGAAATAATTTGATTATTAAATTAAGCGTAAAAAGTTTTCAACCAATTATTATTGTTTACCACATTATTTATACATTATGCATCTGAGTAAAATGTAAATACTAAATTGTTTAATGATCTGTGTCGTGATGCTCATTGTCATTGCTCATCCCTAAAGTCCACTCACCACTGTCCAATCATGTTTTCATAATCTTAAAAAATTGTATTAAGCACTACTTAGTACTTACATACTTAATACTTAAATAAAATGCAGATATCTATAGCGAAATTTTTTCACCACAATAACGTATTAAGGCAAATTATTTACGTACCTGCATACAAGCCACCTGACACTAAGGACCTTAACCATTTATTTAACTTTTTACGAGAGCACAAAAATGTTCTAGTACTTACTGGTGCTGGAATATCAACAGAATCTGGTGAGTTTAACACACTTAAGTTTGATAATGTATCTCAAATAAATAATTTTCTCTATTATTTGGATAATGATTTTATAAGGAATACCTGACTACAGATCTGAAGAGGTTGGTTTGTATGCCAGAACTAATCACAAACCTATACAATATCAAGACTTTGTAAAATATCCGAAAGTTAGACAGAGATATTGGGCAAGGAATTTTGTAGGATGGCCTAGATTCAGTGCAATACAACCAAATGCTACACATTTTTCTATCATAGATCTGGAAAAGGTAATGCATATTTATTGTTTTGAGAAAATAGAGGGATATAGGATGAAAAAATATTTTATTAAATAATATTTTTACAGGCTGGAAAAGTCTCTGCAGTAGTTACACAAAATGTGGATAGGCTACATCACAAAGCTGGCTCAAAAAATGTCATAGAACTTCATGGTTCTGGCTACATAGTAAAATGTTTAAACTGCCCATATGAGATAGATAGATTTAGATTGCAAGATGAGTTGTTACGTAACAATTCTGATATGGAAAGCAGTTTCAGTATGATAAGGCCTGACGGTGATGTGGAGCTCTCAAAGGTATAATAGTTGCTCCTCTTTTTGTCATATTACAATCTAATGCTACAGTTTACTTTTATTTACATAGATCATTTTTAAATATTAGCAGACATTAATTATTGACTTTTTCAGGAACAAGTAGATAGATTTCGTGCACCTCTATGCCCTCTATGTAAGGGACCACTTAAACCCGACATAGTCTTTTTTGGCGATAATGTCCCTAGGGAACGAGTGAAGAAGGTAACTGAACATGTAACCAAGAGTGATGCTGTATTTGTACTTGGTTCTAGTTTAACTGTATACTCAAGTTATAGAATCATTTTACAAGCTAAAGATGAGGGTAAAAAAATAGCATTACTAAACATAGGACCAACAAGAGCAGATGACATTGTTGACATCAAAGTAGCAACAAAATGTGGTGATATACTCAGTGAAATATGCAGTCAGATTTGTTCTTGATTTGCTGTTTTAGCAGGCTTTAATTGATTTTGTTACCTCATTAGATGAATTATAAGGATAAAATAAATATATTTTCCAGTTTTTCAAATTTTATTATAAAAGAAAGAATGAAATGTACAATGGCTTCTTAATGTTAAAAAAAACAAATTTTTCACACAAAATATGCAACTTACAAAGTAGCAGTAGGGGTTTAGGACTTAAGTAAAGGATAGTTGTTTGGGAGTTCTTTCTAATATTAAAATCATCATCTAATCTAACAAAATATCTCAACACTGAGAAATATGTGAAGGATAGTAAATCAAAATATATTGTTGGAAATGTGAATCATTTAGTTTATCATAAAAGTTGATAAATTTATAGCATACTTGAGTTCTTTTATGAAGGAATAAGGCTGATTTTTAATGCATATCAATTTAATTCTCTACATGTCAAAAATTAAATCTAATTTAAAACATTGGTAACCTTAACCTACAGAGTCATTTGAACTACAAATACTAATTAGTGCTTCTTAAAACCATACTTACAAAGTCAGCAAATTTATTTTTTAAGAACAAATTCTTAATAAGGCATGATTTCCAAAAGCAAATTGTAATTTAAAAAAAATTACGTTTCACCTTTTTATGTTTTGTTTGATATGACGCAAATTGATTGGAATCAAAGATAGATGAAAAGTTTATCTAAGTTTAGTGTTTTTTAATTAAAGTGGTAACACTGAACCTACTGCTCTATTTGACAGTTTTAAATGCCAATTTCTGTGCAAGGTTTTTGTATGAAAAATATATCACTTCGTACTTGTCATTTCAATAGTAACCTATATATTTTTCCTCAGCCTTGGTTTTATTCAGTATCAATTACACAACTTAAAATCAGCAGAATTTAGAAGAAGAAAACATATTTTAAATATATATCTTATATGGATTCACAAATAACAATACTATAAAAATGTAAATATGCATTTTCAGTTTAGTTTCTTTAAATGAGGATAGGTACTCATCGAAATTGTAAAATTTCTTTTTATATTACATTTTTATAGATTTATTATTTGTGGGCTTGAAAAAGAATAGAAAACGTGAATTTCTAATTTAGTAATTACAGAATACTACAGTCTTACATTATTTTATGGAGCCTGCGTCTGGCAGTGATTTTATTATCGTAACACTAAAGTCTTATACAACATGAAATCTAACTACATGTATAATTGAGATTTGAGTTTAACACATTAATAAGATTACATCAAAGCCCGTAGATCTCGGTGGGCTGCTGCAAATAAGAAACTGACGAGTTCTGTTTGACAACTTCTGTAGTTATACATTTATCTATATTTTTTTCCTTCAGTCAGCCCTATGTTACCGTTTCTGTATTTAACGTACGTTCTTCTTTAAACAGTTAATTAATCGAACAGGGCAACATGCATCATTTTTATGATAACAAGTCATTCAAAAATACAATCTAAATTTAAATAGCATTACCATTTTCTGTCATTTCTACTTATTTAAACCATATTAAAATATGTAATATTTGATCATTATTTGAGAACACCATTTTCAATAAATATCCAGTCAATACACACTTCCTTAGAACAATTGGCCCAATTTTTGTCCAATATAACAATTTTGAGGTATTAGTTTTGCATTTATCAAAAGCTTCAAACTAACGAACTTATGACGAAACCGTACTTTGGAATTTTTCTTCTTGCGTGCAAATAGCCGTTTAAAAACATCGATATTAATTAATCGGTTATAATAGATCGGTTTTTAAAAACGTATGCGCGTTTTGCTTTTTCATTCATCAAAAACTACTCCAGAAAAGGGACAAAAATATTTTGTACTAGTTGTTCCTAATATCGCATAAAATTTTATGTAACATGAAATTGGTATGGAAAATATGGGATCATGAAGCGGATATTTCAAAAAAATTCGTTTGGGTGGTTGGTGAAAATTTAAAACGACAATTTGACTATTTTATCCATTAATGTTTTAAAATATATATTGTATTTAAAAATAAGTTTTAGTGTAGTAAGTATATTTTGAAGTTACTACTTTAAACTAGTACTAGCACTGTAAGCAAAATATTCAGTGCATTATTCAAATAAACTAAATTTTCTATCATTCAAGTAAAAAAGTTGCAAATATGTTTAAGGTATGGACAGAATAAAAAACATTTTGACTAAATCACTGTTTGAGTCGAGCTTAAAACAATATTCTCATTTACATTTGGTGAGAGAGACATCATTGAAATCCAGTAAAGTGAACAACTTTTCTTCTAGATAGTAATATGTATTATAAAACTATGTTTATAATATTTTTTTTTTTTAACATTGTCCTGATTTTCGAAACATCCGGATTTGTATATGACTATAATTTTAGAATCCAGATTTAGTTTTGAGGCTTATAGCATGTTCTTGATTAAGAGGGATAGTGGATAGCAATTGGACGTTAAGAAAAATTCAGTTTATTCAGTCAGATACTTGCAAACTTTCTTTTCAACTCTTAGATATTACTAAAAATACAATAATTACAATGACACACCACATTTGATGTAAAAAATGATACATATTTGTGGATAGCTGTCAAAATTAATCAGCTTAAAGATAATTCAAATTACACTTGGCAGTCTTAAAATCACGAAACAACACTTCAAAAACTCACAACAGCTATTAAATAAGGTATGCTCGTAATAGTCATAGTTTATAACAAAACTAGGTATTTGTACCAAATATAAATACAATATTGAATGTTTTTGTTTAAGCAAGCATTACCAATATTATCAGGTCAAAATGTATTTTAAGATATGATAAATGCAGTAGTTGCTAGCAACACTTAATAATTAAATCCGTTTTAATAGAATTTTTTTTTAAATGTCAATGTTATCATAATAAATGAATGTGCCTAACTTCATGTAAACCTTTTTATAAGTATATAAATGGTCATATATGAGGTAAATATTGGTTATAATGTGAATACAGTTGAAGTTTATTCTTAAACACAAATGTTTTAGTGGCAGTGACCATCATATATGGGATAGTAAAATATAAGGTTCTATTAATAATCTTGGAATTTAAGTGCTTAAGGGTTATATATTGGTCATATGCTGTACTCGCATAAACCATAGACATTGTTATGCCTTCAAATTTAATACAGAAATCATTAACAAAAGCTAATTTGTGAAAATTTATTTCCATAAAAATTTTAAACTGATAAGACATGCTTATGATTTAATTACGCAATTGGAATATTTAGTGCAATAAGAAGCATACGGGCATACCTTGTTCAAAACCATAACGTAAACCATTATAAAAAGTAGTCGGCTTGTGGTTTCTTTGAGGGAACGCCACGCGACTCTTGAGGTGCGGCTTCGAATATTGTGAAATCACGTTGAAGATTCTCATTCAGTTCTAATATTGCCGCTACGTTGCCGCATCTGGAAAAAGTATTGTTAAGTTCCTATTTTCTTTTCTAATTGATTCCTGGTTAAAAGTGACGACACGGAAATTACTCGCAGTGGTAACGATTTTTTCTCTTTTCTTTCCCCAAGCTCTGTTTTTATATATATAATTAAAGCACCAAAACAAATTTAAATTTATATTCAGAATAAGAGTATGATAGATGTCAGAAAGTAGTATTGTCAGAAATATCCAACTGGGGTATATAACCCAGGGAAATATCTACTGTACCTAAAAAACAGTAAAGTAGCTTAGTAGAGTTATTCTTGCATTGACGCCTATATATGTATATGATTTATGATTACTTTGCCAGATATTTCGATCACTCTACTAACTATCACATAATCACAAGAAATATAATTTCTGCTTTAAAAAAATCATACCTATAACAATAATTTGGAGCAGACCACACAGTAAGAACAGTTTCATTGAAGTGCCATTTGTAACCTTCCATCACAAGTTGGTGTGCACGGCATATCATATCTATGTCATTAGAAACATTAAACTGTGCCACAACATCAGATCCAAACAAGTAGCCGGCACCTCTCGGGGAAACGCCCCAACCTTGGGTGTCTGGAATGTAAATATTTTTAATGTACCTATATTTATACCAAGAGAAGTGTTGGCTTAGCGGCTTAAGCGAGCGCCTCTTTACCCTGAGGCCATGTGTTTGAATCACAGCCTAGCATCATTGGACACTTCTTTCTATTAGCACATATAATACATACGATGAAAGAAAGAGGCTAAACATACCTTCAGGGTCACTCCACAAAAGGTCACACATGGGTCCATCGTGCGGTACCTCCTGCTTGCGGTCTATAGTACGAATTTGGTCCAGGGTTTGTATAGACGGGCTGAGTCCACCATGTACACAGAATATCCTACCATCTATTATAGCGGACAGTGACAGGTAGTCAAATATTTCTGTGCAGTACCTTAGGAAAGAGCCAAATTACTTATATTCATTCTTAGAGGCTTCACATTGACATTAAGAAAAAATATTAACTAACTTGACCATGATTTAGATATCATTTTAAAGGTTATACTGAAAATAAATTTGGCCATGGCTGCCAATTTTATGAGTTTGGAGCGGCTGCCAAATTTGGTTAAAAATTTCCTATGTAAAAAAAATATTATTCATATAAAGGAGGTTCAATAGTTTTTAAACAATAAGTAGAGTCCATAGTTAAAAATACCTTAACTTAAATTTTTTTCTCTTAACAATATTATTGTCCACGAGATATCAATTATTTATAGCATAACAGCTAAAACATTAACAATCATGTTTATATGGTGTAAAGAAGGACAGGTTTTATTGTATTACCTCCATACTGTTATAGAACCATATTTCCTTAAACATTCATCATAAAAGCCATACACTTGTGTGATTTGTCTTGATTCATGATTTCCCCTAATTAAAGTAATGCGGTCTGGATAACGAACCTAAAAATATTTATGAGATTAAAATAATTTTAGACATGAACCATATAAATGATTAATAAGTAACATGACATACCTTTAAAGCTAAAAGTAATAAAAATGTTTCAACAGAATAGAATCCTCTGTCCACAAAATCTCCCATAAACAAATAATTAGTAGCAGGAACATCACCACCAACTTTAAATAGTTCTTTGAGATCATAGAATTGGCCATGAATGTCTCCACAAACCTGCAAGGAAAAATCAAAAGATCTTAATGATGAAATAGTTTATTGAATAAAATAGTTTAGTGAAATAAAATAGTTTATTGAAACTGTATCATATTCTGAAAAAAATGTATCTTGGCTTATAACAGACCCAAGTGGACTAAAATTAATAAAAACATCAAAGTGCTTCAGATGAGGATATATATGGGGAGGATAGATGAAGGAACAAATACAAAAATACCAACATTTTTATTGTAAACATAGTTGAAGGATATACCTGTAAAAATAATAGCAGAACCTACCGTAACTGGAGCATCGACACGTTGAACATTACTTTCTTCAACAAGAATCTCGCGGGCCTTCGCACAGAGTGCTTTAACCTCTCCCTCCATGATAATCTCACATCTTTTAAGTTGTTCTATTTGACGGTCCAAGTCACTTGTGTCAGACATTTTGCCTTAAATCACAAGAAATTTAAAAACATGTACTGAATATACAAAGCGGGCTAGGAATAGTGAAGAGAGGTCATCTTCGAATCAAGCGTTATAGAGTCTTCAAGCCCTTTTGTTTTTTTATACTTACACAAGTTTAAAGAATGTTATGATTTCAGTGTATCAGTTTCATCAATATGTTGAAAACTAAAATGTTCAAACTAATATTTGTTATTTGAAATAATTTTAAGATAAAACTAACAATCACAATCACAGTTCATTAAAATGGACCTAGGTGAAATTTGCGGATAATGTCAAACTTGAAACCACAGACTGGAAAGACTCAATGACAATGCCCAACAGTGTTCACAACCTGAAGCCAGGCAGTTATCGTACGGCCGTAACATTATCGTATATGTGATCCATATACGATAAATTATCGTACAGTCAGGAAAATGGCTAAAAATACTTTAAAAAATCATATGAAACGTGAAAATAAAATGTTGCAAACGATTTATAGTTTAAATCTTGTAAACTTGTGTTTTTCAAATTGAAAAAAATAATAATAATTCAATCTCTTCCGTCAAAGAGGAACAAAAATACGCAATATTTTCTCGTTGAACAATATGGTGTTCGCTCTAAGTGATATACCTATTGTCCGTAAACATCGCATATTATTTTTATCACTTAAAATTCGTTAGGCAAATGTTATCGAAGACTTCCAAATCTGCGTCACCATACAAATCGTGAATTTTTTGGCTGTGCATTCTGATGCGTTTTTGTGTTTGTACATTAACGCTTTGTTCATCTGCTGTAGTTGCCTTGTGACAGCATAAGTTCTTAATAGAAAAATAAGCCAATAGATGGCACTGACACTAAAAACTGTAATTGTTATTGGGCTATCTGTGTAATCATCAAATTTTTTATCAGACTGGAAATTATCGTACAATCTACGTACGATAGTCATGTACCATCGTACATCGTACGTAGTTATGAAATTATCGCAAATGTACGATAATTATCGTACGGTTGTGAACCCTGATGCCCAATGACGCTATACTGCTTCTAACTTTACAGACTACATACCAATGATATTGAAAGCAATGCTAATTTACTATTGACTTTGACTCCTACAGAGTACAGACTGCTGGCTTAAAGGTCTCGTTACCAGGCCATAAAATTATTTAAAAAAAAAAAAAAGTACAGACTGCACTAATTTAATTCGTAAACAAAGTGATAAAAAAACGCAAATAAATCCGCGAACCGCCAAGCTTTGCTGATTCGGTAAAATTGATATAGATAAAGTGTTTATAGTACATACGTTAATTGCTTTCAATACTTCATATTATTTTGAGTTATAAAATTACTATAATTAGTGTGTTGTGAAATAACAATCAATAGAATGGGCAACATACACACCGTAGGTCCTAATGAGGCGCTGATTGTTTCAGGTAAGCCCACATTTAACTACGTTCATTTTCCTCATACAGATTTACGTCTCAAGATTATATTTTAGGCTATTGTGATTACTAATGTATTTATATATTAAATATGCGCAGCGATTATAGAATTCTGTTTTATTCATATCTATATAGCTATATTTCACTCGGAGTCGATTTTATTTGATTTAAGGGTGTATTCCTTATAATAAAAATCTAAAGTTATTATTGCAACGATACTTTTAATTGCAATTACTTACATAACTCTAATATGTGCCTTAGATGAGTCACTATTACTCTTATTAGAGACAATTGTGTCACATTAGTATTGTTCTCGTTGATGTAATACTCAAAAATATCCATTCAATGCCGCCTTTTTACTATCCCAAACTAAGGAAGACAATATTAAACAAGGAGAAGTTTGTAGAAAGTAATATAATTCAGATATTAGTAAACTAACATTTTATGGTGAACAAAATCGGCATGGCTCAAAAATATTTGCTAGGTACCTATTGAGTCATCAGGAGACCGCGTTTAACATCAGCGGTTATAATCAGATACTCACAAATCATAGCTACAATATATATTTTCCTTATGTTAGAAAACCATATATACCTGTATGAAATAAATAATAATATACTAACTACATCTAAAAGTATTACAGATATGAAATAACAAGATCAATTAATAAAAGTAAATTTAAATTAATTAATCAGTAATTTATTATTAGGACATATTGCACTTGTAAAATATTTTTGAATTAATATATTGATTTATAGCCCCCAAGTTGATTTAATTAAATCCGCTGCCTTTTCACCAATCATAATAGCTGGTGCATTTGTGTGTGCTGCTATAGTTAATGGTATGATACTGCTGTCTACTACTCGCAAGTTTCTTATACCATGGACTCTTAGCTCCGGGTCGACAACTGCAGTTGGATCAGTATTTGGCCCCATTTTACAAGTTGCAATCTGATGATGAAGTGTTGATGTAACAGTTCGAACTGCACACTCCCAGTACTTATCAGAATCAAAGTCATATTGGATACAATTTGGATATTTTTTTTGATACAACTTTGCTCCATATTTCTTGAAAGGTGGTGTGTCAATAAGCTTTATGATATATCTAATAGCAGCTACCGAAGTTGCAACATCTTTCCTGTCAGTTAAGTAGTTCCCATATAGTTTTGGTTGTTGAAATGGATTTTTCGATGCTAGTCGTAGGGAACCTTTCGACTTAGGATGCAGTAACATAAAAAATACAGTGAAGCTTTCAAATTGCTCAATAGGTTTGTAAATATCATTATAGAGCCAGTCGGCTAGATGTATCCCTTTTGCTACAATATTACCCTGATCTGAAGCAAGTGATGCACAGGATCCTATAAGCTCTATATCAGGTACATCGCCTATCTCTTCCGATATGTTAGTCTTAATATATCCCAAAGTCTCAACGCCAGCCAAAGAAGACAACGGTCCGTCGCCAAACTGTGTATATTGTACAATGTTCTGAATGGTAGCAATTTTTTTTTCAACTAATGTTAGTTGAGTACCATTAAGTAGAAATGTCAAACCGGGAAAAGAAATATGGTCGTACAATGTTTCTCCTACTTTTAAATTTTGAATGACGTTAATACCAAACGTGGTAAGATGGTCTGCCGGTCCAATACCAGAGAGCATAAGCAGATGTGGTGATTCTATTGGCCCAGCCGATAGTACAACTTCTTTGGCAGCGTAGATAGTGAATTTACGGCCCTGCGTCTGAAATTCTACGCCGTAAGCTGTCTTCGTCTGTGGATTTATTAAAATTTTTGTTACTCTGCTTTTTGTTAATACGTGAAGATTTTTTCTTTTCTTTTTATTATGAAGGAAAGCTTTAGCGCTACTCATTCGTATGCCTCTATTCATAGTAGCTTGAATATAGCTAAATCCGAATCCATCAGGACTGTTATAATCTACCCTACGGTGACCAAAAAGCTGTGCTGCGTCCAAAAAGGCTTTAGATAGTTTCGATCTGGAAAGCAAATAGCCTATTAAGAAAATCAAGCTTACTAAATAAGACAAAATTTTCGGATCTAAATCACATAGTAAAAAAACTACAGCTGGTAAAGCTTTAAGGGTAAATTATTACCTAAAAGGTATATCCTCCACATTTAGTTCACCATCTTTTCCGTGCCAAGGAGAGTCTTTTAAACTTCGCAAATTTGCACGTTCTGATTTCATATAGTAAGGTAAAACCTCCTTATATGACCTGAAAAAAATCAAGAACATTTTTAAATTTATTAATAATTCTTTGTACACAAGAAAACATAAGTCAGTAATAATGTAAAGGCTGAGTACAAGGGGATTATCGTTTTAAAGCGACCTGTTCGATCCTGCAACCCGTGCTAAAAGAGTAACCGTAAAAAACCGTATACGTATACGTACTCATAAAAGTATTACAAATATAAACCTATAACAATAATCATGGGGGTACCCAGAAGTATAAGAGATAGACAATATTTGTTTCTATTTACTGAATCACTCTAAAATTAATTAAACGTGCAATTAATTTACGCATAAATCAATATATATATATTAAATTGTATATTCAACCTCTAAATTATTACAATCGCAAGGTTATGTCCAGTTTTAGGCTTGCAATTATGACCTTGATCTCGGACATGTATGATGTATAATATTATACATCGAATTATTTATAACTTATTTCCTTTTAGCATATTGTATTTCATGATGTATTTAATGGTCGTATAATTAGGAAAATACTGACCATCCATAGTTTCCTTTTGCCGCTATTCTGTCCCAGTCAACTGGCATTCCTCGGGTATAAATCATGTAGTTAACAACACTACTTCCACCAACAGCCTTCCCCCTCGGCCAAAAACATCTTCCATTTGTCATACCTAAAAATAAAAATAACGCCTCAGTAAAATTTGTGTTTAAAAACTCGAACAGCTCTCCTGTACTGCGCAAATCTAAAAGCTTAGACAGAAATATTTTATGAAGACGAAAGACTTAAAGTAAAATTCAGAGTCGAGATTAACCCTAATACTCTTAAGATACTAAATATTTATCGGACTCCTGGTACAAATGCTATCTTTGTAGCTACTACTGATTTATATATACAGGGACCCCTACATCCTAGCCTATCAGACACGAAATCAGGCCGATATGTGGCCGAGTGGCTAAGCAGCTGGGGAGTGTCGAAAACTCCCCTTTCTTAAAAAGGGACATTGTTAACTTAAAGGGTTGACGTCTCCCACCGGGCCCGAGCGACAACTACTCCGGAAATATCGTCATAATATTTATGGGCGAGTCGGGGCCCGCTGCCCGGCGCTACCTCTCGTGCTATTTTTGTGCTACTACTCATTATCTCAATGTCTAAGAATGTTAAACAGTATAATTTATTTTAGTTTTTTTTTACTACAAAAATTTTGACATGCTAATCTATTATGTGTGCTTATTCCAACTCTTATTTAAATTAAATGAATGTAATTTAAGACTTCGTAATAAACATTTATATTTAAAACTTAAAACAACTCCTTCACTACAAATATATAGGTATATATTTTGGTTCAACCGTACCCATACATACTCCAGGTTGAGGCTCCATAAGGTAATGCCATATATAATCTGTCTGTTGTAGCACAGGAGCCAGTATTGGAACGCCCGCTATTATTGGCTCTCCCTCACCAGCCTCTAAAAGTAACACAGATGCTTTTTTCTCTTCACTAAGTCTCGCAGCTAAAACACTTCCAGCTGCACCAGCGCCAACTACGATGAAGTCGTACACTTTTAACGGTCCTTTAAATCCTGAAAGAGATTACCTTTTCCGATATAACAATTATATGGATGATGTTACATTGTCTTTATTTGATAATAAACATTGTTTGTATCTTCGCTATAAATTCGCGTTTATATCCGTTAATCAAGGTTTATTTATAAATTTTTCACAATCAACGCTTATTATTGTTATCTAGCTTTTTACTATGAAAAATTCACTAACCTTTTGGAAGTTCATATTGGTCTGCAAAAGCAGCAAAAATGTTTGGCTGTGACCGGTTCAGATGATACATGGGTGTATTAAGCATTGCTTCTATGACTTTACTTTTGATATTATCAGTATTTTGTGCCTTAAAAAACATATCTCCATAATTATCACGCGTCTCTGGAACGGCATACTCGTCGGTTATTGTCACGTAGTCGTCGTAACTCGATGAAGTATCCAAAATAGCCAAAAGCGCTAAAATATATATTTTCATGATTTTTAAATACGTCAACGCCTGGCAAAGCACAGTTTGTGAATCACATAAAACTGTATGATGTCGTTGTACTTTATTATATAATTTTAACCGGTTTAAAGGCTGTCCTGTTAAGCTTAAGGCTTTGAACTTGGAATCTATGCGGCCATGACGCCAATCATACATTATTTCCGTATGATATTACGCAAATGCATTGGTTGTACATTTTTCTTATAGTTACTTTATTTAGCGTTTGATGCTTTTAATATTTATTGTTTACCCCAATTATGTAAAACCTTATTATTCTGATTTATTTTTTAAGCGCATATAGCGTAAAATGCAGTTTATTGCACTTTCTGGTTTATTGCTCGTTAGTGCAAAAAATTATAAATTTAAGTGTCTACCACCCCAATTAAGGATCGGGACTTAATGACGACTTCGGTTGTCTTTGGTGATTCCAAATTAATAAGTATTTTTTTACAGGAATAAGTAAAAATTCTTAAAATAAAATGAGGAGTGAATTTTTACTGGAGCAAAATTATTGTGATTTTTATAAAAGGATTTAGTCTAATCGTCATCGACACTTATCGATTATATACGATTAATCATCAGGCGTTTAAATATTTTCTAATCTGTAACGCCAGAAGAGAGGAGAATGTTTGTTTGATTGTTTAGATCACAACTTTATTTAAAGTAAGATTGCTTAAAAAATACATAGCAAACAATCCATTTTTGGCGATTGGAAGGTTGTTTTCAAACCATATAAGAGACAACAATACTCTTGCTTCATAATCAAGTTTGTGTCATACTCTTAATTAATAAGCGTTTATTAAAATAATACTCCATTATAGTTACGAAATGATTTAATTAGGGATACTTAATGAGGAATGAAATAAATTGTTAAATATTCCAACTTTTTCTTATCATATCGGCAGCCTTTAAACCAATCATCATTCCTGGGCCATTTGTGTGAGCAGAAGTAGTCCTTGGTATAACGCTTGTATCTACTACGCGTAATTTTTTTATTCCACGTACTCTCAACTCCGGGTCAAGAACAGCCATCGGGTCACTGTCGGGACCCATGCGACATGTTGATATTTGATGATGCAACGTAGCAGTGACAGTACGCACCGCACATTCCCAATACTCATCAGTATCAAACGTGAATTGGCGACATGTCCTGAAGTGTCCGGGATACAACTTTGCACCATATCTTTGAAATGGTGGTGTTTGTACAAGCTTTTGTATGTGCCGTATCGATGCGACAAAAGTTGCTACGTCTTTTTTATCTGTTAAATAGTTTCCATACATTTTTGGATTACTATAAGGATTAGAATCTTTTAGTTCTATACGACCTACAGATTTTGGGTGAAGTAACATTGGTATTGCGCTCCAAGTGTCAGTGCCATCGATTGGGCCGAATGCGTTATTTATAAGACTTTCTGATAGCCTCATTCCGCGCCGTATAGCTCGGCTTCCCCCCTTTCCACCGTCAGATAAAAATGATCCCCCTATGCTAATTAATTCTACATCGGGTACCGTTGGGTCTGGGTCATCAGATAGAGGTGTCTTAATATAACCAATTGCTTCTACTCCTCCAGGCGATGAAAGCACATTGTCTCCATTCTTTAGCCAATCTAATATATGGGGAATATCTGAAGCCTTGTTTTCTATTAAAGAGAGATTGGTTTGGTTTAATGTAAATATTAGTGCAGGAAAGCAAATGTGGTCATAAAGTACTTTACCCACGGGCAGATCTTCTACAACTGGGATTCCCAGAGAAGTAAGGTGATCTTTGGGCCCTATACCGGATAGCATAAGAAGTTGAGGTGATGCTATTGGTCCAGCAGATAATATTACTTCTTTTCGTGCACGAACAGTGTGTAGTTGTTTGTTACGTACATATTCAATACCGTAAGCAGTATTGGTTTCTGTGTTAATTAGAATTTTAGTAGCTCTGGTTTCAGGTAAAATGTGTAAGTTCCGTCTATTCTTATGGGTGTGAAGAAATACTTTAGCTGCACTCTGTCGATGTCCTCTACTTATTGTGGCTTGTACAAGTCCGAATCCGAATTTATCAGGCGCATTATAATCTACTGTTGGATGTCCTAGTACGACTCCTGCATCTAAGAAGGCTTCGCGTAATTTTGTTCTGTAATAACACATTTAATAATAAATATATATATATCCAGCCTAGAACTTCAAATCGGTAGCCCGATATACTGGAGAGGGCACGGATTATCTGGCTCTCCCTTTAGATACGCCTATGGATCGCTCTGACATCAAGAGAACCCATAAAGAGAAGATATCTTCGCTGGATTTATTAAGTAATATCTAATCTATTATTAATTTGAATGAAAAGAAACTTACTTATAGGGAACAAATTCAACAGGTAGGTCCCCGTCTCGTCCTCTGTGGGGAAGTTTTTCTAGACCATTTAAATAAGATTTTTCCAGTTCGATATAGTACTTTAATACATCGTTGTAAGACCTAGAAATACAAGATTAAGAATTTATTTTAATTTCAAATGTCAATAATGTCTTCGGTTACAAGTTTGATTTCGGAAAGCATTTATACACACATTCGTTAAAATTTATAATAGATAACTTGTATAGAATCCGACCGACTGTAAAAATCGATAGAATAAATATTAATGTGCCTACTCCACCCCCCAACACCCCCACTACAGCTGTAACCTTTTGTCAAATAATACTTGTTTAGTTTTATTTGAATAAACCCATGCAACTTCTTCAATACATAGTCCCCTCATGGGTTGTGTGTATTGTGGGCTGCTTGATCGTGAGGAAGTTGCATGGATCTGGTAAGCGCTACGCCTTCTTTAGTTTTCATGTTATTTTCACACATGTATTCTATAACATATTTTGATACGTATCAGATTGTCCTTTGTTTGGAAGGGGCTGTCAAGTATTACGTAAGCAGATTTACTTCAATTTATCCCCTCCTTCCTCTTTTCAGCAAAAGTAAGCAAAGCTCTCAAAAATAAACGTATTAATTTGTAGGAATCCTCGAAAATTTATTACGTTTTCAAGCATAGACGATGTATGGGCAATATGTGTAAAAAAGTAAATAATTACTGTTGACGTTCTTCCCCCTATTGTGCTTACGTAATACTTGAACGGCCCCAAAGCAAAAATAAAATAATATAAACATATGCGATAGCCCGTAAACTCGTTTAGGGCGAATCAAGTTCATTGCTCTTCTGCAAAAATGTTTTTAAATTCAAGTCAAGTCTTAAATATTGAGACAAACTATTTTCAAGGTTACATCAAATATGGTACAAGAGATAATCATTGGTAATGAAACAGAAACGTGTTAAGAATAAGTTAACAAGTGTTTTTTTTATAAATATTAGATCTACATTCTACATATTAATAATATTGTATATAAGTCATTGTTTTTAGGTTACTTAGGTGTACTTATAATTTCTCCTTTCTCACTATTGTATGAGATAGAAGAATCCCCGGCAATCCTTTGTAATATTGATAATTATGAGATATCTTTGATAACTTTTCTTAAGAACCTTGCACACTAAGTTCAGTAACTTTGTTAAAATTGATTTTATGTATAATAAATACGTAATATAGTACTTATAGTATTATGTATATTATTATCTTTGCTAACGTACGTTTTATCATGACATCTGATTTCAAGTTCACTCGAACTACTGGTTCGAATAGGAAAATTCCTTTTGTGTTGGATAGTATATACTTACAATTACAATTTATTGTCGCAAGGCAAGTCACCCTATTATGTTAGGATTATATAAAAATATTACCAGCCATAGTTTCCATCAGCTGCGATTCTATCCCAATCTTGCGGCCGACCACGGGTATAAATCATATAATTGATAACCGATGTGCCACCAACTGCTTTACCACGGGGCCAGTAACATCTCTCATTATTCATACCTGTAAGTAAATAACTTTATTACCAGATATTGAGAAAAGTATGTGTATTGGTAAATATATATACAATTAATAGGTCATGTTAGAAAATCTGAGGACGTGATCAAATAGGGTGACGTGAGACAAAGTTAGTGTTTTCAATAGGATTAATGAAATGAAAACGTCCCTATCATTATTTTAATAAATAAGTGTTTTTATCTAGAAACGAAATGATGTTATTTTTTTATAATTTCCAAATGTTATAAATAACTGAGTGTTCTATGTAATATTTCTTCTGTATTAAGAAAGTTAATTATTTAATGTTTAATAGATATTTAAATTAATTATTGAAATCGCCCTTTGATATACCTATTTCAGTCAAATTATTTTTTTATTGCTAAAGAGCATTAGCAAATAGCATTTTAACATGATAAATTCTTAAATAGGAAATATAAGTTAATTGCAGTTAGAAACCGAGCAAGAAGCTGTTCAAAGCACCAGAAGGAGTACGCTGAATGTTAAAGAAGATCTACAGCATTTGCTTAAATAAATACTTGATAAATTATGATTATATGCAGGTACTCGGTGCGTAAGTTTTAAAAGATTTTTTACTGTATATAAATACCTATTTTTCTATTTACCCATACAAACGCCCGTCTGCGGTTCCATGTAGTAATCCCAAGAATAATCAGTAGACTGGAAGTATGGGGCTATAGCTGGTATATCTGTGACGAGCTGTTCCGTTCTTCCAACCTCCAGTAGTAGAACAGTTGTGTTTCTGTTCTTTGATAGTCGGTTTGCAAGAGCGCAGCCAGCTGAACCAGCACCGATTATAATGAAGTCATACTCGGAGTACGGTTCTGTCAAACCTGATATAAATGCACATCTAATGATCATGGAAGTTGAATCGAATCGAAAATTAATATTATTTTACAGCTAAACAAAATTTCAAGACGGATAGACAAGACATAATGGAACGTTAGGTTTATTTGTGGCTGTGTTTGTTATGTTTGTTTGGGTCTGTGGCGTAGTAGACATATGATGTCGCTCAGAAAATGACAGATTTTATATAAATCTAGGTAGTCTATCAGATATTGAATGAAATTAACTGAATTAAATGCGAAAAATGTCTATTCTATAAAATTTTCGAAATTCGTCCAGAAAAATGTCCCACGAAGAATCTTTAACTTGCGAATTTATACACTTAACAAAACAATATTTGTTCTTGATATGAAATTAGAATGGGTTTTGAACCAACATAGATCTAGGCCTATTTTCATTTAAGAAACATAAAGAATTTTTAAAAAAATTTAAAAATATCAATTTTTTTACACGCTTTATATTAGCTTCACCTGTATGTATGTATGTATGTATGTATGTATGTATGTATGTATGTATGTATGTAACCGACTCCTTCGGACTCGATTTTGACCCACTTTAAACGGACAGATTTTATTCACACTTTGTACACTTATAAAGAATCAGCGACAATATAATAATTTTATAGGTTTATCTCGAAAAAACAATGATTTTTTTTTAAGTCCACAAAGCAATACGGTTAAAGCTCTCTGCCCACTATCCCGTAGCATACCATGACCGTACTAGGACCGTTTCAGACAAAAAACTATTCTTTGTATGGAGAAGTATGAGACCATGCCCACTAGACCGTTCCGTCACCGGCCGACACCGTAGCGTGCCATGCACGGGCCGTCAACTATTCGTCGGAGGGAATATTTTGCCGGTGCGGACACGCTACGTGCATGGCACGCGACGTTGCCAGACCGGTGACTGAGCGGGGAGTATGACCGTTACAAACCCGTTTTAAATGCGTTAAATTTGATTGTACACATTCGGAAGTACTGAAAAAACTTTTCTCCGTCATCAACTAAGTGCCTGAATAATGTCCAATATTAACACTGATATTTGTACGAGAATGAACCGATGCCTTACGAGTGTATTGAAAAGATTTCTGACGTGTCACATACGGGCATCATACAGATTAAATACGGGTTACCCGTTAACCCGTATGGGTTGTAAACGGGTTCAGAACGCTGTCAGCCCGCTTCAGTGGGCGAAATAGAGCGTACCGGAGTGCTTTCCGTGCCTGATACGTTCCTAGCACGGTCATGGTATGCTACGGGATAGTGGGCAGACACCTTAAATTGAGACAACACGTATTGCTGCTAGGACTAAAAAGTGGAAAATAAATATAGTTTAAAAAAACTATAAAACACGCTTTTAAAGTACATCAAACTAAAAAGTGAAAAATAATTCCTAATTTAGGCAACTATACAGGCGTGTTGTATAGATTTTTTAAACTATATTTATTTTATTTTACTTTTTTACACTTGTCACATAAATTATTACAATAACTTAAACGCTTTTTTAAATTCAATTTATATGTACAGTAATTAACTCAACTGTAGAGTTGTACCTATGGTAAAAATAATGGCATGTTATAATGTTCAATATAATTTTAAATTCCCTTACTTTTTAATTGTTGACGGTTTTTTATTTTAATATCAGAAGAAAACAGACTATGTTGGCTTTCAGTAGATAGGACTTACCTCCGGGTAAAGAATAGGAATCCCGTAGGAAACGGAAAAAGTCTTCAGTATGTGGTCCATAAAATGATGCAGCCACTTCCACAATCATGTTTGTCGTTGGATGATTAAATTCCGACCGAAAGAGCCTTCCGCTCCTTGAACTTTTCTCATCTTGGACGGAATCGTAAAATTCTTCTGTTTCAACTGTCGCTTCATCTTCGCTCGTCGACGTTCCAATAAATAAAATGAATATAATCACGATGTTTATTTGCATTTTAAAAATATAATACTTTAGACTTAAAGGTATCTGCCGAAGTGTCGCTACTCGGTGACGATCGCGGGGTGTATGAATTCAATTTCAAAAGGTAACTCGCTTAAGATGAGACAGTATTAAGATCATGTAGACTTCGGACTTGTATTTAAAGGATGAGTGGGAAATAAAAAGATAATTGTCTGTTTTAATTCTACGTAGTGCTTACAAAAGTTTTAAGGCCTTTTAAAATTGGTTTACATCTCATACCTTACCTAATCATGTTCAGTCATAAATGTGAAAAGCTATATTTTTTTTTGATGATAATAGATTTATAGCAAATAGGAATTCCTATTATTAGCTGTTGTCTTTTATAGTAATTATTGTAAAGCATAGACATAGACATAACATTTATTACTAACAAAATCACACACACATAACCACACATAATAACAATAATCAAAGAAAAAAAATATAATGAGAGAGAGAAATTTTTTTCCCATTTCCCTTTCGGTTCGTTTTAAGTGTGTAACGCGTGTGTGCTGTGGTTGTAATTGGCCCTGGCTCAGCATTATGCTGAGGAGCAGACTGTTCCACAGCGCTGGTCATTCTGCCAAAGATCACAGCAGCTAGTTTGCGCTTCAGTCGCAAAAAAAGAAAAAGAATATAATAATACTAATACTTAATAGAAATAAATTATAATAATATTAGTAGAAGTTAGTAGTGTAAGTAATTAAGTCTTGTGTAAAAGTGTATAGTAAATAAAATAAAATTAAAAGTTAAAAATAAGAATAATTGTTAAGAAGTAGATAAATAAATATTTTTGGGCGGATTAAAAACTAGATTTCGTGGGATTTTTGTTGAGTAAGTAGATGTACTTTATAAATGCGACTAAAATTTGATTTTAATGAGTATCGGATTATAAAAGTTGAAATGATTCAACGCAATTTCTGAATATATCTATATATATATAAAATTATAAATTAATAATAATTACTGCATTAGTTAAGTAACGATACTTCGTATAGGTCTTTAAGGGATATCTAGATTGATGTGATTTTACTTTAGTGTAAATAAAAAATCATAATAAATCATCACTAACGGTACACAGTATAAAAATATCAAAACATTAATGTATGTAAATTGTCGTGTCATTGACCGCTGCATTACAGTTCGCTGACCAGATATGCGTAAAGCTATACTGTAAATTTCGCTTTTATCTTGTTGAAAACCTGTTCGTAGGCGAAGCCTTACTATAATTATCATTATCCTATTTTTTCACTTAACGTTCGTACAAAAATCCGCATAAAATTTATCTCTTCTGTGGAAAGTCTCGTGAAATGATGGGCAGGTCACAAGAAGTGCGTCTGGTATAGATACGTATTCGTAAGTAATGGTAAGATTTAAAGGCGTGTATTAGCGGTAAGTAATGGCATAAATCACTCTTGATCTTCTTGAATTTACTCAGCCTTGATCTTACACTAAAACTAATAATGGGGGGTTGTGAATAGAGATCAAACGATTAGCATATTATTAAAACTATGCTCCTGTGTTCAACTTACACTTGATATAATAACATAATTTCAAGTGTTTTATGACAGTGTACAATACCTTATTATTACATGCTTACAAATTAACGAGTTAAAATTTATATTATTCCGAATTTTGATGTAAATTCCTTTATTTTTACAAATCTTATGATTGAAAGGATAAAAATAAAACCTTTTTATTGTCGTCTTGTGATTGTATTTACTATAATTATGATATTTTATTAAACTGAATTGAGAATTGAGTGCGTTAAACTTTCTTTTAGCCGTTATTAAATATTACACTATAATTATTAATCAATACCATGTTAAATATTATATCTCAATTTTCAATTAAACATATTGGAACATATTGTTTTGCACATTCGCTAGGGCCTAACGTATATAGAGCCTAGCGGCTAGGTTAGGCATTTTTTTTTTTAGTTTTTGCTCCTAGTTTAGTAACAGGCGTTTCTTTCGCTCAGTTTTCTGCTTTAAAATTTAGCCAGGCGCTTTTTATTGTCATTACAAAAAATCATTAATATTATTAATAATATATATTATTTTTTTATCGTCTATATTAGATTTAATTGTGCCTATTGCCTATACATTGCATAATTAGGTACTTGTTTCAGAAAGAGTTTTCAAAGTAAAATTTTCGTTTACAAGGCCGCAATAAAAATTTACATCTATAATTTATTACCAACATTACCAGACATTTGTACTGCTTGCTTTAATCATATCTGAAGCTTTTTCGCCTATCATTACCGCGGGTGCGTGTGTATGCGAAGATATTGGTTCAGGAATTATACTAGAATCCACAACACGTAACCTACGTATACCATAAACTCGAAGTTCGGGGTCAACTACTGCTTGCGGATCGCCTTCAGGGCCCATGCGACATGTTGCAATCTGATGGTGAAGAGTAGCTGTGAGGGTACGCACACCACATTCCCAATATTCATCTGAATTCAAGAGGAGGTCTGGACAAGTTGAAAATTGGGCTGGATGCAATTTTGCTCCGAGCCGTTGGAATGCCTCTGTTTCAGCTAATGTTTGGATGAATCTTATGGATGCCACGAATGTTTTGATATCCTTAGGATGTGTCAGATAATTACCGTACATGAGTGGGGGACTCTTTGGGTTATTATCTTTTAATTCTAAGTAACCAACTGATTTTGGATGAAGTAACATAGGAAAAGCAGTCCAAGTATAAGTGGCATCGATGGGTCCGTAAGCTTTGTCAAAGAGTTCTTCCTGTATCATCATTCCTCTTCGTACAGACTTACTACCACTTGCTCCACCGTCAGATACCAAAGAGCCACCAATGCTTATGAGTTCGATATCAGGAACATTTTCAGGATCATCCGACTCAATTGTCTTGATATAACCTATAGCTTCCGCGGCTCCAGCAGTAGCTAACTCATTATTACCATATTGAATCCATTCAATTAAATTCGTTAGAGCGTTTGAGGTAATTTGGTTTTCTATTAAACTAGCTGAAGTGTTTAAAGTAAATACTAGTCCGGGAAAGGTTATATGATCATAAAGAGTTCGACCTACGGGTAGGTCTTGTACGACTGGTACTCCAACTCTTTCTAGGTTGTCTCGAGGTCCAATTCCTGACAACATAAGCAGTTGCGGAGAAGCTATAGGACCAGCTGAAAGTATAACCTCTTCCCGTGTACGAATTTTCCATAATTGCTTACGCCATGTGAACTGTACTCCGTAGGCGACTTTATCTTCATTTATAAGAATCTTTGTTGCTCTCGCTAATGGTAAAATATGCAAATTGGTTCTTTTTTTAATATTATGCAAAAAAGCCTTTGCGGCGCTGACTCGCCTTCCAGAGTCTGTGTTTGTTTGTACATAACCAAAACCTAGTTGTTCTGGAGCATTGTAATCAGTAGTCGGTATTCCTAATATTCTTCCAGCTTCGAGAAATGCGTCTGCTAATGGTGTTCTAAAATCACATTTTAAAAGTGACCTTAAATTATATGTTAAAATAAATGAAATGTGGTGATGAATAATCCTTTATAAACGGAATTTAATTTAAATGCATAAAATGTTAACTTACGTCGGCGTAAACTCTATGTTCATTTCTCCTTTACGTCCATGATATGGGGAATCTTCTAGCCCTAAAAGACTGGCTCGTTCAGATTTCTTATAATACTCCAAAACCTCATCGTAACTCCTGTAAAGACAAATTAATTATATTCCTTTAATGTCACAAATATATATACATACTAGTACATAGTTATTGATATTAGTGAAACCAGTTTCGTACGAGTACGATATTTAGAACATGCTAATATAGTGTATCAAATTGTACAGAACACGAAGAATGTTAAGCTTAGTAAGATTTTGAATATCAAATGAAGCAGATAACCTAGATCAGTGTTTCCCGTCGTGAGGCTCACACCCCACAGGGGACAATTTGATTGTTACCCCTTAACAATTCGGAAATTTATTAAATTTATTTGGAATTTGAATTTCAGTTTTTCATTATGTTTTTAAATTTAATTCCTAGTAATTTCTTCCTCAAACCCATAATTTAAGTAATTAAAGTGAATAATTCAATTTTTTTGTATTAAAAATTATGTAGCCTCAAGTGGGGCATGGGACAATAAAGGTTGAGAAACACTGCCCTAGATGATAATTCATATACTTAAACGGTATTTTTTGGTATGTAACTAATTGTTAAATAAATAGGTATTTTTTACAAACCATCCATAATTTCCTTTAGCTGCGATACGATTCCAGTCTTGTGGTCTTCCTCTAGTGTAAATCATATAATTGATCACGCTAGATCCCCCCACCGCTCTACCCCTTGGCCAGTAACACTTCTTATTTATCATACCTTCAAAAGATTTTAATTTTTTAGTACATTAGTAATTTTTTTTAAACTTCTTTTTGTTTAGTTTTATAATGGTCATTGACTATTTCTTTTTTTAATATCATAGAGTGATATCAGTAAAAAAGCAAAGTTAGTTTACTTCTTGATAAAACTTGACATATCACATTAAAACTATAGCAAATGTTTTAAAATGTTCAATGCTACGTTCAGTAATACTACTATATATGTACTAATAAATTCATTTGACATAGTACCCATACAAACACCTGGTTGTGGTTCCATGTAATATGGCCACGAATATTCTGTTCTCTGAAAATAAGGGGCAATTGAAGGCAAGTCTGTGAAAAGTGATTCTGGTCTGCCTACTTCAAGAAGAAGGACTGTAGTATTAGGATTTTCGGTTAATCTGTTCGCGACGACGCAGCCAGCTGATCCTGCGCCAATGATAATGTAGTCGTATTGAGAATATGGCGCCTTTACATCTGAAAAAAAATAAAAAGTAAATTTTTATTGTGTGAATATGGAATTAAGCAATATTCTCCTATCTCATCGATCTTAAATTATCGTGATTTCTCACTTTTTATTTTTCATATATCCTTTATTAGTTTAGTTTGTTTTTTGTTACTGTTTAGTTTTTCTTAATAACTATATGTAATATGTATTTTTGCACTGCTTGCCTACCTTATCTAATACATTTTTTTTCTCACAGTGGTTGTCTGGAAGAGATCGCTCGAAAGCGATAAGGCAGTTGCCCTCCTTTTCATTGAATTATGTTCAATGTTTATATTTAATTCAACGAAGTGTTAATAAATAAATAAAATAATAATTAGTACATTCTAATTGTATACATGATATTTTTCTGACTTACTGTTTGGTAATGGATATTTGTCCCGGAAAATGTCGAAGATATCATTTGGTTTATTTTCGTCATAGTTCGAGGAAACAGCTAACTTCAGAAGGTCCATAGGCTTTTGCACCAGTGTTTGGATTGGTTTTATTAGATCCATATGATTTGGTCCACTCGAAACATATAAACATTGGCAGACAATAATAATCATTGCTCCATTTATTTTTAATGCCATTTTGAAATTATGACGGCTTCTTCATATATAAAGCGTAAATAATTTAATTGCCTTTTAAATTGTGTGGTGTAAAATGTTATTACGAATTGAGTTCTGTAAACGAAAACATAAAATAATATTAAAAAAATTATAAATAACTGGGACCTTATTATGGGATAATTGACTATCCTTAATAAATGTATTAAAGTTATATATCATATAATTCGATGTGCGACAACTTTTAAATAAAAGAAATATTGTTAAAAATCTAGGGTTTTCAAAAACCTAATTTATCTAATACAAAATAGTATAAACCTGAGCGTATACGCAAGGTCGTTCAGTCCACGCACTTTATGCAATAAAACAACTTGGTTAAATGTCCAACCTCTCACTGGAATAAGTTAAAATCTACTGGGGTCTACTCTTAAAATTCTGTATAATTCAGGTCATACACTAAACTTGTAATTGTGCAACTTTATACGACATTTGCAGCAATTTGTAAAATTTACTTTAATAACGGCCGGTTCAGCCTGATTTAATGCTACTTACTTACTTATTTGACATGAAATGTTTTAAAATTGTTACGGAATGCATGTCTCGTTTCATGAATTTTCGTCTTATTTTTTCGAAATTAAATATTTTTCTTGTAATTTATATACTTAATGGCTGTTTTTTATGTTGTATTTCACTCGTGAGAATGTACGTGTCAAAAATTATTTTATTTTCAGTGCTTGTAAAACTATACCTGATGATAAATTAACTTAATATTATTAAGTAATACAAAACAGTAATTCAGCTACGAAATATAACGTCCGATTAATTATTGAGTGATTTATAATTTATATGGCTGATAAAGGTCTATTTTTATTTTCGATTGGATCTATAGTGAACTAGACTAACTCTTTATAAAATTCATTAAGTAATGGTTATTTCTTTATGTCCGTTGACTGTTAATGGTTGATAGTAGGTACATTTAGACCCCCGGTGGCGGTAGATAATGAAGTATTTTATTATAAATGTTGTTTGAATGTCTTTTTGACCCATCTGTCATCACAAACGCGGGCAATGGCCTATTTCTACTTAAACTTTTTAACTTAAAGGGGTCACAAAGTCTGATGTTTGTTTTACACTGTTTTCTTTAATCTTTATCGAAGAATAATTCCTAGTAAGTCAGTTATTTACTCTAATGTTCTTTACTAGCGCCTTATAAAAAATCCACGTTTGGCATCCATATGACAGATATTGATGGAAGTATTCCTGTGTTGTTTCAGAACTTCTTTTAATGCCTTAAATAGTTCCATGCTTGATTTACTCTTCTATTTCATTCACATGTCGGTTATGATTAAACGATTTTTGCTACCCTAGATACCTAGGTATGCAGTTCGGGACATATTCAAGAGACGTGGCATTGACAAAAACTGGTAGTTTTTTGCTGTTAGTCATAATTTTAGATATGGAGGTATTCATAAAAAAACTTGTCCTTAATGAAATAGCCGTAATGTAGGACAATTTCCCTATTCTTACGCAATAAATAAATTTAAAAAGTCACATAATTTTTTTGATTACAATCAAGTATACAGTATTTACAATTTTCTTAACCTACAAAGTAATAATAAAAAAATTAAATAGTTTGCAGAGTAGGTACCTTTAACCCACCCCACCGGCCACCCGCTATTCCCCACACACTTCACCAGTGTTAGTGCGCTAGCGCTTGCGACGATTGCTTGTGCTTTACTCTTTCTATAACTTTCCTACTAAATTTGTTTTCGCTACTTAACGAACTTAACTTAGGTTGCGTTAATAATGTACGAGTCCTTAGGTATTGGCTAAGCTATGGAGGAATTAGAATTTACACAGAATGAATTGCAACAAATCAACGCGTTAGCATATTATTTTACAACAAACCCTTCGAGAAACAATGATTGCCACTCAGAATCAGATAGCGAACAGATGCAAATACCGAAAAGAAAAAGACGTTAGGTTATACTTACTTGCAACTGGTACACAAGCTTAGAACTAGGTTATTAGAGAAACAAGCCCATTTAATTGGCACTTTGCGAAAAAACAAGAAGATTAGGCTGTTGTAGAATTCAGAACTGTAGAAAAGTAAAATAATGGTTATGGAGAATGAAGACTAGGTGTTAAAATGGAAGGATAAGAGGGACGTGCTTTTGCTTTCGACAAATTTGCTGTGGTAGTGTAAAAAGGCAAACAGATTCGGAAGCCGAAGATCATATTGGATCATAATAAATCCGAAGGCTCTGTAGACCAAATAGGTGCCTATTCTTCATTCTACCAGGCGCCAACTTAAATCTTTTATTAGCGCCTGTGCACTTGTTGAACTCCACGACCGAAGTCTACTCCAATGGGAACGAAGTTGGAGTAAAGACTGATAAGAAGAATGAAAGGAGCAGATATTTGTGCCGTTTATTATTTTCTGATAAAATTTTAATATAAAAATATTAACCCTTTGAAAATAATAGGCCAATTTAAATAACTTCACAAATATTTGTTTTTAAGCAGGCGTTATGTTTTTATAATCTTAAAGATTTTTCACTTGTTAATTTTATTTAATTACTATTTTTATTTTGCAATTTAGATTTATTTGTATACAATGTTTTATTCTAGTACGTTGTGAAAATGTATTTTTAATCATCGATATAAGAAATTTTTTTTAAGGTCTATAACCCTGTAATGTTGGTAAGGCCACAGGAAACATAAAGATATGTTGGCGTAAAGGATAATGTCGATTTTTATTATACATTATATATATATATATAAAGAAAATTCATTTTTGAAGGACACGATACTTCAAATATCTGTCAACATAATTTACCTATATATGATTATTCCAAAAATTACACCATATCTCTCTATAATCTTGATATATAACTAAGTTTCTGAAGAATTTGTGGACAAACATACTAGTAAGACTTACGAAATTATTAGATGATTACAAGTTTCCCAATTGCCCAATTCTAAAAATGTCTCTAATTAATTAATATTTTTTTGTAAAGTGAGATCTTAAATGCTTAGGGCACAAAATTAAATTCTATAGCGGTTAGCGCTGAGAGATAAAGAAAAATGACAATAATAACTCGGTAAACATATTTACGCCTCTCACAAGTTATAGACTTTTTTGGAAGACCATGACAAAAAAACAGATGAGTTTCGTTACAACCGCTTAGAATTCTTATTTGATTCGATATATTATGACGATAATTTGTAGGTCTTATATGTAATGGTTATATAAGATAATAGTAGACTCGGCCAAGCGTTGCTCTGGCTAAGATTTTTGTTATATTACATAGTAGTAAACTATTCAAGGGAAACGGTAGGAGAACTTATGTGAAAGGTAGATGACAGCTTATGTGAAACGTTGATAATTTTAACACAGCGCCATCTGTTAGAATTGTATCAAATAATAAACAAATATTTTGCAATTAATTAAAATTGCGACTGTAATTTGAGATTTAAACTATCCTATCTCTCAAGTTGGATCGAACTGCACATAGTGTGCAAATTTGATTGATATCGGTTCGGTAGTTTAGGAGTCCATTGAGGACAAACATTGTGACACGAGATTTATATATATTAAGATATATTGGCAAAAATGGCACTGTCGTTTCAAGGAATGATTCTTGACTAATTACATAATTTTTATCATATTTTTGGACTTTATGGGATCAATTTAAATTATTTCTAAACATATCTGTAAAGTTTCATAGCGATGACTTTAATAAAAACATTTTATTCAAAAAACAAGATGGAGTGGACCACATAAAAATCTTTAGATGTGATTTCCCACAATTCTTCTTAGAATTATGCACATTATTACAGATGCATTACTGAGGGTGCGATCCTATACATCAAACTGATAACTTTCTTTTTTTAAGTCAGTTAATAATAAAAAGGATTAAACTAAACTAAACTAAACTTATTACGGTCTACGCGCGTGATCCACGTAGTAATCCTTCACTAGATGTGTTGATCTCGATCAATGTTGAATTCTAAGGTTGAGTTGTGCTTTGAATATTTTAATTACTATGTCCTTATACCTTCCCTATTGAGCAGTGTTGGCCTAGTGGCTTCAGCGTGCGACTCTCATCCCTGAGGTCGTAGGTTCGATCACCGGTTGTGCACCAATGGGATTTCTTTCTATGTACGCATTTAAAATTCGTTCTAAAGGTGAAGGAAATCATCGTGAGGAAACCGACCCAAAAAGTCGATGGTGTGCGTCAGGCACTAGAGACTGATCAACTACTTGCCTATTAGATTCAAAAAATTATCATGAAATATATTCAGAAATCTGAGGCTTAGACCTAAGGAGGTTGTAGCGTCACTGATTTATTTTATACCTTCCCTATAACCGAGGTTGGAACCTCAGAAACCATTTTTAATAATTTCAAGTAGAAATTGACAAAATTTGTTTGACAGTTTGACTAAAATATGAATTATTTGATTTTTTTACATAAAAGTGTAGAGTCGGGGTCGAGTGGTAAATTTTTACCAAAATGTGCGAAATTCCGTTTATCATTCATCGGTGTTTGAAGAAACTATATGAATAAGTCCGAAAAAGCAGGAGAAGTGAATTAATTGTAACACGTTTCACAAGTATTGCCACCTTTTTGTACTTGACCTAAGTTTGATCATAGCCCGAGTATGTTACTATGGTCGTGCACAAAACTACAATTCTGTACCGTCTCCATGATGTTGCTGGATGCGGTGATAAGCGGGAACGTATTTTTTACTTACCTCAGCGTAAAATTATTGAATAAACAATTAATTATTCATTTATATCATCATCAGCATTAATGTTCAGTTCATCTTCATCAGTTTGAATTATTTTGTTCTTTTAAATGAAAGGTACTTCAATAATAATATGAAATAACTATTTATGAGGTATTAAAACGTTTTTTTATTACTTTTTAATTATAACACATGTAGTCTTTAATGCCCTTTTAAATATACCTATATACTACTTAATAGTTACAATTAAAATTTATTAATTTATAATATCAGTCGAAATGTTTTACATTGAATTTTACTTTCGACCTGCTAAAAATAGTTCTTATAATAAACTGTTAACAAAACTATCACCAAAATGGCAACAAATATGGTATTAGTTTTATCTACATCGCAGCATGACTTCATTTTACTTTTAATTTCTAAACGATTATTAAATCGGAACAGGCATACAAACAATTCAAAATAAAAACCTACATTAAATGCCATTAAAATATGCCGGCTACTAATACTATGGACTATATTCATCAATTAATATTTAGAGAAGGCTCTAAGTTATTTTACAAAACTATAGCATTAGACAAAGATGATTTTCTAATAACATATGAATCAATTAAAAATATAGTACAATAGATAACCTAACAGTAAAAGATACACAAAAACTTTTAATATATTTTGCTTATCTTAATATCTCATCTATCTTAATATGTATATATAAATTACGTGTCACGTTGTTTGTCCACTCCTGAACCGATTTCAATCAAATTTGCACACCGTGTCGGTTTGATCTAACTTAAAAGATAGGATAGCTTACATCTCAATTTATGCCCGCAATATTATTTTATTGCAAATTATTTGTTAATTATTTGATAGTCACAATTCTAACAGATGGCGCTGTACCTACGTTTCACATAAGCTACAATTTAATGGCATAACCACCAAAAAATCATGGTGGTCCCCATGACTGGTGTTCCTACCGTTTCCCGTGAAAAGTTTACTACTATGTAATATAACATAAACCTTAGCCACAGCAACGCTTGGCCGGTCTGCTAGTTTTTAATATTTATCTATTTTATACAAAACAAATGCATTGCTAACATTTTATTTCTAAAAATAAATTATTACACCTAATTAAATCACAGCTAAAAACATAATTATCTATAATACTATATTATCCATAATTATTAAGTTTTTTGGCCCCAATCCTGTTTAATCATATCTGATCCTTTTTCTGCAATCATAAATACAGGAGCATTTGTATGACTTGATACTATTTCTGGCATTACACTAGCGTCTATAACCCGTAATCCAGAGATACCGTGGACTCGTAGTCTATTATCAACAACGGAAGAAGGGTCGCTCTTGGCTCCCATTTTACAAGTACCACTTTGATGGTATATGGTAAATGTAAACATCTGAGCTTGGCACGCAAAATAAGCATCGCTTCCAAATGGCCCGTATTGTAGACATTCCTCTATTGGCACGTCGTACATTTTTGTCTCAAGTTTTCTCATAGATGACTGTCTTGAAATTTCTATTGCAACCTTGATTCCTTCCACGATTTTTTCTAAGTCCTCAGGGTGGTCAAAGTAATTTGGTATCAAGGTTGGTTGTACTTTGGGGTTTCGATTTTGCAACATAACTCTACCTCTTGATTTCGGGCGCATTAACATGGGGAATACCATGAACAAGTCATTTCTTCCCAAATCTTTATATGTGTCTAGGAAAATTTCCTCGTCGAAATTAAAATTTCGTGGTAATAACGGATCAGAATTTAATCCGCCACCGATAAAAAGAAGTTCCATATCTGGCCAAGCGGTCCCGTTAAATTTGTCTTTTAGATCCATGAATACGAGTGCTTCACACCCACCGGGTATTGATAGTGGTCCTCTATGTGTTCTCATCCACTTGAATACTAATTCTAAATGATTCAAGATGTAATCCGTAGTTAAAGTGACATTTTGCTGTTTTACCATGAACTGTATGCCACCGGCAGCTATATGGTCCATTAAATTGTATCCAACAGGTAAATCTTTAACAACAGGAATTTTAAGGGATTCTAAATGGTCTTTTGGTCCTATACCAGATAACATCAAAAGTTGTGGTGAATTAATAGTGCCGCCAGCGACTATAACTTCCTTTTTAGCTAAAACTTTATATTTCTTTCCCCTTTTTTCAAATTCTATCCCTATAACTTTCGTATTTGTCGGATCAAAGAGAAGTTTCGTCACCATACTGGATTTAGATACATAAAGATTATTTCTCTTGTTAATGGGATGTAAGTAAGCTCTGTTTGAACTATGTCGTGTACCATTCTTCATAGACAACTGCAGAAACGAAACTGCTGACGGAGTTGCGCCGTTATAGTCTCCATATTTAAATCCTAACTCTTTAGCTCCTTTAACCCATGCTTTAGCCTTTGTAGTTCGAAAGGGTGCGTGTTCCACGTTCAAATAGCCGTCATATCCGTGATAGTCTGGATTATCGAAAGATTTTATGTTAAAACTTTCAATTTTCTTAAAATATGGCAGGACTTCATCCCATCCCCAGCCTTCGTTTCCCATCCCTTGCCAGTTATCGTAGTCTTGAGGCGCACCCCTTGTATAAATCATATAATTTAATACACTAGATCCTCCAACGACCTTTCCTCGTGGCCAATGGCACTGTTGATTTTCAAATCCCGCGCAGTATCTATCAGAAGGTTTGGTCTTATAGCCCCAGTTTGCAGATGTGAACTGAAGATAGTTTGCCAGTAAAGGTATGTCCATTACGAAGTTTTCGTTATTGCCTGCTTCTAAAAGTAAAACTTTCCAATCTGGTATTTCAGTGAGGCGATTGGCAAGAACACAACCCGCTGTTCCAGCACCGATAACAATAAAGTCGTATTCTGAAAGCATGATCGTTTGGTCTGGTGGTTCTTTGTCGAGCTCGTGAGAACCATCTTCGAGAAACTTTACGAGCGAGACAATTGGATTTACATTTTGTGTCTTTGTTGGAATGACAACTGTGAACAGAATCCATAGAGCTGCTCTCAGTACACGATTCCGCTGATTCATCTGAAAAAGAAAAACATATTTTTGAATAAATCAAATAAGGAAACAAGGCAAGGTGCTTACTTGGAAGGTAACGATAATTTATAATTTCTATATTTGAATAGAAAAAGGAAGTGAAGTAACTATTTATTCTACCTTAATGCGTAGATTAATCGGAAATAAATTAAGCAAATATGGGCTTTTCCGCTATATGTTCATCTTGTGGTCAATGGAATCATTTATAAAGTGGTCTACGGATAGAGAGATAAGCATGATTATATTTTTTTAACGCAATTGTTACTTCATATTTATTAAAAAATATTAAACAGCGTAAATGCACCGATTTAAATTAGTTTTAAATTTCTTACCATATACTATATATGTAATATTTTTTACTAATAAATAAAAATGAATCGCAAAATATCGGCTGTACCGATTCGATTTTTTTTTTCATTTATTATTTCTATATTACCTACTCTGAAAAAGGTTTGAAATATAATAGTTTTATTTAGTACTTAAGTTTTTATTTCGGAAAAGCGAACTGCTCTAGTAGCATAGCAAAATGAAGATTTTATATGTTGGTAAAAAGCTACTAAAAACGTAGGCTAAGTCAAAAAAACATTAAACCGAAACGAAGCTCTCGGGGGCAGCTGTTTATGATAAATTTACCTCTAAGCATTTGTGTATTTAAAAATAAAAGTACAGGAGGGCAACATCCTAGTCACGATTTTATTATAATTAAAATAATTGTAATAATTTATTGACTGAGACCGATACACACGACAGCACCTCACACTACTTACGATATCTATGATATCATATATATATATTATACCTATTTAAAATTTGAGTGTATGTACGCTCTCAATTTTAAACTAATGAATCTACTTTGGTTTAGTGTCAATGGGTCTTGGAAACAAATACTATGTTTTTATGTGAAATTCTCGCAAAGTCACCTTTGTTACGTTTTTGGCTGCACAATACGACGTATTTTTTTATTAAAAATGAAAATTATACGTAAATTTTCCATTTTAAGCTAATCACAGATCTTCAGATTGTTCTCAGTTCTTATAATGGGGCAATTAAAAATAATGCATATCAATTATTTTATTTGACCTTGTGCACTGCAGCATGTCAAAAATATATATAATTTGAACTTATTGCACCTTACACTGAAATTAACATATTATTTCACAATTGCATTGTATATATTTGTCGGCACTATTTTCATCCTGCAGAAGAGGGCTATTCGTGCAATCTATAATTTAAAATGTAGGGAATCTCTGAGAGATAAATTCAAGGAAATTAATATACTTAGCTTAAATGCGAGGGAAAGCTAAGCATATGTACTTATGAAAATATTATGTACCTATGTATACAAAGATAGTGATAAGTTTACTAGAATAGAACATACGCACAATGTTAATACTCGGAACTCAATACTTGGCGATTAAAAAGAGTGGCGGAAAGTTTCTTCCCAGTTCTTCTTACCCGCTCTACGCCCTTGACTTGCGAACTGGTAGTAAATGTAAATTTACAATTAATTTAACTTGACAATTCAAAAGTGTACTTGGTTACCCACTTGAATAAAGATATTTTGAGTTTGAGTTTGAACAAACGCAGGCTGCAATTTCCCCGTACTAGACTATCTAAAGTTAGTAGTTATTTTTTGGGAAAAGGGATACTCTTCTTTAATAAAATCCCAGAGGCTCTTTTATCTCTGCCTTTTAATAAATTTAAGTAATGTATTAAAGAAAAGCTGTGCAAAAAGGCTTACTATAAAGTTAACGATTATCTAGTTGATAGAAGGGCCTGGGACTAGTACTAGACAGGCTACTTCTAATTAATTTGCGATATTTGTTTTAAAATAAGTGTTGTTTGATGATTTGCTATTTTAAAAGAGTACCGAGAGTTTTTTTACGCCGGCTTTTTCTCTCGGCCTACACCGTCTGTCTTCTTTGCCGATGAGTAGGGATGTCTACAGATTCAAATTTAATGACGAGGAATAAGTGATACCTGTATCTTATGTTCCATAATAAATATATTTTATTTTTATTTTTATAGAATTAAATTAAAACTCATACCATTATAAAATTGCTACAATACGGGACACAATAAAATACGTAAAAATTGTTTTACTTGTAAATATTCTGAGATTGGCCACATTACTCAAAATTAGAAATAATTTTGACTTCTCATATGTACCGCGAATAATTAAATATAGTTAAAATTTATTAAATACGTACTATTTGTTTTCAGTTCTTACACATTACATAATATAGCATAAAAATTAAAACAAATAAACAAGTATAGGCACTGCATTATGCGCATACTAAAATATAAAAATTATTGAATTAATATAATCAAAAGATACATACAAAGTGACTATTAAAGTGTTAAATATCAAATATCATTTGATATTAATTAAATATATATTAAATCAGAACATAGTCAATGACGTATTATCTTAATTTCTATTATTCAAAACCATTTAAGAAGGAATAAGAATTACAGACTCGTCCGTTCTACGCCCTTGATTTGTGAACTGGTGGCAGTAATAGGGGCAAAAAATTATATTTAAGACCATTATTTTTTTGCTGTCATGGAATATGTGTACGTTATCTCGATGATAATTTTTCCATTGTTTCTTCATATAGATTCGATTATGCAATATGAAAATACAAAAATATTATAATAAGTTTTATAAGACACTGTTCATTTAGCGTAATGTATGTAATCGTTAATCCTTTTTAAAAAATAAAAGAAAATTATATTGAAGACCATTTTTTTTTTGCTGACATGGATATGTGTATTAAAGTTATCTCGATGATAATTTTTCCATTGTTTCTTCATATAGATTCGATTATGCAATATGAAAATACAAAAATATTTTAATAAGTTTCATTTAGCGTAATGTATGTAATCGTAAATCCTTTTGTATGATATTCTATAATGATAATAAGGGGATCGAAAGCCTGAAAAATGTTATGGCACGGGTATAAAATATTTGCGGAACGATTTAAGTTAAATAAATGGGATATTGAGTGGACGACATAGCGTATAACAACTAACACTACTTACTTTAGGTCTTTTTTTTCTAGTAATAATTTCAGTCGTTTAGATTACAAAAGTCAGCGAATAGTTAAAAAAAACCTAATATGTGGCTTGTAACAAAAAATATTACTAAGAAAACTGCATATAAAATATTCTACTAATAATATAATATATTCAATAATTTAACAATACGGTAAAGTTAAAATTCCGTGAGAAAAAGCCGGGGTAAAAAACTCTCGGTACTCTTTTAAAATAGCAAATCTTCATACAAAATGACTATGGCAAACAACACTAAACTAAACCTACCTCGATGATATAATTACAGAAAGGTTTAAGAATTACGGTGGGTAATTGAGTACCTATTTATTATTACCGGCCTCGTATGTACGTTATGTTTGTCTATTTTTTAGTATAAAATGCCACTTACGTGATACGCCGTGCAACTGCATGTCGGATAAAGATTGCAAGGTCGCATTATATCGGCATTGATTGCATTTTTATTTTTATATGGCAATATCAGATAATCGTGCTTAGTGTAAGATAGGTACGCAGTTAATTATGTAAATAGATAAGTTGATGTTGCATCATTTTTACTAATAACAAGTCGATTAAAAAGTTACGGGCTATGAACTTCCTTGTACCTGTTGGGTTTTTTTATGTAATGGGAGGCAAACGGTCAGGAGGTTCACCTGATGTTAAGTGATACCGATGTAAATGGTAGTGCGCGGCAAAAACTGCCTTAAAAACGCTCAGTTGTGGAACGACGGACGTCGAGGTGATACGGATGGTATTTTGTATTCTGCCTTGACGTCCGATAATGAAACTCAGCTGCAGGTATAAGTCCGAACAACTGTCGGGTATTCGCCTGATGCCTTATTAGTTATTACGTACAATTTTGTAAGGAAACGTTAATAAGTGTACCATTACCGTATTTGGAACTAAACGGAAGCACAAACATGCGAATCGGTTAGTACTACTATAATAATGGAACTTTACAAATTGTATGCCAAGTACGTTCGAGCAGTCAAAGAAACACATCGTAAAATTGCTAGGTCTTCAGTTAGCTAGGGCATTAAAAACAAAAGACGAAACTATTATCTCTTTTAAATGTGGTTGTTATTTCAACGTATATTTTGCTAATTTTTGATACTCTCAACCTGCTATAATTGCTGTGAAGAGTTAATATATAGTGAATATGATAATGAATAAATTTGTTAATTTTTTTTCACTCAATAAGAATTAAAGTGACGTAAATTAATTAACGTAAGCATCACGGTAAAAAATCATTAAATTAATTAGATAATTATCTTTTTCAATACTTATTTTTACTCAACAATTGAAACATTAAATAAAGCATTAGGGTGCTTACATAAAGAAACAGGTTTCCGGTACAGACAAATCTGTACGGGTCGGTACCGATCGGTACAGTGTTGACTCGCATAAAGAAACAGGTGAATCTGTCCTTAGTGACAATCATGGCCTCCAGTTCGTCGGACGAAGATTTTTTACTTTTAGAAAGTACTTACGTCAAATATAGAAAGAGAAGAACAGTTAGTGTATCTGATATTAACAGAAAAAGAACTAAATATGGAACATATTATCATTTATTCTTAAAAGATATAAAGGACGATGAAAAGGAGTTTTATGATTATACAAGGATGACTCAAGAAGCATTTTACTACATATTAAATTTAATCGAACATCGCTTAATTAAGAAATGGTGTAACTGGCATGTTCAACCAATTTCACCTGAAGAAAGACTCGTTATCACTATTAGGTAAGTAATGAATAATATTTATTAGTATAAAAATATGCGTAATATAGGTACTGGGTGGTATAATTTCAAAATGAAATGTCTTCTATACCGCTTATAATCGGGCTATCAAAACTTCGTTATCCAAATCCATTTTTAATATTATTAAACACACCCTACACCAGTTAATGCTTAAACCCGTATGGCACGGTCCAGG